ACCAAACCAACTGTGGCTGCCCCGTTCTCCCCGGGATGCCCTCGGGCCCTCCTCTCCCAGGCCCAGTCCCGGGCACATCCCATTTACCTGTCGCGTCTGCCCACGGCCCGGCTTGCTTTCTCGGCGTTTCCTGACTCCTCACCACCTGGCCTGTCTTAGCCCGTGGAGGTGCCCAGGTGGGCTCTGTCGGATGCTTTTCTCAACATCAGACAGGGCTTGGGGTGTTGAGCGTGTCTGAGAGAGACCGGCTGGCCACGCGATGTCCTGCTGGCACCCACCCTCCCTCGCCTTAGGGCTCGCAGGTTTCCGCGGTGCCGTCCCTCCGCTCGTGAGTCGCTGAGTCTGGCCCACGCGGGGCTAGGGGGTAGGGAGTGGGCAAAAAAGTTGACTCCTGGAGGGGGGGTGATGATTGAAATTTGGGGGAAAGCCACAAGATTTGGCTTTTCCCTCATTATTTGTGAGCTGATTGTTTTTAACTGGACTTCGGTGTTCATCAACATATGTCACAATTCACGTAAGGAGCATGAATAGCTCCCTGCGGCCCTGGTTATTTGTTCTGGTACTTCTAAGGCGCATGCTTTCTCTACTGTTTGTGCTGATTTTCCTCCTTTTCTGTTAGTGTGAACCATATGTAGTAGCCAATATGCAACCATGCTTGGACCATACGAAGGTGCCCATAGCCGCCGTTTTGAACCATTTCACATGATTGAAATAATACTTAGCGTTTGACTTCCCACTTGTCCAGCTGACGGTGTGTGACAAGAGAGTTGAGTTTTGTGTGTGTGGAATGTGATTGCACCTCCTCTGACCTGGCTTGGGGATTAGTCCCTACCAGCTTAGCCTTAGCTCCGGGCTCCCCCTTCCCAGACCAGGCACCTCGGGCCAGGGTGAGAAAGGCGCTGCAGAGTGTGATGACGGCCCCTCCCAGCCCCCTCCCCCCCAGGGCAAGACCTCAGCAGCTCCCTGGACTCATCTACTCTCCTGACCTCCTCAGCAGTGAAATTGTGTGCCTTTGGGCACAGATTGGACCCCCAGTTCCTGGTGTTGCAGGTTTGATGGCTAGTACAGCTCTCAGCATAGCCTTAGGCCAACTCGAACCCACTGAGCCTCAATTTCCTCATCTGTGAGACAGATACCATCAGCCTGGCCTTCCCAGTGGGCTCCTGTGGTGATGGCTTGGTAGTTCCTTCCCTGAGGCCATCGTTGTTGGTCCTGAGTTCCCCTTCAAGCCCCTACTTACTCTTTCCTGGCCAAGGTGTGAGAGATGCTGCCTCGGGCAGGGGTCTGGGGGTTAGAGGTCGGTGTCTGCAGGGGTGAGTTACTCTCCCTTTCTGCGGGGCTGGTTCTGGCCTACTGCTCCAAGCGCTGGAGAGCTTGGGTGAATGAGACTAACCCTGGCAGGTCTGGCGTTTAGGGCACTGTGGCAAATCCCTGGTCCCCTCCGACTTCAGCGTGGTAGGATAGAGGGCTCGAGATACTCAGGCCCATTTGACTCTATGGTCCATATGGGAAAAACAGACTGAGCTGGCATAGACACTAGGGTGTCCAAGGTGAGGGGCGGGTACTTGCCTGCTGACAACTGGGAGGCAGTGGGGGCCACCACAGACATCAGTCATATGGATGGACGTAAAAATGGCACTTTGGGTGAGTTTGTGCTACTAAATAGAGGCTCATGGGCCAAGATGCAATCTAGGGGGGCAAAGGATGGCTTCTTTGATGCCTCCTGAGAACTGAAGGACAGGAGGCACTGAAGAGACGAAGGGGAGAGAACATTTCAGGCAGAGGAAACAAAGATCCCACAGTAAGGAAGAGGCCAGTGTGCGGAGCCAGGCGAGGTGAACGGGGGAAGGGTGATGCGTGCGCAGATGTGGGAGTGCAGGGGCCAGAGGGGTACAAGGCCTCAGCGCCCCAGGGAGGCTTCTCTTCACTCTAATAAGCCAGAGAAAAAGCCTTTGGAGGACTTTAAGCTGAAAGGTAGTATGACAAGATTTGTTGTTTGAAAAGCTCCCTCTGGCTACTGGAGAAATGGACTTGGGGTCGGGTTGGGGGTGAGGCCAGGGAACGAAAAGGGAGAGTGGCTTGTCATCTGGACACGCCATAGCGGCCAGTACAGCTGCGAACGGGTAGATCTGAAAGCTTAGAGGGGAAAACTGACGGACACATGGGGGCTGGTTGTATGAGAGGGATCACGTGAGCACCTGGTGGATTGTGGGGGCATGGGTCCCCAGTGGGAGGTTTGACAGGGGTTGGGCTGTCAAGACCTGTGCACCTGAGAAGGTGGCGGGGTCTGTGGTGGCAGATGCACCCGTCTCAAGTTTCAGGCCAGGGCTTGGGATGGAGGCGTCAACCAAGGGAGAGAGTGGGAGGGCAGTGGGTTGAGAGCTCTGCAGGTCCCTGGAGGCACATGGGTAGGCCCAAGGGTGGGATGGGAGGGCGAGGGAATCCCTGGGCAGGGTCCCTCAGGGACCCAAGGTTGAGGGGGAAGCTTACCGAACCTTCTCATACCCTCTCTCTCCAGATCCTGCTCATCTCCGATTACTTCTACGCCTTCCTGCGACGGGAATACTACCTCACACATGGTCTCTACTTGACTGCCAAGGACGGCACGGAGGCCATGCTTGTGCTCAAGTAGGCCTGGCTGGGCACAGGGTTGCACAGACTTCAGGGGGTGGAAGGACCAGAAGTTGGGCCAAGCCCTCTAGCCAGAGTTGCCAGCAGGCGCGTCCTCCGGCAGATGAGGTTCAAGTCCAGGATCATGAATCTCTGGCTCTAGAGGAGAGTCATGGCTTGCAGCAAAGCCTGTGGGGAATAGGCAGGAGCACCTCTGCTTGGACCCCACTTTGTGGCTCTGTACACCAAGGAGCCTCCTCCCTGACAGGAAAGGGGAGGAAGCAGGTGAGCGGGCTTGCTAGGTTGTGGCTACTTAATAAACGTGTTTTGTTATGAAGCAGCACCGGGATCACACTGCATGCCTGGGAGTGGAGGTTGGGCACCTAAAATCACCCTGGCGCACGACACACAGGTGGGGTTCCCCGAAGTTGCATGTCTGTGCACCGGTGTGCCGAGAAGGCCTGGGACAGCCCCACTGGCACCCCCCACACACACTCCCCAAACAGCTGGAGGCAAAGGGCCAGGCAGGCCTGAGCAATCTTTATTCTGCAGAGGGACAGTGACTACAGATCCATACACCATATCAAGATCGAGCCAGGGGCCAGTCCTTCAGGGTGGGCAGGTCCAGGCAAGGGGGCAGAGCTTCAGGTGGGGTAGGGCAGGTGGGCAGACAGGCAGGGGCCTAAAAAAAAGACAAACCACACAGAGCACAAGTGCTGGGGCTGCTCCCCACCCTCCCCATTCCAGCCGGCACTGGGAGGGGCAATCCTAAAGAGACTGCCCAGGCCCCACCCCAGGGCGGAGCGGGCATGGTGGTGCCCCTCCCCAGGGAGTGGCATCTCTGCCCAGCCTGCAGGGTCAGAGGCAGCTCAGTTTGGGAGCCAGGAGCTCCCTAGACCGATCCTGACATGACCCCCCACTCCCAGACCAGCCCCTACTGCCGGCTCAGAAGCCGAAGGTCTCCTGGGAGGCGTAGACCATGTAGAGGAAGCCGTCCTCGTCCTTCTCCTGTTCGTAGATGTCCGCGATGGGCGTGGACACGCTGACCATGCTGTGCTGGTTCACCAGCAGGAAGAAGGCCTGCGTGGGGTTCAGCTGCAGGCGGCGCCTGAGGTGGGGAGCAGGGCGACCATGAGGGCCTGGCCGCGGGGGTGGGGGGGCACCCTGACTCCCTCCCAAGGATGCTTCCCATCCTCCACACCCACCGGCCCCTTCTGGAGGTTCCCAGCGCTGAACCTACACGGCCCCCGGCATTTCTCAGCCTCCCCGGGACAGGGACCCAAACCCACGTCCTCCGACTGCCCGCGCACCGGATGATCTTGACCAACTCGCTCATGTTGACGTGGTCCGGGACCAGGAACTTGGTCTTGTCCAGGACTGGCAGCTGCTTCTCTCCCTTGTAGCGCTCGATGATCACCTGGGAGCCCAGCGGGTGGGGGACCGTGAGCCCGGGGCGGGGCGGGGCGGGACGGGGCAGGGGGTCGAGGCACTCACCGGGATCTTGCTGGGGTGCTGCTCGCGGATCTGCTGCACCTCCTTACAGCGGTCGGCTGCCGGCGGGAGGTCGCGGTGAGGCCGGGCCTAGGGCCGCCCGCCGCGGGGCCGCCCCGCCCGCCCGCCCGTCCCCAGGAGGCGGGGCCCCTCGCCCCGCCCAGGCCTCGCCTCCGCCGCCCCCTCCCCCCGCGGGGCCGTCAGGCCCGTCAGCCCCGGCACCGCGGGGCTGGGAGGCGGAGGCCCGGGGCCCAGGCCAGACTCGGCCTCCCAGCCTGGGGTCTGGCCAGAGCCTGACGTCACGGGGCTGACGTCAGCTGCGGCAGTCGGGGTCGGCAGGTTTGCACCCCCGCCCTGCGCCCCCCCCCGCCCGGGCAGGTCGCCCACCAGCGGGCCTCACCGAAGCTCCGCCGCTGCTTGAAAGGCCGGTCCGAGGGCATCGCGCGGGCCCGGCGGGGCGCGCAGGCCGGGGCTCCCGGGCGCGGGGATGTGGCTGCGGCTCAGGGGCTCCCGGGGCTCCACGCCTGGCGCTGCTCGAGGGCTCCGGGGCTCACGCTGAGCCCGGCGGCGGCGGCTCGGGGAAGTAACTCGCCCGGGTGACGTCAGGTCACAACATTCCTTAAAGGGGAGGACGGTGCGTCGCTCCCATTGGGCCGACGCAAAACCCGCCCGCCCGGCCCGTGATGTCACGGCGCAGCGAGCCTGGATTCCCGGCCTGCGCAGTGAAGGGCGGGGGCTCCGAGGGTGCGTCACAGTCCCGTGACGTCACGACCCAGCGCCCCGCTCCCACAGGCCTTGGCTGGAGAAGCTGGAAAACTGGTGAAGCCCTTGGGAACGCAGCTCCGCTGCTCCCGCGGCCGGAGCGCGCTGGCCGGGCCGGGCCGAGGACCCGTCGCCGCCCGCCCGCGCCCGGCCCGGGGCGACCGCGCTCAGCCTCGCTTTCCAGGAGCTCCGTTAGAAGCAGGGGGGGGATTAAAACATAAGAGCAGGACCTTAGAGAGGAACACATGGAGGTTGAAAGACATTTCTAGTTTAAAACTCGAAATTCGCATCTCAAAGGATGAGGCAAGAAAGATTAGACACAGCAGGAGAGAAAGACATTGACCTGGAGGAGCGATCAGGAGCAATTAGGCAGAGAAACAGGTGAAGGAATGAATATGAGGCCTTGACAGCACAGGGAGGCCAGTAAGAGCTCAAAAGGGAGCTAAGGAGCCAGGGCTAAAGGGGGCCCCGTGGTGGCTCAGTGGGCTGAGCACAGCGCCTGGAAGCTGCCTGCAGTCTCCGGAGCCCGGGTTCGATTCCCCGCCAAGGCCGCACCGCAGACCGGCCGCTGGACGCTTTGTCCCGCTCTGACAGACGGCCGCGGCGAGATGGGCGCTCTGACAGACGGCCGCGGCGAGATGGGCCCGCAGGGCCGAGGCTGAAGCACAGCGCCGCCAAAGGATCCCCCAGATGCCCAGCTGGCCAGGGAGCCACAACAGCCCCCGCTCACCCACCGGCCCCCTCGGTCCATCTGCCCACTCGGCTCTACGCTCCACCCCCAGCGAATCCCCCCACAAGCCTGCACCCCAGCTCCTGTATACCTAATTTTTTAAAAAATGACATTCTTGGAGAGTATCCAACATTGACTTATAGACCAGGAACCTCACCTAAAATGCAGAGCAGGGTAAAGAAAAATAAAATCAGCATCTAAGCACACTAAGGAATCTGCAAAACTCTAAAGAAGAAACGAGATGAAATGGGGTGTGCAGAGTGGTAAACATGTCAGCAGATGGAAACAAGCACTTAGTTGGAACGTGACTAGTGATGATTAATCTGTGGACTACAAAACAAGGTGCAATACAGGTACGACTGGAGGGGTAATCAGAGTTAAAGGGTGCTAGGAAGCTTGGTTTGAGAGGAAAGATGATGAAAATTTTCTCTGTAAAAATCAAGTGTGTATTTAGGACATTTGAGAGATTAAGAGAATAGAAGCTATAACTGCCAATGCAGTGGGGGGAAAGGTTAGTAAAGGGTATTAAAAGGAGAGGAAAAAATAAAAGGAGAAAAAGGAAGGATGGGCTATAAATATTGAAGCAGAAAACGTTTTACATCCATCTATTAAAACAAATGATCAGATTGACCAAGAAAAATAAAACGCAGCTCTTAGAGTCAAAAGACGGAAAGAGGCATTCCAGGGAAAAACTCACCTACAGGTCTGCCCACAGCAGTCAGGCAGACAAGGCTTTAAGCTGAAAGACATAGCGAGGGATACAGCCAGCCACTACAAAATGACAACAATTTTCTAGAAAGCTACAATTTTGAACTTGTTTGTCCCAGGTTACAAAAACAAAAACTTGGGCCTCCCTGAGGGGTTAAAGTCTCAGCGCTATCAAACTACCTTGACCGCCACTGCAGCTCGGGTTCAATTCCCGGCCACACGGCGCAGCAGCCTCTCCTGCCTCACCCGCTGCTCCCCTCAGCAGTGTATCTCAGCAGCTCTGCCTGTTCTGCTCCCCGCTCTGTCTCTGGTGAGTCCTCTCACCCCTCACACCTCTGGCCTGCACCCCAGCTCTTGTATTGCACAAATTTAAAAAATATATAGATTGACAGAGACATTCTGCAGGGGAGGAGGAGGTAGAGGAATGAAAATGGGAGAGAAGAACTGGTGATGGGAATTTTAGGGGGGCTATACCTGAAAGCATACATTGGACAAAATGAACTGATGTTTATATATATTTATATATATATGTGTATATATATGTTTGTATGTTTTTATATATGTGATGTTTATATATATTTATATAGAAACTGATTATGTATATAAAATATATATTATATATAGTTATATATATAGAGAGAGAGATTATAATTACTAGTTCTGAACCTAACATGTTTTCAAACAGAAAATGTACCAAAAATGTACTAGGCTCCCCAACAAGCCTCTACAGATATCACATACTCACTTTGATTCAGACCATCCTTTTACCACAGACAAAAGTAAAATGTCCAAAATCTTGGACATTTACCTCTAAAAAAAAATTCAAAGATGAGACTATATAGAGATGCAAAAACTATTTGAGTCAAACCAAAGGGCCTCCCTGGGGACGCAAGGAAGGGGTTAAGACGCAACCTATGAAGCTGTCCGCAGCCTCTGCAGCACAAGTTTGATCCCCGGCCAGGGAGCTACCCACATGGTGCAGCAGACCTCTCCTGACTCGTCCACTGCTCCCCTCAGCAGTGGATTTCTTTGTCAATCTGCCTGTTCTGTTCCCCGCTCTGTCTCTGGTGAATCCTCTCACCCCCCACACCTCTGGCCTGTACCCCAGCTCTTGCATGCATAAATAAATCTTTAAAAAGTTTTAATAAATAAAATGTGCTTCAACTGGAATCTTCCTATCTATGATCTGACTCTTCTTTCCTTGACCACTTGTCCCCCCTAGCACACACACCCAGGCCATGTTCAAAATGTTTGCAAACTATCACTTCTCATCGCTCCCACCACTGCCACCCAGACCAGAGCCACCATCCTCTTACCGGACTACTACTGGGGTCTCCTCACTGGTCCCCTGCTTCCGCCTTGCCTGCTTCACTGTGACAAGAGGGATCCAGCACACAGAGGAGTTAGATCTGCTATTCCTGCAGCCCCTCATTTGGTGTGAAAGTCAAGCTGAAAAGTGATCCAGGAGACCCACTGGATCTGGCTCCCTGCTCTCCCTCTGTCCATCAGCCTCCCCACCTTGCTTTCAGCTGCCCTGGCCTCCTCACTATTCCTGGAACCCCAGATACACTTGTGCCCCAGGGCCTCTCTGTTCTGGCGGTTCCCTTTACCTGGAACATTCTTCCCTGAGATCTCTTTGTGACTCACTCTCATTTCCAAGGTGTCCCCAGGGAGGACTTCCCCAGTGATACTTAGTATTGCAGCCCCTACCCCAGTCATTCCCTATCCTCCCAATGTCTTTTTTAAAAGATTTATTTATGCATATAAGAGCTGGGGTGTACCCAGAGGGGCAGGGGGATGAGAGGATTCACCAGAGGCAGAGTGGGGAACAGAACAGGCAGATGGACCGAAATACACTGCTGAGGGGAGCAGCAGGCGAGACAGGAGAGGTCTGCAGCGCCATGTGGGTAGCTCCCTGGCCGGGGATCGAACTCAGGCCATAGCCGTGATAGTGCTGAGACATACCCCCCAGTCCACCAGGGAGGCCCTCCCAATGTCTTAATTTCCCCCCAGAGCTGTTATTACCTTCTAAAATGTTATATATTTTTTCCAAGCATTATGAAAAATTTCAAACATATAGAACATTTGAAATAATTGTTCAACAAACACCTATATACCCACCAGTTACATTCCACACTTAATGCTGCATTTGCTTTATCCTGCCTGTTTGCTCATCCATCCATCTTGTTTTTCCAACATCCACTTGTGATAAAAACACTCCAAAAATGGGTATAGAGTGAGTGTACCTCAACGCAATAAAACCATAGATAAGCCGACAGCTGACATCACACTCAGTGATGAAGATGTGTCTTTTCATCATTGAAAGTTGCAAGTTTTCTCTACAGTCAGGAACAAGGCAAGGACGCCCACTCTCCCCACTTGCATCCAGCACAGGACTGCAAGACCTTCCCAGAGTAGTTCGGCAAGAGAGAGCGACCTCCAAACTGGACAGTGGGAAGTGAAACTCACTGCTTGCAGGTAACATTTTATACGACGGTCCCCAACTTACAGTGATGCCACTTAAGATTTTTCACCTTTCCGATGGAATGAAAGCTGTATATATATTCTGTAGAAACTGTACTTTGAGGGGCCTGCCTGTTGGCCTAGGGGTTAAGTCTCAGCGCTATCACGGCTATGGCCTCAGTTTGATCCCCGGGGCCAGGGAGCCAACCCACATGGTGCAGCAGACCCCCCTCTCCTGTCTCACCGGATTGGGTAAATCCACCTGTTCTGCTCCCCGCTCTCTCTGGTGAATCCTTCTCCATGCCCCCCCACCTCCAGCCAACACCCCAGTTCTTCTATGCAAAAATTAAAAGGACAATGAAAAAAGAAACTGCCCTTTGAATCTCGATCTTTCCCCAGGCTAGCAGCAGGCAGCACAGCACTCTCGGCTGACCCTGGACAGTGGTACAAGCTCAGCTTCCAGTCAGCCATGTGGTCACAGGGGTAAATGGGTACAACCACCAACAGTCTATGATGTCCTGGGTTGTCAGCATTTTTTGACTTACATGTCTTCAACTTATGATGGGTTTATCTGGCTGTAACCCCATCATAAGTGGAGGAAAATCTGAAAATAAACTGAGTAGATTTGCAGGATACAAAAATCAATATATAAAAATCTGTTGCTTTTTTATATACTATTATGGGCTATCAAATAAATTAAGAAAACAGTTCCATTTACAACTGCATCAAAAAGAATGAAACAGGGGCCTCACTGGTGGTGCAAGGCGTTAAGCGTCAGCACTATAAGCTGTCTGCAGACACTGCAGCCTGAGTTTGATCCCCAGCCAGCCAGGAAGCTAACACACATGGCGTGCAGACCTCTCCTGCCTCGCCCACTGCCCCTCAGCAGTGTATTTCCGTCACTCTGCCCATTCTGCTCCCCACTCTGTCTCTGGTGAATCCTCTCACCCCCCACACCTCTGGTCTGCACCTCAGTTCTTGTATGCATAAAATATATCTTTTTTAAAAAAAGGAATCAAACACCTAAGAATAAATTTATCAAAGAAGGTGAAAGACCTATATGCTTAAAACTATAAGCCACTGATGAAAGAAATTAAAGACACATAAATGGAAAGCTATTTTGTGCCTGTGGATTGAATATTGTTAAAATGTGCATATCATCCAAAGCAATCTACACATTTATTACAGTCCCTTTTAAAATTTTGATTGTATTTTTCACAAAAAAAGCACACACATTAACATTTGCATGGAACCACAGAAGATCCCAAATATCCAAAGCGATCTTGAGTAAAACTTGCAAGTATCGGGCCTCCCCTGGTGGCGCAGCGGTTGAGCACGGGGCTGCCCGCAGCCTCTGCAGCACCAGTTCGATCCTGGGCCACCGGCGAGGGTCCCACATGGTGTGACAGACCTCTCCTGCCACACCCGCTGTTCCCCTCAGCAGTGTATTTCGTCAGTCTGCCTGTTCTGTTCCCCGCCCTGCCTCTGGTGAATCCTCTCACCCTCCCGCGCTTCTGACTGTACCTAGTGCTTATACAAATAAATAAATAAATCTTTTTAAAAAATTTGCAAGTATCATGCTCCCTGACTTCAAACTATTACAAGCTGCAATCACCCATCAGTATGGTATTGGCATAAAAATAGACACATAGATCAATGGAACAGAATAGATTCTAAAATAAACTCACCCAGGGCCTCCCTGTGGCGCAGGCGTTACAGACAACGCTATCAAGCTACTGCCAGCCACTACAGCACGAGTTCAATCCCCGGCCAACCAGGGAGCAACCCACATGGCGCAGCAGACCTCTCCTGCCTTGCCTGCTGCTCCCCTCAGCAGTGTACTTCAGCAGATCTGCCTGTTCTGCTCGCCACTCTCTCTGGTGAATCCTCTCCCCGCCACCCCCGCACCTCTGGCCTGTACCCCAGTTCCTGTATGCATAAATAAATCTTTAAAAAAAATAAATAAACCCATCCATATAGAGTCAACTTACAACAACGGCGCCAAGATGATAGAGTGGGGAAAAGACAGTTTGTTCAGTCAAGGGTGCTGGGCAAGCTGGTCAGCCACGTGCAAGAGAATGAAAGGGCATCCGCAACACCGCACACAGTAACGCAACATGGATTAAAGAACTGACTGTAAGACCTGAAGCCATGAAACTCCGAGATGAAAACAGCTGGTCAGCAACTTGATGTTATTCTCTGCACTGATGGTTTTGGATTTTATGTCAAAAGCCAAGGCAACAAAAGCAAAAATCAACAAGTGGGACCACATCAAGCTAAAAAGCTTCTTCACAGCAAAGGAAAGCAACAAATGAACAGGCAGCCTACTCAATGGGAGAAAATATTTGCAGATCTTATATCTGATAAGGGGTTAATATCCAAGACATAGAAAGGACTCATACAACTCAGTAGGAAAAAAAAAAAGCCCAACTAAAAAATGGGCAGAAGACTTGAATAGTCATTTTCCCAGAGAAGAGATACAAATGGCTAACAGGTAATGAGAATGGGCTCAACATCACCAATGACCGTCAGGGAAATGCAAATCAAAACCACAATATGATGTGACCTCACACTGTTCAGCTGGCTATTATCGAAAAGACAACAGACAACCAATGTTGCAAGACTGGAGAAAAGGAAACCAGTGGGCATGTGGACTGGTGCAGCCACTCTGAAGACAGTATGAAGTTCCTAAAAAAAATAAAATCTCAAACTAACATATGATCCAGCAATTCCACTTCTGGGTATTTCTCTTAAGAAAATGAAAGCACTAACTCAGAAACTTTTCTGCCACCCCACGTTCACTGCAGCATTGTTTACAACTACCAAGATATGGAAACAGCCTAATGTCCAATGACGAGTGAAAAAAGTGTATAATATATACAACTGGAATACATGCTGTGGAATATTATTCAGCCATTAAAAAGAAAAATATTGCCAATTGTGACACGGATGGACTTTGAGGTCATTACACTAAGTGAAATAAGGGAAAGACATATCACGTGATCTCACTTATATGTGTAATCAGAGGAAAAAATACCTGAGCTCATTAATACAGAGAATAGATTGGTGGTTACCAGAGATGGGGTTCAGAGGATGGGTGAAAGGCGTGAAGGAGGCCAAAAGGTACATACTTCTAGTTATACAATAAATGAGTCCTGGGGATTTGATTAGTATTAGTAGTATTAACAGTCATGCTGCACATTTCAAATTGCTAAAAGTAGGTCTTAAAAGTTCTCATCACAAGAAAAAAAAATCTAACTGTATGCTGATGATTGTTAGACTTACTGTGGTGATCATTTTGCAATACATACAAATCCCCGACGGCATTGTATATCTGAAACTAACTCGTCCATCATATCTCAATGGAAAAAAGGAAATTAAAAGATCAGAGTAATTTGCAGTTCACTTTATTCTTAAACCCTTCATAGTCAGATTAGTATTTGGTTCTTTTCTTTGGGTGGGGGCTGGAATGTGCACACAATTAAATGCGGGTTCGAGAGTGCACTTGATGAGTTCTGACAAGTACCCACACCTGCAGCACCCCAACCCCCATGGAGACACCGCCCTCTCCTCTCAGGAAATTCCTCTCCCCCCTCCCGCTCCAGCTCCACAGGCACAGCACATCCGCACCATCACAGGCCACTAACAATGACTCCCAAACCCCAAGTTCCCTCCTTTTCGCTCCCTATCTCAGGCCCTGGTTCTGCCTCCTGGTCAGGGTGCCTCAGATTTAGGCATCTCAAACAACACATCCACATGAAGTTCCCATCTTCCCCATCACTAGCCGGTCCCCATCACCCCAGCCTGGCCCAAGCCTGAGCTGGTCCCCACCCCCCCAATCCAGTCACCCTTGGAATCCTCCCGAGTGGCTCTCAACCCCTCTGTAGCCTCCCGCTCCCCCTGCTGTCACTCCTCCGGGCAGCTCTCCCCTGGGACCTGCTCCATTAACCCCTGGCTTCCCACTGTCCCATCTACCACCCCCCCACCCCACTGCAAGGGCACTTCGGGGGACACTCCTGCCCTCCCAGCTAGATTTCTGCTTCCCCTCTCAGTCACTCCGCTGACTCCTCACCGAGCACAAACCCCAGTTCCCTCATAACTACTTTCAAAAGCACTAACTCCCTCATTTTCCCTTATTCCTCTGCTAAATGAGTGGGGCTGGCCCCCAGGCCTGGTGAAAGGCAGCCCTGCGCGTAGCGCACGCTGCACCCTCGGCTGAGACGATGCAAACTTGGGCTCTAAAGCCACCCTGGGCCGTGCAGCCCGCGCGGCTCACCGTCTAGGTTTGAGTCCTGCCCCGCAGCTCCAGCGCTCCCACCTCACCCAGCCCCGGGCCCTCCCTCGGCCTCCTCTTGGGGCGCAGGGGAATGGCTGTCCCTGCTCTAGGCTGAGGCCGGGGCTTCTCCTTGCGCCCCAGGCCACCCTCCCTCACCCGCTCCGGGCTTGGCTGCTCCTCAAGACGCCTCCGGAGCTCGGCCCCGCGGACAGACGCGTCAGTGACTCACCTCCAGCCCCGTCTCCCACTTCACGCTGAGTCTCCCCTCCTGGAGTGAAGACCGCCGACGGGGACCCCCGGAGCTACAGTCCCCCCCCCTTTCACAGAACCTGACTGTCCCTGGGGCGGCCGTGCGTCCAGCTGGACTTGGGTCTCAGCCTCACTGCGGCGAGGAGCGGCGGGAAAACTAACTTGTCGGGGACACCTACGTGTGTGGGGCGGGGCGGGGCAGCGGGGCGTCTCCAGCAGCAAGACCCCGCTTAGCCGCGTGGGATCCCGACCTGGGCAGGCGCCCCGCCCCCGCCCGTGCGCCCCCGCCGCCTGCTCCGGCGCCCGCACAGCCCGCGGCCGGGCTCATCGCAAACCTGTGCGCCCCAGGCCGCCTGCGAGGCGGTCCCGGACCTAGAGCTGGAGCCAGCGGACAACTGCGGGGCCCGCAACAAACACGAGGTCTGCAGGGGCAGCTGTGCCCTCCCCACCCGCAGGCTGCCGGGGGCCGCTGCCGCCGGCCGCGCCTGGAGGGCCGGGCTCCTCGGAGCGGCGTCTGCAGACCCGTCTTCCAGGGGCCTGCCCCAGCCTCCTCCCACCCGGGCCCCCAACACCGCCCCGCTGGGCTCCCGCACGGAGGCCGCCCAGACCCAGGCGGGCTGCGCCCGAGCCGCGGAGGCTGAAGCCCGCCCGCCCCCTCCCGGGCCGGAGAAGGCTGTCCTCGTCTGGTCAGATTGTGAAGCAGAAGAAGGTTTTTGGGGATAGATGGGCACAGGCTTCCCCAAAAGCAGCGGAAAGTGCAGGGAGTGTCCTTAAAGGGCTGGGGCGCCAGCAACTATTTTGAGCCAGGCCAAGGGCTAAGCCCTGGGGACAGCGCACCTCCAAGCTGAAAGGAGCCTGGGTCCCTGACTTCGGGGCGTCCCCATTCCAGCCCTGGGCCGTGGAGCAAACTCTGATCTTGCTTAATGAAGCCACTGCTAGTGTGAGTCTCCACAGCTGAACTGAATCCTCATTCAAACAGCTTTTGCTTCAATTGACACCCCCCCCACTTCCTATTTTTCACGGGCTCCTGCTGCCCAGCTGATGCCTCTCATGCCTCTCCTCTCCGCTGCTGCTTTCACTTTGGTGAATTCATGTAAGTCCCTTGGCTTTAATCACAGGCTTATGGCTCCAAATCTCTGTTCAGCAGGACTGGCAGAATCGTGCATCCAGTAGTGTGTTCAACAAAGTTTACTAGACACACAGTTGTCAGACAGGCTCGAGTAGAGCAGGCCACCTCGAAACTGCTTCCCCTGCAAACTTGCTCTCCGGTCACCCCCATCTCAGTAAATGGCAGCACCTGGTTGCTGAAGCAAGCACCTGCGGTCTTTGAACAAGTCTACTTGCTTGTTCAAAACCCATCAAAATGTCCTGATGGTCTCCTGGAGAAGGATCCCCGCCCCAGTAGTGGCCCCAAGCTACCCCCCTCTCATCCAGGCCCCCATGGGCACTCACCTGGCTGACTGGGCTCCGGGTTCCACTCAGGCTCTGCATTCTCCATGGAGCCACCAGAGTGCAAAATACATGCACAATTTTAAAGACAGGAGACCTCAAAGACATTTCACGCTTGCATTGGGTATGCTTTGGTCCACTCCTCCAGATTCCCTCTGGGGTTCTAGAACTCTCCTCATTCTTCAGTCACTTCATTGGGAAAGCCAGCAGCACTGGCTTTCTTGTAAGTATAGCTTTAAGTTAAGGCAAACTTAAACTTTTACCCAAGTAATATCTGTAGTATAGAAATCACAGAATACTTTACATGCAGATGTTCCTTCTGAAACTTACCTTCATGTTTCTAAATTGTGGTTTTCCAGTTTCTTTCATTTTTACCACGGAAGGGGACTTGACACTTGCCTCTTTCCGTCCTCCCATCCCCACCCCTAGTGTTAGCACTATTCAGGATTTGTAGTATTTTGCTTACATAACTATTAGCAGCTGAGATAGATTATATGCCCTATGGCCTGCATTTGCTTTTTTTTTTTTTTTTTTTAAAGTTTTGACTTAATTTTCCATGGCCCATTACCAAATTATTCCCCAAACTTCTTGCAGGGCTTTTGGCCCCTTGCAAACCATGAGCCAAATGGAAAGTGGGCTAGCCAGAAAGCGCATCACTCAAAGGGGGTGGTGGGTGGGAGATGCAGGCTGAAGGGGAGAGGGTGGTGGGCACAGGGCAGCCCTCTGAAAACTCACAACAGATGCAACCAGAAGCACAAGTGTCCGCTTTAAACACACATCAGGTGGAGAGCCGGCAGTCGACTCACCACAGTATTGGTGAAATATAAACTTGCCTCATCTCACTCACTTAGCAACATGGGATAAAAGAGGCGGCAGCACAGGTGGGAAAATAAAGCCAAGGTCAAACTCTTGCTCCTCCTTCCCCCTTCAATACAGCAGGGCGAGGCAAGCTGTAGGCCCAAGCTGGGGAAGAGGTGGCCTCTATCTCCAAGAGCAATTCACAAGAGTCATGGTCACCCTGGACTGGGCACTTAAGGGGGAGGCTTCCAGGATCCTAAAGTGATGGGAGGAGACTTGGCCTACATTCTCTTTGGCAGCAGAGGAAGGTGCCAGAGAACAGATCACAGCAGACCAAATGGGGCCTTTTGAGCCACTGGAGCTGTGATGGCAGAACTAGCTCTTGTGCTATTTTCCTTCGCAACTGAAAAGCTTGATCAGGTGCAGCTCATCGACATTGAGTGTTTGTACCAATTCGATGAGCTTGGCAACTTAGCAATTTTCACCTGCTGCAAAGATTGCCATTTGTGATCTCACAATTTCTCTTTTCTTTCCCCTTGTAATTCACCAGAACCTGAATTTAGTGTGGGATGTTGGGTTAGGATTCTGAATGGAGAAACATACAAAAGTGCAGCTGGTTTGAGAGCCAAACATATTAAAGGGGATAAAGCCTGTTTCCTTTAGGGTTTTTATTTTTTTATTTATGTATTTTTTTAAAAGATTTATTTATTTTATTTATTTATTTATACAAGCACTGGGTACAGTCAGAAGCGCGGGAGGGTGAGAGAATTCACCAGAGCCAGAGCGGGGAGCAGAGCAGGCAGAAGGACCGAAGTACACTGCTGAGGGGAGCAGCGGGCGGCAGGAGAGGTCTGTGCGCCATGTGGGACCCTCCTCCGGTGGCCGGGGAGCAGCCGGGGATCGAACCGGCACTGCATAGGCTGTGGGCAGCTTCGCAACCCAGCGCTCAACCGCTTCGCCACCGGGGAGGCCCTCCTTAAGGGTTTTTAAAGCACATTTTTGGAGAAAAGGAAATACCAGCTCACAGAGAACACAATTCTGTAGCCTGTGGCAGGTGCTGGGGTAGAGGGCTGGCGATGGAGGGCAGTCCCTGAAAGGCAACCACTCATCTGAAATGTAGGCCTGCTCAGGGACCCTGTGGAGGTGCACCTTGGAGGGTAAAGAACATACCTGAAGGGAATCAGAAAAGGTGTTGCCTCTGGTGAGTGGGGTGGAGACTGGGGAGCAGGAGAGCTTTCTGGCATAATGTGATCTTGAAATGGGGGGACTGGGTTGACAGGTGTACCTGCTAGGATTTATGCATTTCATTACTTTAAATCTTATCCACCCTCCACCTGTATTAAAACAATCTTATCCACCTTTATTAAAACAAACTAGTTAATATGCATGTTGAAATGTTTGGCCTACAATTATATTTTGAAATGCATCAAAAAATACGATGGATAGAATGGACAGATTACATAAAGCTAACTAGAAATTACAGAATAGAGGACATACAATTATTTCCACTTGTTGATATTAAAATATCCATAATGGTGGGAATAGACACACGCGTGTTATTTTGGCAAATTCACTTCTAAAATCCAGAAACCATACCCTTCCCTCCATGCCCAGGGCATTTGTCAATTTCTAACTCTAGCGGGTATTATTCCTCTATATTTGCTTTTAAGTACAGAAGGCCTGGAGAATTTACTATTATTTAGACTGACTGAAGTTCCGAGGTTTTGCCTCTGGAGAGTTAAACGGGGTGCATCACAAGCAGGAATGAAGCTCAGAGTGGAACCCAACTGCCCAGGGGTCTGGCGGTGAAGCATCATTACAAGTCATGGATTTTCCCCAAAGCCAGACAGCCTAAATTTTCCTCAGGACCTTGACAGAAGTTTGGGGAGCTTAAATGCAGGTAAGAAGGACTGCATGAAGAAGGGAGGGCCACATCCCCAAAGCCTGCTCTGGAGCTACACCACCTGCTTCCCCAGGGACAGAGGCCCTTCCTCCGGAAACCCCACGTCCTCTGGATGATTTGTGTATCAGACCTTCTTGCCCCATTATCCTTGGAGAAACTCAAGCCAGGACAGGGAACCTGATCTGGACCCCAGCCTCAGAGAACAAAGGGAAGATACTGGTGGCATACCTCACTTTCCTTCAAGTGCTAACTTCCGAGAAAATGATGGATCCAGTCCTGCCATCACCCCCTCCTCAGGATGGGCTTCTTGGGTCTGCAGGGACAGGGCAAATGTACAGCGGTTTCCCAGAGAATCAGTTTTCCTTGAAGATTTGAGGAAAATTATTTGAAAAGACTTCTATGTTGACAGACATGCATTATGGAGTGGAAAATTCCTATGATCTTTCACTAAAATAGGAAATTGTGAAGAAATTTTGCCAAACCCTCATAAACTACACCCCTAGGCTCCGAGGGGTATGTTTCACTCTTCTGTTACTGATAAAATTTCACTGGGAAATGAGAAAAGCATTTTTGCTAGATGGGAGAAATAATACTATAGACAGGTTACTTATGGGAAAGGACAATGAAGGATTTCAAGATTTGCACTACACAATTTTCAATCTTTTCCCTCTGGAACAAGAAACAAAAACGTAATAAATACGTGTGCCTTCTGGGGGGATTCTAGAGTGCCGCTGGATGATGGGTCCTGCAGCCTCACAGTGGCAGGCACGTCCTGGGATCCCCTTATACAGTCCAAGGGGAAGCACAGGTTTGCCCAGGACGAGCTCACCCACAGAACCTTCTGGAGCTCCTGGGAAGGCAGCGGGGACGCGCAGAGCTAGCTTTTCAAACCAGAAACCTAGTCCTGGCTGTGACACCTAAAGTGAGTCATTTTTTAGATCCCAATTTCATTTCATATCCCCTCCCTTTCCTTTTCTCAGTTCAGTGTAGGAAAAAACTTTGAAAATACTGGGAAGGGAGGGAAATGATAAGGGGGTGGCTAGGAACTAGAGTCCCAGGAACCACAGAACCGAAGACAACCCAGGCTCAGCTCAGAGGGGTGGCCAGGAGCGCAATGAGGAGTAGGCCTCTCAGCCATGAATAGCCTGCCCTGGGGCTGGAGTGGCATCGGGGCTTCCGCCTTTAGACATGTGATTACACAGGAAGAGAGACATCTTTTGAACCCCGTGTTTAAGACACACAAGCAGGTAAACATTTTGGTTATTTTTAGTTAAAGACAGCTTTCCCCAAAGTTGACAAAGTGAACAGAAGGTCAGAGGGAGGCAGGGTGTGGGTTTCTCATAAGCTCTTGCTCCAAAATCTGGACACGAGGAAAGGGCCCTCCCAGGAGCTCCGGGGCGCCTGGCAGCAGAGGGAGAAGTCTGGTGGGGTGGGTGGAGCTACAGACCACCCTTGGTCACTGGATGGTTGAGTGGACTCTAAGGTATCCCAGCTGATGGACATGATTAACACTATCATTCTTGGGGGGGCATTAAATTAAGGAAAGACGCAGGCCGCCAACACAGTGGCTTATTCAGTTGGATTCTGAATCACAATCAGGAAATAGTCTTTATCTGCAAAAGAGAAAAATAAAAAATAAATCACAATGGGAGAAAAACTAGAAAAAAAATTAAGTCATTGATTCACCAATCATAAAATGGGGGGAGGGGTGATAAACAACATCAACGATCATTAGGTCACTTCCGTTGCTGGGGAAACGGAAGACGAACTCGTAAGTTTCCAGTGGTGCTTCTGCCTACACGTGTGGCTGCCGGACAGCGCGGTCCCCCACTACACTTTCTGCCAGGGCAGCGCGCCCTCCCTTTCAGTCTTCCCAGTACCACAGGGAGGCAGGATCCCACTCCTGCTTTTGGGTAGGGAAACTCAGGTTCACAGAGTTTAAGTGAACTGCCCACAGCAGCGGCTCTCAAATTAGAGGGATTGAATCACCTGGAGGACTGTTGCAAACAAACACTGGGGAGCCCCAACCCCAGTGCTCTGGGGTGGAAACTGAGAATTCATATTTTTAACAAGATTGCAGGTGATGCTGACGCTGCAATTTCTGGGAGAACAACTGCTAGTTTAAGGTGACTCTGAGCTAGTTAAGAGTCAAAGGTGTAATTCCAACCTCAACCCCCTTGGTCTTGGGTTAATGTCAATTCTATCAGAGGCTGAGCTGCTGGCCTTCGAGAACTTTCTAGATGAGAAAATTTACAAAGTACCAAGTCAAAGGCAGCAAAAGCTATCTGAATTCCAGCCTCTGCAGCGCCAGTTCGATACCCGGCTGCTCCCCGGCCACCGGAGGAGGGTCCCATATGGCGCGCAGACCTCTCCTGCCACCCGCTGCTCCCCTCAGCAGTATACTTCGTTCCTTCTGCCTGCTCTGCTCCCTGCTCTGGCTCTGGTGAATTCTCTCACCCTCCTGAGCTTCTGACTGTACCCAGTGCTTGTATAAATAAATAAATAAATCTTTAAAAAAAAAAAACAGGTGAGCAGGCTAGTGAGCTAAGTGTTTTGTTTTTTTTTTTTTTTTTCCTCTAACTTCTTGAGAAGCAATGGGTAGCCAAGTGAAAAGGGCGGCCAGAAGGGAGTATATCAGGAAGGTATGTGTGAGGCCTAGGGAAAGAAGCTGGAAGCTCTTGAGGCTCTGAGAGGCAGCAAGGTGGCTGGAGAAGCAGTGAGGGTGTCCAGAAGGAACACTCACTGGACTCAAGGCAACCCTGAAAAGTCGTACTTCCAGCCTAAGAGGTGTGCACCACATCTGAGAGCAAGCGAGAGCAAGACAGCATGCACACCCTCCCTACAGGCCTCTGTGTGTTGCCCAAGAGTATGGCCACTTCATTCTCCACTAACAAGGCTGAGGAGCTTCTGGGCTTGTGAGCCCCAAGGACACCCTCTACATTGGCAGTTGCCAACTTAGACTCAAGCACCAATCATACCCATGGATCTGGACCTTGAAGGAAAGTTGGAGATGGCTTTACGCAGAGCTGAGACATGGATGGCTGGCCAGTCGCTTTCCCACAGCTCTGCTGTTCCAGAGCAGAAACTCTTGGAAACTTAATGTTTTTTTTGTTTTTTTATTTTACAATTTAAAAGGACAGGTTTATTAGGAAAAGGAGAAAGATTAAAAAAAAAAAAAAGAAAGAAACACCTGCCTCGACACAGGTGGGCAGAGAGCTGCTGCTGCTGCTTTGCAAAGGGAATAAACAGAACAACTACACAGTCACAGAAAGGAGAGCTGCCAATTCTTGGAAACTTTTAAGCCAAGAGACACCATGCAGGAGAGAAGACTGCATGATTTGTCCTGGCCTCACACCGTGAGCTCCCAAGTAGGTCTAAGGCCTACGCTGACTTGGAGGGTCAGTACAGTGAGCATTCCCAGTCTACGTTTTACAGGATGGAGGTTTGTCCTTACCCAGTATGAAATCTTGGTAGGGATTTGAGTTCAAATCTGATTCCAAGCCTTTCTGCCTCACCCTGTGCCAACACACTCAACCAGATGGGATGTCTCAAAAACCCAGAGCAGTCCAGTCCCCTACTTAACACTTTAAAGGTATGGAAACAGAGGTACATGGGTTCTGTGACTTATTTAAGGTCACATTCGTAAGAAGTGAAGCTGGGAAACAGATTCTGTGCCTGATGTAATTTGCCATGACAGTATAGAGACTTAATCATCATTTGGCTTGTGATGTATCAAGCAGTGATGACACCACAAACAGTGTATGACGGCATGCTTTTGGAATCAATGTCTCTGAAGTTACCCTACATTCTTCTCTGTCACCACATCTGTAGGGAGGGTCTCAAGGGTACCTGTGATGGGCTTTATGGGTCTCTCCTTTAAATCTTTCACATCCTTTCAGGGAGCTAGACTGGGCTGAACAGTCTGGGAATAGAACTACCATCATTCTGCTGCTGGGAGTGGCTGGCACCCCTCTCCTCTCAAATCACCTCAGAATTCTGCAGCCAGCCTCTTGCCATCTGTCTTGCCAAGCCCAGGGGCATTCAGTATCCCCAGCCTCTCCATTGTCCTCTTTCATCCAGATATATGGCAATTTTATCACCTTCTGTCATAAAATACTGCTCACAGGGTCAAGTTCACATAGCTGGGTTTGATGTTTGAAGTCCCTTCTAAGGTAGACCAAACATCTCACCGCCCACTCCATTCTGCACATATTCTAATGCTGTAGATAAGCTGCATGCAGCCTGCCTGCATCATCACATACGCACTTAGCTCATGCTCACTCTACTATGTGACTCAGCCAAAAAGGAGAGAGGGAGAGAGAAGCAGCAATGCAAAAATGATCCTGGGGAACTCTTTCCAGAAAGTGTAAGTGAGGTGAAGCAGGCAGGACAGTCGCCTCCTGTGGTCTCAGTCCTTGTGGGGTCCTCCCAGGAAAAGCATTTCATCCCCCTGAGAATGATTCTAATACTTAAAGACAGGTACTGTTTGTACCAACAGCCCCCAGATGCAAGCTGGGCACTTCACATGAAACAAAAACAGGCATCCGCTCTAATGCTGGAGGAAGAGTAGGCTGCATAGGGCCCAGAGAGACAGGACTGCATGTTACAGGCGGGCAGTGAAACAGTTTTTCAAGGATAAAATGTCTTTCCAGTATTTCTGCTTCTGCTTTGATTGAGAAATACAAAATTTTTTTTTTTTTTTTTAAGATTTATTTATTTATTTATACAAGCACTGGGTACAGTCAGAAGCACGGGAGGGTTAGAGAATTCACCGAGCCAGAGCGGGGAGCAGAACAGGCAGAAGGACCGAAGTACACTGCTGAGGGGAGCAGCAGGCGGCAGGAGAGGTCTGCACGCCATGTGGGACCCTCCTCCGGTGGCCGGGGAGCAGCCGGGGATAAACCGGCGCTGCAGCGGCTGTGGGCAACTTCGCAACCGCGCCACCAGGGAGGCCCAACAAAATCTTTTTGACTTCACACATAGCCAGCTCGCTTACACTTTCCTGTGCTGTTAGGTTCAGCTCAAATGTCCCCTTTTCTAGAAAGCCTTTGCTGACTGCCCCAAGCACAATCACACCCTCTTCCATGTTCCCAATGCTTCTTGAATACTCCACTCCAGGGAGAGGGTTACGCACACCGTGTCATACTTTAAGTGGCTATCTTCCCCATGATTCCCCTCTGTTGCCTAGAATCTAGGGCAGGGCCAGGCAGTGAGGCAATCAACTCTGTATCTTCATCTCTTTAGGCCATTTTGTGGAACTTGTGAAAATAATAACGTGCTAAGTCTTCCTGATAGGCTAGAGTATGTGCTGTGAGGGTGTGCTCCTAAGTGGGGATATGGAAGGCCTCTTACCTGGTGCAACCATAATTTCATTTTTCTTGGAGCGAATTCGAAGGAAGGTGAGGTCATTCTGGGGATCAATTTCACGCACAGTGCCCCGGGCCTTCAAGATGAAGTTGTGCATAAGGTTGGCGTACTGTGTGGTAGTGGGATTATCCATGGTGCTCTTGATAGGAATGCCTGGGGGGAGAGCAGACAGAGACTGAACAGGATTGGAGCTCCTTCTTGCCTCCCAACTCCACACCCCTAATTCTAGAGCACTGGTCTGAGTTGATTGTGTGTGAGTTAAGGGTTGTAGTTAACGACGAACGCCACTATTTACTGAGGGCTTGCTATGTACTATGTTGAACACTTCAAGTACGCTGGCATTAGTTTACAGAACTATTCTGAAGGCAGTAACCATCTTCACGTGCAAACGAGTTAACAGAAACGTCAAGTGGTGAGCACAAAAAGATAAGCATTAGGGCGAGGATTCAAATGTAGGCCCGTTGGCTCCACTGCTGGGCTCTTTTCACAGGGCTGCGCTGTCTTGATTGATTTCCAGTAAGTAAAGGCAATTATCATTCACAACAATTACAATGTGAACAATGACAGCACTTGCAAATGTATAAATATTGACAAACAGGAAAAAGAAAAAAGATTAGCTTATAACAGGACATAACAAGTGTTTTCTTCCAGCTCCCACCACAGGAGGCTTAGGGCCCAATTATAAACACACTGTCTATAGTTAGGTGATCATGCCCCCAAAAGTGACGCCTGTTTCTGATTGCATGTACCTTTGTAAAAAGCATTGCTACTGCATTCAAAGAGCCTACTAAGTCACCATCCACAGAGTTAATCATTTTCCTATTATTGAGCACTTTGGCTGCATTTTTTACTTAGTTAACTGTGTACTGCACAGATGTGTTGTGAACAGTACTGCACATCAAGTCTTTTCTGTTTCCTTGTAATGAACTATTAAATGGACTCCCTCACTAGACAGTGTCATGGAGGTGAGGAATGGGGCTCAGCGTGACCCACCTCTGGCCACAACTGTGTCACCAGGTACCTGTGAATCACTGTGACTTGAAGGCAGAGGCTTTATCAATGAGGCCCCAAAAGCCCTCACTGACAGCACAAGGGACTTCTCACACTTTTGTGGCTGGATTTTGGGCCTAGGACACTGCGAATATGGCCCACAATTGATTAGTTTAGGGATCAACCAAAAGCAGTAACTCTCAGATCTACACAAGAAATTGGCTCAACCTTGTCTTCTTATGTCAAAGGAACACAAGTGTCGACAGAAGAGGACATGGTGCTATTGAAAAAGCTGAGTCTGAACAGCTGTTTTGAGTCAAGTCACTACAACCAGTTATAGTGGCCATTTGCCACTTCTTTAAGGGACAAGAAAATCAGGTTATAAAGGCTACTGTTGAATCCTAGAAGCCAACAATGTGCCTATTAGGGCCCCAGGAAGCCTTGCTGGATAGTGAAACCTTTGTGCAGATAGGGTGATAATTGAGTAGAAACTGAAATGTGATGACCCGGGCTTACACCCAGACTTTGCCCCATCATAGCTATGTGGCCCTTAGGTAAGTGATTTAACCTTATTAAGACTCCACTTCCTCACCTGTAAAATGCCTGTGCTTCACAATGCTGCTCTGAGGATTAAACATGGCTAAACTCATTTAAGAATGTTTATAGCAAGAGTACTCACGTAATATGTTGGTTATCAACATCACCTATAGAATAAATCCCATCCCCACCCCCAGTCCCATGTGGGCAGCAGCAAAGGATGGCAAGGGTAAAGGTACAAAGGTGACACAAAGGGTCAGTCTCAAGGCCTTACAAAGTCTGGGTGATTCAACCTCTTAACCTCTTTTTATATACTACAAGACCACCTCTATCAGGTCCCCTGTCTGGAACTTTCCTTCCTTTCCCTATTCACTCATGACTGTCACTAGTCCCTCAGGTTTCCATCTTCTAATGGCTCTAACCCTCCTCCCCTAGCTGTGGTGATTGTCCCCATGCTACCATGCCAGCACATCAGTGTTCTTTTGGAACAGTGACTTGAGATTGATATCACATCTTTATGAAAGTGATCATTGTGTTTGTCCCCCGCACAATGAAAGCTCCCTGAAGGCCAGGACCAGATCTGATATGCTCACAAGTGTCCTCACAAAAGACTACATTAAGCATTTATTACTGTTGATAAATGAGCAGCCACAAGATCTACTTTCAGTAGTTCAGACAAATATCATTAGTTTGATCACATTTCTACCAAATGAGAGTATATGTAAAAGAAACAAGAAACTAAGCACTTGCTGGTTCACTCTAAAAACAAAAGAGAACATGGAGGTGGCAGGGCAGGGACCCAAACTGGGGGGAATTTCAAATAAGGGCAACAGAATAATTCCAGATTCACAGTATGCCAGGGCTGGGGACACCTCGAAGATGGTCTAACAATTAGGCTACCTATTCTAAGCCTCTGCCCTCACAAATGGGGACTTTGCAGCCTACAGAAGTTGCTGGTCACCAGGGAGGCATGACTTCTACTCAGGACTCAGATCTGTGAGGCTATGCAGGTCCTCCCACCACACTCAGCCCATCAATCAACATGAAAAAAAATTAACAAAAATTAATGCATATTTATTAATGAACCAAATCTGTGTTAACATTGTTCGAGGTGCTGTGGGTACAGCAGTAAACATGCAAGATAAATCCCTGCCCTGAGAGGTTACACACTTGAGTCTTTTATTTTGCAGCAGAGGATGGCAGAGGGTCGAGAGGTACAAATGGAATGGAATGTTCCTTAAGTTCTTGGTAAAAGCTGCTTAAACTCATACTTTTATTATGAAACATCATTTGAATTTGGCCTAGGCAGAGCTATCAAAAGGCAGTGGAAAATTGCTGGTAAGTGATCAGGACAAGTGTTATGGGTTCAGGAGCAGGAGCTTCACTCTGGGCTGGGGTGGTCAGGGGTGTCATCCTGTAGGAAGAATGAGAGGGGCAGGAAAGCCCTAGAGGGGAAAATAGAAATTCCTAACACAATCATCTCCAATCATCCTTAATGGAAGTTTCCAGAGGGCTTAAAGCCCCCATGGAAAAATAAGTTCTGGACCTCCCTGGTGGCGCAGGGGTTAAAGACAGCACTATCAAGCTATTGCCAGCCACTGCAGCACAAGTTCGATCCCCAGCCAGCCAGAGAGCAACCCACATGGAGCAGTAGCCCTCTCCTGCCTCACCCACTGCTCCCCTCAGCAGTGTGTTTCAGTAGATCTGCCTGTTCTGTTCCCCACTCTCTCTGGTGAGTCCTCTCATCCCTCGTAACTCTGGCTTATACCCCAGTTCTTGTATGCATAAATAAATAAATCTTTAAAAAGAAAAAAGAAAAATACGCTCTGATCATCCCCATCCACAGCTGGGGGCCTTGGGCAGGTCACCTCACCTTTCTCAGTTTGGGTTTCTCATCTGAAAATGGTCAAACACCCCAGCCTTAATAGGGTTACTGTGTGAAATGTAGATGAGAGACTGAAGTGGGAGCTCTGTGATTGGGGCACAAATTAAGGAAACATACACACACACACACACACACACACACACACACACACACACACTCTAATCGTAACATTTAGATGCCATTTACCATGTATCAGGCACTGTTCTAAAAAATTCCCTTAGAAAAAGGTGTATAATTATCCATATTTTAAGGATGAGGAAATCAGAACAGAGAGGTTAAATGACTTGTCCAAGATCACAAAGTTGACAAATAAGTAGAGTCAGGACTCAACCTGTCAGTCTGGTTCTATATTCCACATTCTTAGCCACTGTGCAGTATTACCAAACTGGTATACAAAAAACAAGTGCTCATTTGTATCTAAGAGGTAAGTAATTGGGGCTCTATTTTCTCAATGGAAACGCTCCATTTTAGGAGTTTTAAAGCAAGAATGAAGGCTTGTGATTTGCGAATTTCGGCAGAAGCCTAGGGGACCCACCAGGAGAGTCTGTGCTTGGGGCTTAGCCTTACAGACCTCGGCTAAAAAGTGCCCCGATTCCGAAGACAGTCTCTCTTTGTGTGGCATACAGTCTTTTGGGTCTAGGAACAAAAAGCACCTACCAGAGATTACCTGGATTAACCACACTACCTGGGTTACTGAGGTCCTAGAGGGTAAGGGGCCTGACCTAGGTCATCCAGTTAATCAGTGGCAAATCTGAACTGGGACTTGCTCCTGACTCCTAGTGTCCTGAGTATTCCCAACCTGCAGTCTCCTTTGAAAACAATTACCACAAGGTTTCATTAGAGTTTGATAAAGCTGGGGAGCAAGGTCTGCCTAGCTCTGAGCTGGCCTGTCTGATGGCTTAGAAAACAACATTCTAACTGAGGATATGCCACCTCTACTTTGTCACCCTCAAGAATTCTGCCTTTCCAAAACAAGGCTTCTAATGACAATGCATATACACTAGGGTGCACAGAAGTCTTGAACAAATCAGACAGACTGAGGAGAGGAAAAGTAGAGAACTGGCAGAATCAAGCTGGATGATCCTGGGCACGGCCTTGGCTAGACCAGCACCCACTCTCTCTGGTCCTTCATAGCACAGAGTAGGGGAAAGTGCACAAGTGGACTCAGACAGACTTGGAATAAATCTTGGCTCTGTAACAGCAGGTTTTTGATTTCTGGATTCAGTTTTCACCACTGCAAAGTGGAGACAACAGGGCTGCTTTACGGATCAAACACAATGATATGCTTATAAAGCATAAGCCTTGTGCCCTGGCACAGGATGTACATATGAGAAATGTCAGTTCCCCCTTCTACCATATCTAGAGCAGCTTGGAAAATTTAGTATCTGTAGTTTTTAAAGTTGTTAAAGTAATTTCTTTCCCTCCAAAAGAGGAGGGAAAAGCTAAAAGCACAAAACAGTTCAGTATTACTTAGCAAAAAAGTACAAACACCTTAGAGTATGGTTAATAAACATTGTAGTGGCAGTTTAAAAAATTTGCTTATGTAAATCATGGAGCAATATAAAAAAGCAATTGAATGAACACATGCAAAAGAATAACAACTATAATTATGACCAAGAGAAAATATGCCTGGACAAGTGCTGAAAAGGAATGGAATATTGAAAAACAAGCTTGTTAGGGCAGTGGGACTAACTCCATAGTAGTGCTACAACACTGGAGGCTGCCAAAACAAGCTGAAATTAGATCATGTATATGAAGGCACTCAGTAAACACCAAATGGTATGCTGTGTTTAGGCTGTCTTCTGGGGTCTTCTTGTGTACAGGTCAAGGCCGAGGGAGGGAGTACCTTCTGTGTTCACCACGATGATGCCCTGCACCCCCTTCTGGCTCTGAAGTCGTTTCAGTGTCTCCTCCACCTCTGCCTGCCAGAGAGAAGAAGACGAAGGTTAAGGAGGGACCAGGTAGGTTGTATTAACTCCTCCATACCCCTGGCAGATGACAGCAAACAGGTAACACCCAGGCACTTGGCACCTCCTCAAAGCTCCCCAGGCCTGTTTGGTATGGTCCTTAAGCCATCGGCAGCACCTGAATCATCTGCTTACACTTCCAGCACGGGGCTGCTCCTGGCCCTTTGCCCATTAGGCACTAGTGCTGCCCTACCCCCAACCCCCAGCTCTAGGTAGCAGAGTATAAATACAATTCCCAGGATAGCCACATCTATGACTCATATTTGGTATAGCTGGGGTATAGGACTTAGATGTTTTGAAAAACCCAACACTGATGTCTAACAGGAAGGAGAGACACATTATCGTTGTGGCCTAAAGAGCACAACTAAAAACATTCCAAAGGAAGCAAAATGACCCTATGAGGATAGACTCAGTGACTTAATACGATGGCATCTTAGACAATGTGACACCTGGCACACCGTCATGGGAAATGTGCCTGGGAAGGATTCATTAATGCTGAGTGTCCAGAAATTAGTTAGAGTGTGTGGGTTACTCTGGCACACAGGATTTGTAAACAGAGGGACAATAAGACACTGGGTCCTCACCCCGCCATGCAAGGTCTTCTTTTTCGCTCCCACCTCTTTGCCCCTTCCCTCCACTCTCCATTTACAGGACCAAACCTCCTGATCACATCTTTTACACCAACAAGGCCTCTTCTCTACTGAAATCCAACAAACTTTTTCAGACCATGCAAGACATCACCTTCTCATAAAGTATTTACCAGTCTCCATGTAGTGAAGTCTTGCCTCCCTCTGACATGCCAAACTCCTGACTGTCTCTCCTTGGGGAGTACATTACATACTATTTTACTTTGTCTCTACAATGGGCTGCAGAGTAGGGACTCAGTAAGCAGCTTCTTAACTGAACAAGGTCTACCTCTTCCTATGAATGAAAAGTGGCCTCCAAGTGGGCCTGCTCTTAGGAGGCATCTTCCAGACTGGTCCAGAATCCAGTCAGAAGCAACTCCAAATCTGAGAGTCCGATTGTGCTGGAAACAGGATCCATTCACCAAAAATGAGTGATTCCTTACCCCAGGGGCTAATGAGTTGGGGGAGAGGTGGACATCCCTAACACTGGATAGAGATAGCACAATGAATTATTATTTTTCTAGTAGGCACAAGGCTGATAATCCAGTCACCATCAAACCATTCCCCCGTGATATAAGAATACTCCCAACTGCTGCAGAAAAGGACAAACAAGTCCTCCGGCAAAAAAGCACACAGCCTGATACTTCTAAAGTCTGGAGCCTGGGTAAAAGGACAATGCTAGGTCAGTGGATGTAGGTACTAGACAGTGGGTCATGCATGTAGGAAATCATAATTCTGCAACAGACTTATTAATTCCTATTGAGTTCTTACTATGTGCTACTCTGGAGAGGCGGGGAAAGCACAAAAATGGTCAATACTACACAGTACAGTATGACCTAGTAACCTGTCTGGAAATTTATCCGCAGGAAATAATTCCAAAGATAGAAAAGAACACAGCAAGATGTTTGTTTAGTAAATCCTACAACAGCAAAAAGCAGAAAGAGTCCAAAATTGCCCAACAAGGGAGAAGTAAATTATGAAATGTCTGCTCACAGACATATTACATATTAACAATGGTGAACAGAATATACAACTGCAAAAGGTTTAAGATATAATGTTAAGTGAAAACAGTTAAAAAGAAAAAATAAAGTAGTGACTACAACTATATGAAAACAAGAAGAGGGATTAAAATAAAAGCTCCCTTAAAAGCAGAAAATTATAGGTAAAGTTTTATTCTTTTTAAAGCCCTTTTTAATTCTTTTAAAAATATCTTTAACCCTTCTCTGTGTATCTAAGGGAATCTCTGAGATGAGGGCCATATGGCTCTGACAAGCTCAACATTTTAAGAACAAGATTATAAATTTGTCAATTGTTTGAACAATTTTAAGAACAAACAATGATAAGAACAAGATGATAAGAACAATTTGTCATTTGGATGGCAAATTAGGAAGTTCAATTCATCTGCAAATCACCCTGGGGAAGAGGAATAAAAGCTAAAACCAAACATATCAGAATACGAGGTCCAAAATATTCCCCATGGGTTAGAAGGTGGGGCTGAAAACTACGTGGGCACCTTCCATATGCAAGACATTGTTTTAGGCCTGGGGATGCTGTAGGGAACAAAATACAACAAATATCTCTGCTTAATGAAATGACACTTGGCTGGGAAGGAGTAGACATTAAAAAAGAGTAAGTAAAACCTAACTACCAGCCACAGCAGGGAAGGTGAGCTAGAATACAGGAGCTACTGGCAACTTTAAATAAGGTGGTCATACATGGCATCACTAAGATGAGAGCAGAAGGAAATGAGGGAGCTAATCATGCAGCTCTCTAGGGAAGAACATTCCAGACTGCACCAAAACAAAACAAAACAAAACAAAACAAACCCGAGTCCTGAGATGGGAAAGCAGAGTTTCCAGGAAAAACAAAGGAGCCAGTATGGCTGCAGGGCTGCAGGGGGAAGGTTTAGAGCAGCAAAATGAGAGGTAGCAAGGATTAGGGGCGATTTCAGCAGGCCCGGTAGAAGACCACAATAATGACTTTTTTAATGGGGACAACCTGGGGGAGCCAGTAGCAGGTTCTGAAGTAAGGAGTCACATGATTTAATGTTTCAAAAGGATGACAGCTATGGAGAGACTGGGCTGCAAAGTGCAACACAGCCTACTGTGAGCCAGGGGTGTTGGCATGCTCTGCTCCTCTGAAAAAAGCAACCTCCTCTCCCTCCCTATTTGATGTAACTAACTCCCAACCCTTTGGACTCAGCTCATGAGCCTTTTATGGGAGAGCTTCTCTGATAACTGCCCCTCATCTGGGTACCCTGGGGACCCCGCTTTCATAGCATGTATCACAATGGGGGTAACTGCTTCACTTCTGTTTCCTCCTCCAGACCCAAAGCACACTGAAACCAGGGTCCTAGATTTCATAGTCCTAGTAACCAGAACACCATAGGTTCAATGAACTTAAGGAACAAATAAAAGACATTTCTGCAATGGTGTTTCACAAAATCAACCTTTTTAAGTACAGGAGAGGGAGACATGGCCTTACAGTACCCAGAGTGAAAAAAAGGGTTAAGGTTTAGCTGATGCTAAGTTTGATGAGAAACAAGTCTGCTTCTTTGCTTAATAAGTAAGGGGCGCCATGGCACTACATTCAACTAGGGGCTGGCAAGTTATGTTTGTCAGAAAAATCTTGCTTGCAATTAACCATTTAGGGAATGATCCCTGAACCTTTGGGGCACATATTCACGATTTGCCTTTTGGAGTGATTTAGTAGAAAGGTTTATTACAATCCTCAAGATTTTTTGAAGGGATTCTTTTGCCTAGTGTGGGAATGGATTCAAAGTGGAAAGTCTGGAGGTGAGGAGACAAGCTGAAAGGCAATTTTAGCAGTCAAATTCAAAGATAAGGATCTGAACTGGGGTAACTTTTTGTGAATGAGGGAGAGGAATGATTTTCCAGATTTTGATGTTGAATTCCATGGCTAAAATTAGGAGAAACAATTCGGAAGATGGGGAATAAAGTTTGAATGTGTTCGTTTGAGAAACCTGTGACATCTCCGCTTAGCTGCTGGAAGAGGAGGTTGCATGCCACTGTGACTGAGAAATTCTTCAAAGTCATGCTGCTTGGGTTAAGAATTCCAATTTCACTGCTTATTAGTTGTATAATCTGAATAACTGAAGGTGAGCTATCAGAACACTCTGCACAGATACAAAAGTGTTCTCTACCTTTTAACAAAGAGACTGGCTTCCACAGAGGTATGAGTTGAATTTAGTTTTCTTCAGAAGAACTTCATAATATACTAGAACGGGAAGTTTTTTATGGAGTAAAGCGCCATGTTCAAGCTTGAAGACCAGAAGTTTTGCAAGGGGAGCAAAAATCTGATGAAGAGAAAGATTTTTGAGACTTACAGCTTATTAAAAAACAAAACAGAAAAAAAAAAAGAAACATACACTTACCAAGAAAGTAAAAACAGACAAGTACACACAGTTCTACTTAGGACAGGTCAGACATTGGGATGAATGTTTTCAGATACAACTCCCATCTGAACCTTCCATGGGTGGTATAATCCCCAAAGAAAACTGACCTTCAGAAAGGAAAAATTTTGGGGCCTCCCTGGTGGCACAAGGGGTTAAGTGTCAGCACTTTCAACTATGTGCAGCCACTGCAGCAAGAGTTTGCTAACCCACATGGCGCAGCAGACCTCTCCTATCTCACCTGCTGCTCCCCTCAGCAGTGTATATCAGTCAACCCGCCTGTTCTGTTCCCCAGTCTCTGGTGAATCCTCTCACACACACCCCTCCCAACTCTGGCCTGTACCCCAGTTCTATGCATAAATAAATAAATCTTAAAAAAAAAAAAAGTAAAAGTTTTGCCCAAGGTCACATAGCAGTCAAGAGAACTGACTATACCAGTGACCACAACTGCCAAGGTCCTTGCCTTTAGGGAGCTCATATTCTGGTAGAAGAGACCTTCAAAAAACAAGTGATCAAAGAGTCTTTCAGGGCACAGACAGGGCTGGGGGACAAGGAGAGGCTATTCTGGCTAGCAGGAACACCTGAGGATGATGTAAACTTCAAGCCAAGAACTAAATGATAGAAAAGCAAAGCACTCCAGGCAACAGAGTGAATGCAAAGGCAGTGAAGTGGCAAAAGTTTGGCATGTTCAAGAAACCAAAAGATGACCCTTATTTCCAAGTTTTTTGTTTCTTTGTTATTCTGATAGGCAAAGATCAAATAATAGAAAGTCAACTTTTCCTTAATTTTTGAGCATTATCAGTGAAGTTGAAATCTACCTTACTGACCACACTCTCCTTTTTTTGAGTCTTTTGGTTTTTCTGTATTATTGACTTTTCTAAAAATCTTGTATGTTAGAAATATTACTTTTGTCATATAAATTGAACTCCTACTTCCCTCATTTAGTCTTATGTTTTTTCGATAATCAGAAACTTAAAATTTTAATGTAGTCAAATTTAATAAAAATTTTCCTGGCAGGCTAGAGAATAGTTTACCTAACCAACAGAGGGCTGGAGGGGTGGATAGGTCTGGGTAAATGGGATAGCCATGAGGACTAGAGGGGTCTCCAGGAAAGTACAGGGACCAGCAGTTACCTATCTGGGTATAGGACAACTTAAAAATAAACCTCAAGTTCATCCCTGAAGGAGCCAAGGAAGAAAACAAAAGTTGCCCCCAAAATTCTAAGAAGCAATGGGGATATTTGCAGATGGGAAAGGTGTGTACTCAGGCATCGAAGTCATGTCAGTTCTGCCTCAAGGCTTGTCATTCCTACAGCACTAAGAAGAGCTACCAGAAATACCTGAGTGGTCATGCAACTCCTCAGGGTCAGCTCACATCTCCAACGTCCTCTCTGGTTCCTAGAGAGCCCAACTGGCATCTGCAGCATCCTGGGTCTTTAGGACTATAAACATGGGTGTCTACATCAGAGAAGGGACAAAGCTTCTGGGTTCTCTAATTCCCAGATGGGTGTTGACAAATGGGAACATAAATTAACAGTACAGCTCCAGGATTATTTCTCGGTTTAGTATAGAAGGGATAACCTTCTGAAGCAAATGATTTACAAAGGAACTATGACCAATATGACTACTGAGCTGAAAATTTCAATTTCTATAAAGCAAAAATTAATCAAATAGGATTTTAAAAAATCCCTGCATTGAATGACATACAAAGACATCACAAAAAATGATTAAAATAACAAATCTCCAAAACTTTAAGTGGGCAGAGATGACAACAGTAGAAAACACACTGCAGAGAATTTACACAAAAAAATGTTCTCTGGGGCCTCCCCGGTGGCGCAGCGGTTGAGTGCTGAATTGCAGGCTGCCCGCAGCCTCTGCTGCGCCGGTTGGATCCCCGGCTGCTCCCCAGCCACCAGAGGAGGGTCTCCCCTCAGCAGTGTACTTCGGTCCTTCTGCCTGCTCTGCTCCCCGCTCTGGCTCTGGTGAATTCTCTCACCCTCCCGCGCTTCTACTGTACCCAGTGCTTGTATAAATAAATAAAGTCTTTAAAAAAAAAAAAGTTCTCTGTTCTCTGTAAATGAAAAAATTAATAGCTATAGCAAAGCTGAGGTATCTTGTTAAATGCTGGCAACATTATGGCAAAACTGGTACCACAGCATTACAACCTATGGAAAGCAACAGGACAACCCAATTCCAAAAACCATAAAACTGTTGGTTCCTTTGCCTCAGAAATTCTTTTCCTGAACATTTCTTCTAAGGAAATCCAATTAATTTATTTTTTTAAAAAGATTTATTTATTTATGCATACAGGAGCTGGGGTACAGGCCAGAGGTGTGTGTGGGGGGGGTGAGAGGATTCACCAGAGACAGAGTGGGGAGCAGAACAGGCAGATTGACTGAAGTACACTGCTGAGGGGAGCCGCAGGCGAGTCAGGAGAGGTCTGCTGCCCGATGTGGGTTACTCCCTGGCAGGCCACGGATTGAACTCGCGTGCAAAAGCTGCAGTTACCTTTATAGGTTGCGTCTTAACCCCTTGTGCCACCAGGGAGGCCCAAATCTAATCAATTTAAATAAATCACACACTCAGAGGCATTTATCATAGTGTTATCTCTACTGATGAAGAACCAGAAGCAACTCAAACGTACACCAAAGGAATGGTTTGGCAAATTTATGGTACAACTATTTCACTATATGTCACTAAAAGTAATTCATTCCAAAATGATGTAGCAACAAAAGTAAATGTTTTGGACACCAAAACAAACAAAAAAGGAAATACCAGCATGTACATCTTGAAAAATAAGCACATGTGAACAAAGAGGAAAGAGAACACACATGGAAACAGTCGTGGGGAAGCAACTCCAGGTGAGACTTATGGATGATTTACACTCTATCACTTTAAAAGGCAATTTGGTAATTTTTACCAAAATGTAAAAAATCCATGCCAGAACTACTTCTTCTAATAATCTGTCCTACATAAACACTATATGAACACACACACAGGCGAGAATGGTTATCTGGAGTAAAAAATGAAAAACTGCCTTATATATGTATGTGCATGTAGTACTGTGACAGAGTACTATAAAACCCTCAAAAAAAAAAAAAGATTTGAATACTGACATGAAAAAAGTTTGATATTTTTGAGAACAGAGTAAATTGCAAAATGAAATACTTATAAACACAGCTGAAAGTGAACTTTGCATGTTTAAACATGTAAGCACTAGTTTCATGTAATATATAGCTTATATATAGTTGTGCTTACACAAAAATAAATCTGGAAGGAGACACTCAACTGCCAACATCGCTACCGGGGGAAGAGAGGTGGGAACTGCATGCAATTTCTAAGTTACATACTTCCCATGAATTTGTTAAAATGTACATCTAAATATATACTGCTTTTATGAGAACATAAACACACAATAACATGGTACAGGTTGCAGCATGCCACTACTTGTATAAAGAAAAAAGAGGTGATACTCATGCTTGTATTAACACACAAGAAATTAATAATGGTTGTTACAAAAAGAGATTGAGGCTGGGGTCAGGGTTTGGTGGGAGATTTTTTTTACTTAGATCATTTCATAACTTTTGTTTACTGTGTACAAGTATTATCTTAAGAAAATTTTTATAGTTTAAAAAGTGATGTGAAAGGTGAAGTTATATTATCTGCAGCATTATTACATGTTTTTAGTGACGTGAAGATATTATTCTATGGTGTAATAATACGCTGAAAAAGCAAGGGCCAAAACTGTATATTGAGCAGGAGCTGACTATATAAAGCAAAATAATGACGAGAAAACGATTAGAATATGCCTAATTAAAACTAAAACTGGCTGTCTCGAGGTGAGGACAGTTTCTTTTTTACCTTTCAACTTTTCTAGGCTTTAACATTTTAATTTTTGAAAAGGGAATAATATTCACACGACTTAAATTGAAGATCTTTCCCAATTTTATTTTTTTTTTAAACAAATTGGGAGAATTAAAAGCTTGAGAAAACCAACCTGCAAAGGCGCAGGGAACCCCAGCGGGGAAGGCAGGAGGCTCTGGGGTGGCGAGGGGGTGCCCCCCCGCCTGACTCAGGCGCCGAGTGCCAGCCGCTCGCGGCCACGGCGGGGACCCTGAGGCGGCAGCAAGCTTCGAGGGATCAAATCCACCTCCGCCATTTCCCGGGCCAGGCGCTCAGCCCCACCCGGCTTTACTTTCCGAGCACATACAACGGGGCCGAGGCAGGATGGGCCGCACGGGCTGTGGTGAGGCGACGCCAGGGCAGGAGGCGCTGGGCAGTGCCCGGCACGGGGTAAATCGTCATCGCGGCTCCCGAGCAACACGGCCCTGGACGCCGGGACGCAGGCCCCGGACGCCGACCTCCCCGCCGCCGGGACGCCCCGGCCTGAGGCCGACGCCGCTTCCGGTCCAGGGGCAGCGGGACCCGGCGGTTCCGCCTCAGGTCCCGTTGGGTCCGGGTCCCGGGAACCGCACCCTCCAGTCCTCTCGGGCCTGGCCCCGCCCAGCCCCGCAAATTCCCACCCCAACGCAGAGACGCCCCTGGAGAGGGTAAGACCAAGCGCAGGGTGCTGGGCGGCCACGCTCGGCCGCCCCCGACTGACCGCTCACAGCTCGGGGCGGACACTCACCATCTTGGACCGGACAGACACCTCCGCGTCGCCACCGCTCGGCCCAGGCAGGCTACTTTTCCGCGCCTGCGCACAGGAGTCTGTCAAAACGGACAGCGCCCGTAGCCTATCAGGAGCCGGCGTGCGCCGTGCGGGCAGGCGGGGCTTGGCTCCCCCGGGGCTCGGGGGACGTTTGCCTTGCGCTGTCAGAGAGCGAGACGCCAAGGATCGCCTCAGCTGTGGAAAACTCCCGGTTCTGGTTGTGCCGGAAAGACGCTAGTTAGCAGTCGGAAGGGATTTTCAACTCTTGGACTAAGTCCGAGCTGATTCTGAAAGCCCCGGGTGGAGCGTGCTGGGCGGGTGCGAAGGCGAGGAAAAGGCGCGTTGAGACCGCTTGACGCCGGTTGAGACAAAGTGAGGCGCGCAAAATGCGCCCAGGACAAGGTGGTCTGGAAGTTGGGGTGGGCGTCTGTTGTCCATGGGGCCCCCAGTGCTACCCCTCGGTAATATTCCTCGCAGGCTCTGAGACGACGTGGTCGGGGTCAGCTGGGAGTCTGCAGCCTAGGGCCCCTCGCTCCGCGCCCCGTGTTAGCGAGCTCGCAGAAGCCACTCCCGTCTTTGCTGCTCCTCTGGTCTTAGCGCTTCGAAACGGCGGCCCTTCTTGCCAGATCCCTGTGATGTTCGTTTCTGCTGCTCTCTAATCTTCTACTCCCGCAAGCCAGAAAATTTTCTGGGTTCTCTGGCAGGAAGTTAATTGTTAAAACGCGCTGCCATATACTGAACCTTGTTTCAGTTATTACACTTACACCGCTACCTCCAGCAGCCTCCGCTTTCCTTTGCGAATGCTGTTTCTTCGAGGCATTAGGGTTTGCTAAATTCAGCACAGATGACCTAACTCCAAATTTTCATCCCCTACAGTCACTTTGACTTGGGAAAGATTTGGTGCTACTCTTACGGGGGTGTCTTCAAGTTAAGAGGATTGCATAGATACTGGCTACAGTATCTATGAGGACTAGTATGAGGAAACCTAGCAGGCACAGGTAATGGGATGTGTTGATGTGTGCCCTCTGATAAGATGAGCTAAGGGCACATCATCACCTCTGTAGTACTTTTTTTTTTTAACTTCACGACCTTAACCGTGAGAAAACATTAGACCAAATTTGTGGGACAGTCTACAAGGTACTTGGTCAATATTCTTTAACATAACTGAAACAAGGTTTTATGGCAGTGCGTTTTAACAACTATCTTCCTGCCAGAGAACACAGAAACTTTCCCGGCTCGCGGGAGTAGAAGGTTAGAAAGCAGAAACGAACAACATAGAGATCTGTCAAGAAAGGTCCCCTTTTAAAAGTTAAGGGCAGAGACAATGAATGAATGAAGGAACTGCTAGAGTGGAGGTGATCAAGAAAAACAATACCGATGGGAAAGCTAGTGAAATCTGAATAAGGGCTGCGATTTAGTGTTATTTTACCAATATTATTAGATTTGTTAATTGTACCTAGTTATTTGGTAAAGTTGGGTTGGAGGAGAAGCAACCTCCTAGCCAGTGGGTGGCGCTCATAGCCAACTTTATGGCAGAAGGTGGAGCTTTCCAGACTCCACCCCCAGTGGAGGCTGCTGAGAAAATGGGGCATAGCAGATGCTTTTTGGCTAAACTCAGGGTTTCAGGCAGTTAAACTACTAAGGAGGAAGTGTCTGTGGAAAACCTGCCAACTTGCCGCATAAGGCTTTGGCTTGAAGGTTGATCTCTGTTCAGTGGACACTATCGAAGATAGGACAGAATCTGGCTCTGGTCCAGCCTGTAAACACGCTTTTGGTGCTCCCTTTTCTCACTCCCTAGCTGTTTCTCACGTGTCTGCTTTTGTGTTGTGTTCTGTAGTCGTAAGTGGTGAGTGAGGACCTGCCAGCTGGGTTAACTCTAGTCCATGGTTCCGTTTGAGATTGATGAGTGTGCAGGAACTCTGTACTATCTTTGCAATAGTTCTTTGTCTAAAATTATTTCAAAGCAGAGTTTAAAAAAAAAATACTGGATATGAAGAAATGACTATTGAACACGGGAAATAACAGGAAAGCATTTAGCAAGGGGAAGTAAGGCTGTAGTCACTGAACCTTGAAGCATCCTGAAAGATAGGCACTCAACTTATTTTATATATGGAGAACCAGATTCCATATATGCGTAGGGTGGGGAAAAAGGACATAGCAAGGTCACACTCATGGAAGCAAAACAGAATGTCCAAACAAATAATGTGACAGCTACCAGACATGAGGATGATGGTGGAATTGGAAATGGGGCCTTAAATAGCCTTGACAGGCTTAGGAGTTTTAGAATTTATCCTATGGTAATGGAAGAATCATTGTTAAGATTTTAAGCAGGAAATAAGAATCAGACTGAGGTCTTCCATAGATCATTCTGCAGCAGCAGAGATGACCTGGAGCTGGGATAAAGGAAGTAATGAAATGAAACTTCTAACATTCAGGTTAGGAATGAAGGATTTAGGTATGTTGATGGGGATACTCTGATAGCAGTGATTCAACAAAATTTTGGAGACAGATTTGACAGTATTTGTAGACTAATTAAATAGAACAGCTGAACTGATTATGGAAGATACCCAGGGTTGTGAGCAGCGGTATAGCAAAAATTTAAGCACCCAAGTGTTGGAGTCAGACAGTCCTATATTCCAGTTTGCACTGCTGCACTCCCTTAATAGCTGTGGACACTTCAAGTCACTCAATCTCTTTGTATTTTTCTTATATAGTTGCCACTTATATACTTGTTCTTATATACAAGTCACTCGATCTCTAAGTATTTTTCTTATATACTTAGAAAAGAGACACATTCTTCTCTGAGAGTGTCCATACAACAGTACATGTAGTGTATCTAGTAGTGTTTGGGGCACATTAATAAATACTGACATTTGTCCTGGGACTATGTGAATATGGGTGTAGTATTGGTTGTTAGAATAGGAAAGACAAATATTAGAGCAGATCTGGATTAAAAATGAAAAATAATAGCATAGGTGTTTTTAGTGATCTGCAAGTTATCACTGTAAATTCTCAAGGTCCTTCCCTTTGAACAATCCCTTTTGCCCACAGCATCTTTGCTTAATGGGACTCTGTTCATTAAGGTACCAACATTGTCCTTTTGAGGGTCCCACTGAAGACTTTTCCTTGCCAACCAAGAAGATTCCCTTTAATCCTTCCCTGAAAATGTCCTTACCATAAATAGGAGCCCTACAGACACATAAGAATTGACAACTGAAATGGGCTGTGAATTACGTAAGTTTCTGCTCTGCAGTTGCACAATGTGGGACATATTCCTTCAAAGTCCAGAGAACAGCATTCAGTCAACCACAACTGAGTCCTGGTTTGATGGTGTCCCTGAGGGGTTGGGGCTGGAGAGCCAAATGGACAGAAAGAATTACTTATTTTCCAGATTTCCTAATTCTTAGGGACACACCATTTTCCCCATATGTGTATGTCTATGTATGTGTGTGTTGTGTGTAAAATCTGTTGTTGTTTTTTTTTGGCAACACTGAAGTTAGCGCCTTCTAACTATGTCATATTAAACAGTTTCTGTCATCACTGTTAGCATACTAAAAAAGAAAAAATCCACATCTCTCCACTGGTTCTGTTTTAAAGGAGAGCATGATCATTTGATTTCGTGTAAGAGGACACCGTACTGAAAGTAGTCTTTATAGCTAGGTAGTGGTTCTTTCTACCCAGCACCTATGGCTGGGGTCCTGTCTTACACAGCACCTTTAGTTGTCTTCATCAGTTCTCTTCAAAATAGACAACAAATAGAATCGCACTACAGTTGAGTCTTGTTTTTTCCCTACCCACTCCACAGTACAGACAGGTTGAAACCTGCCTACTTACAAAAACAGAAAGACAGCAATATATACAACCCAGTCATTTTAGAAGATTTCTCTGAAGGTGGAGAAAACCTTACTCAAAACTAACAGAAAAGTGTGCAAATGAAGGACCAAAAAAGTTTAATTATAAACAGTCTTACATCTTTTATGGAAATTCAAGTGAGGCAGCCCCCTGAAGGACCTTTATAAGAGCACTTGACTCCCTGTGATTATTTGTAGAGTTACCTGAGTATTTGAAATTACAGTTCAAGAAAACAAAGGAACTCCGATACAGTCATATACAATCCAGTGCTGCCATTCCCTGTTTTTAGTTAATGAAAGCATAGCATATATACAAATACTTTTGTAAATAAATCTAAAAGGAAAACAAATTGGGGGTGGGGGGGCTGGAGATACCAACAATACTAAATAGAAGTAGCTGGAGAAGTCTAATTCTGTGAGTCACTTCTGATAACATTTCAGATTATAACCAGATAAATAGAAAGTGGCAGCGTGGGCTTGACTGAAAAAGTTCGTTTAGGATCTTTGTGGGCAGGTGAGTCATGTTTCATTAAAATTTCTGATGAATTGAAATTGGTATGTCAATCTCTTGATGAAAAATTAGTACCTGAATTTCAAATAGAGTTATTGTAAGTCTTAAGAAATTAGATTCTTCTGCAATCACATATAAGATCATAAAAGACAGAGTAATTATTATTATGAGTTGCTGGATCAGTTTTAAAGCACTCTATTTGATGAAATAAATGTGGTCCTTCTCTCCTGACCCAGGCTGTGAAATGCTGCTTTCCCCAACCTCCCAAAAGAGCAGAAGAATAAGGCAATTGCTCATTTACTTTGTTTTTATTTCAACATAACATGCAGTAAAAAAATTAACAGGACTTATTAGCATTTACAATGCTTACAAAGAATAAGGACTCTAAAAGCAATTTAGTTCAGATTTAAGAAATTGTTCTAATTAAACACTTACAATAAATCTATTTCCAAATGTTCAGTTTGGAACAAAATTTAAGATAGCATTTGGTAGATATTTATGTCTGCTGTCTAGCTGCAGTTATTTTTATATAACCTCTGATTCTTGGGATATCCAGCCCCCATTTTCCTAACACAGCAGGGAAGACATATACATGTGGCCACTTAAATTAAAGGAAGAAATGGAGTAAGGGAGATCCCAGGCTGCAAAAATATATACAAGCATTTACCTTTTCCAGAACTAAATGTTTCTTCCATAAAAATATTAAATAGCCAAGCCCTATAGAACTAGGGCCAGAGCTACTTCAAATATAACTATTCTGTATTTTAAAAATATAGGGCAGAAAGCCTTTGGGTGATATTTATACATTTTCACACAATATTTCTAGGTCCCTAAATGAATCATCAAGCATTATGTAGAACAAAAAAAGTCTACTTTCTTACATTATCTCTTAATTTAATTCCATAAATCTCTAGTAAACATTGTAGGTAACTACATTTCAGTGAGAATTCACCTCAATAGGAAGTCTGTATAGAAGGCTTAATCTCCACAGCCAGATATATTACCAAAGTTCAGAGTTATATAGTGAACGGGTAGTTGGCAGACATTTGCTCTGAAAGACAGAAGTAGTAGCATTTTTCCTCTCCTGCCACCAAAAAGGCAGAGTCCCTAACTTTGAAAACAGCTAGGACTTTTATAGACCATACATTTCCACATACTTTCCTGGAATATGTGGATTGAAAAAAAAAAACAAAGATAGGGCTGAGGAGAACATAATCCCTCCTTTTACATTAACAATTTCTGGATGAGGCAACCCTTTCACTCATATAAGTCTTTTTTATGATGGCAGTGTCTTAGAGCACAGATATATATATATAAGTTTAAAAATGTTTTTGTTTTCCAGGATGGAAAAGGAAGAGTAGCTAGGGACAAAGAGACAAAACAAAAGAATAAAAACATTTTCTTTCCATATGAAAAGGGTTTTGCTACTCTGCTTATTTTTGGCTCAATGCTACTTGTTCATGCTACTAAAACCTGACAAAGTCCTTGTTTCACGAGTTCCCAGGCTGTACTCAAGGTCCAGGTATGATAGGCACTCAGCTGGCTTAGGCTTCATCCCACTGTTCATAAAGTCAAAACTGACAGCAGCCATCTTGACAGAGTCTAAGCTAGGGGAAGTTAAAAGAATTATCTACAGAGAACTTCAAAGTGCATAAACCTGTTAACATTTTAGGAATAAAATTCAAGAGAATATTGTAGGTAAGGGATATCAGTCCAATTCAAGACACTGTAAAGAAAAGAACTACTCCAATTATGTGTCAGAGAAATGATAAATTTGAAGATAAACGTTTAATTCATAGAGAATACATTTCTGTGGTTACTAGAAATGTATTGCTAGTAAATATATAATTTCCTTTTTAGACAGTACCACAGCTCTCCCTCCCTAATGAAAATATATTTTTAGAGGATGTTTAAATGACCTCTATTTGAGCTAGAAAACACTCTAGTTACCACCTGAACGCCTTAGCAACAATTAAACATTACTGACGTTATTGGATTATGATAAAATTATAAAGCAATTTATATACAGGGACATACAAAAATTATCAATGACAGCCTTTGATAAATTCAGCTAATTCCAATTCTAGGTAAAATTTTAAAAATGACAGTGAAGGAAGGAAGCACAGTGTTAATATTATTTGTAAAGTTTAGTATTTGCAAGGCAAAACAAACATCCAAATGAAGGGAGGTAAGAAATGATTTGCAGGCTGGGACCAACTTCTCCCTGAATTCGAATGAACAAAAACTACTTTATAGAGAGATGCAAAAGTCTTACATCACTTTCCAGGGATAACATCAAAATGATGCATGAATTCATGCTCTAGAAAGGGATTACAACAGTCGGGCCAGGCTGAAATGAGAGGGAGAGCACAAGCCAGAAGTATGCTCATGTCCTCAGAAACTGGGCTAATGAGCTTGCACTTTAAACAAATACCTCTTACCAAGAGTTATAGAAGATCTTATATATTGCAGTTACCAAGGGAGTTTTCTGCATATCTGCAGAATCTCTGAAAGAAAAAAATCTTATCCCAGGTGAGATTTTTGACACACACATACAAAATTGTTGTTAAAGAAACGATCTAGTGGAATAAGACAAGGCAGATATCATTGCTGTGTTAAATCTCATATTAAGTAAGATTCTGACTAGTCGTTTGCAGATCTGAATTCTGGAAACATTGAGGAGCAATCCAGAATCACTGGTAGATAAATCTCAATAACATTAATTTACTTACACTCAGATAACTTTCTAAAAAGTCACAGTCCAATTTTACAACAAGATGTGCAACAGGCAGAGAAGGAAAAGGACAAAACATTGCAAATAAGTTCTTGTCCTTCAGTGGTGCAAGTTCTCAGAAGTTTACTCTTGTCCAAATCCTTCTGTTTCTTCAATGGCAAATAACAGCTTTTCTTTTAGTTGCTCATAGCTCTTATAGGGTGGCAGGTCCAGACGGTTGAAACTGTAAGTAATAATTGTTAATATGAGAAAAGGAAATATAGAAAGAATCCTATAGACCATGTGTGACAACATTAATACTTAAGTCAGGAAAAACTGATGCAAATCCTAGCTCTGCCACTTGGTCTTCAAGTAAGTGCTTTAACTTTTCAAGTCTTCGTTTCATTGGCAAAACGGGCATAACAATAGTTATCTCTCAGGGTAGAGTGAAGAAGAGGCAAACATAACACAGAACAGTGTCTGATGCTTAGCAGGTACTCAGCAAAATGTTGGTTTTCTCATTCTCTCCCACCCACCCCAATCTAGACACTAGTCAGCAAACATTTTCTATAAAGGGTTAAATATTTAGTAAATATTTGTGACCCATAGATATTTTATCAGAATGTTATATGTATACCACTCTTTTTTTTATATTTGATTCATTCATTCATTCATTCATTCATTCATTCATTCATTTATATATATTTATACAAGCACTGGGTACAGTCAGAAGCGCGGGAGGGTGAGAGAATTCACCAGAGCCAGAACGGGGAGCAGAGCAGGCAGAAGGACTGAAGTACACTGCTGAGGGGAGCAGAGGGCGGCAGGAGAGATCTGCGCGCCATGTGGGACCCTCCTCCAGTGGCCGGGGAGCAGCCAAGGATCGAACCAGCGCTGCAGAGGCTGCGGGCAGCTTCGCAACCCAGCGCTCAACCGCGGCGTCACCGGGGAGGCCCTGTATACTGTATACCACTTTAAAAGTAAGAAACAATTTTCTTCCTGAATACCTAATGTTCTGCTCTTATTAGATTTTTCTGTCCTATTCTTAGCTGTAAGTTTTTAAAGGTCTCCTCCTAATTGGGATCATATTAGTATCACCGACACAATTAACAGGTAATGAATATGCCCTAAAGCCTTGGCCCACTGCTGTATTTTAGGGTAAAGTCTAAGCAAATATTTGATAATAGAAGAAGCAATGCTATTCACAAAGGGAACATAAATGTACAATTATGACTTTTGTTAATGTTTGCAAATGGAAACATGGAACTTGAGAAAGTAATGAGGCCGATTTTTAGGTGACTGAAGTAACCTTTTCACAGCTGTGAAATTACAGTATGATATTTTCTTCCAACTTTGAAAAAAGCAAGGGACAAGAGGTAAATAAAAAACATGCACAAGATGAAAGTACAGAAATTAACTGCATTTTTCTATACTAGCACTAAAACAATCTGAAAATTAAGAAAGCAATTCCATTTAATGTAGCTTCAAATAGAATAAAATGTTTAAGAATAAAGGTAGCAAAGTGTAAGACATATAATGAGAACATTATATAACATAGTTGAAATAAATTAAAGACCCAAATAAATGGAAAAGAATTCCATGTTCATGGACTGGGAGATTTACTCTCCCCTTCCCCTGCAAGTGATCCACAAATTTAAAGCAATTTGTATCAAAATCCCAGTTGACCTTTTTGCAGAAATGGACAAGCTGATTGTAAAATTCAGATATTCACCCAGAATCATGAAGCACTTGAAAAAGTTGGAGAACACACACCTCCCGATTTCAAAACTTACTACAAAGCTATAGAAATCAAGAGATGCAACACCTGCCATTAAGGATAGGCATACAAATCAATGGAATAAAATTGAGAACCCAGAAATAAACTCATAATTTTATAGTCAATTGATTTTGCAGCAAGGATGCCAGGGTATTATTTAAAACCCCACATTTTGTATGTGTATAAAACAGTAAAGGAACACACATTGTATTTAAGATTTGGATTGAGTTTTACTTCTGTACATTTTGAAAATGTGGTTAAATTACATTTATAATGAGAATGTAAAATATCTCTGTTTAACATGTTAGAAACATAGCTTTCCCAATAGCTAACCCAACTAGATTTTTTTTCTCTGCCTTCAGAGAAGTTTTCTAAATACTACATTGAAAAAAAGGGGGCAGGGGAATGTAAACAGAGACTGACTGCAAATGAACATTAAGGAGCATTTTGGATAATGGACACATTCTAGAATTGGATCGTAGTGATGTTTGCACTACTCTGTAAATCTACTAATATCACAAAATGGGTAAGTTTTATGGTATGTAATTATGTTTCTAAAGATCAGTTATCAAAAAATAAATACCACATGGTATTCATTTCTAACTTCTAATAAGCTTTAATATCTACAGAGTAAGAAAAGGGCTATTTTCTTTTTTTTTTTTTAAGATTTCTTTTTATTTATTTATTTATACAAGCACTGGGTACAGTCAGAAGCGCGGGAGGGTGAGAGAATTCACCAGAGCCAGAACGGGGAGCATAGCAGGCAGAAGGACCGAAGCATACTGCTGAGGGGAGCAGCGGGCAGCAGGAGAGGTCTGCGCGCCATGTGGGACCCTCCTCTGGTGGCCGGGGAGCAGCCGGGGATTGAACCGGCGCAGCAGAGGCTGCGGGCAGCCTCACAACCCGGTGCTCAACCGCTGCGCCACCGGGGAGGCCCAAAATGGGCTATTTTCTTTACTCTTTCTGATTTTACTTACCAGGTATGACTTCTGGGTAACCAATTTTCTTTCCCAACCTTTTCAATGCAGAATTTCTGTGGTCCATTACTCCCTAAAACACAGTAAAGTTATCAACAGTTTGGTAATGCAATAGTTCTCAAATTGGATCCTCAATCCAACAGCATCATCAGCGTCAACAGAATCTTAGATCCACAGGCTCTATTCCAAGTCTACTGCAATGAATCAGAAATTCTGGGGGGGTGAGGCTCAACAACAAGTGTTTTAACAAGCTTCCATGTGATTCTGGTTAGTGCTAAAGTTTGAGAAATATTTTGTTAATGTATGTCCAGGAGAAGGAAATGCATTTTTTTTTTAAAGATTGATTGATTGATTTATACATATAAGAACCGGGGCACAGGCCAGATGCGTGGGAGGGTGAGAGGATTCACAAGAGAGAGTGGGGAACAGAACAGGCAGATTAACAAAGCAGCGGGTGAGACAGGAGAGGTCTGCCGCACCATGAGGGACCCTCGCCAGCCGGCATCGAACCAGCGCTGCAGAGGCTGCGGACAGCTTCACAGCGCTGCACTCAACCGCCTGCGCCACCAGGGGAGGCCCAGGAAATGCATTTTTTACCCAGTATATTCTAGAACAGAGTAACACTGTTAACTTTATAAAAAGTAAACACCCTAGTGAATTCAGTATTAATGTTTAGGTTTATGGGTCCTACATATCTTTATACACACAGACCCAGTTCTTGCCTCTCATTTATCTTCTGTTGAAGATAGCTGTGAATGGTGATCTTACAGCACTGCTTTTCTGAATGATCACTAATGAATGCTCCCTAAGAAGTACTTATTGGTGGTATCAATGACTGGTGGTGTTACTCACCTTCTTAAAGAAGAAATTAAATTCAAGTTTAATTTGAATCTAAAATGTTCTGCAATGTGTAAGAACATCAAAGAATTTTGTCATCTTACCTGACTAACCCAATGCAAAGATATATTGGTAGGACTTTTTAATCTATTAACACTGAACTGTTTTTACAAGTTATGTGAAAAGCCCAGTAACATAGGAAATGGTCATTATGAAAAAGGACAGTTACAATTTTAAAGTAAGCATGAAATTATTTAATAATTTACTCACATTTCCCTATTCAATATTTTATAGCAGTTGTAAACACACAGTGGAAATGGAAAGTTTCATTTACTAGTGCTAATTAATAGATGCAACAGAAGAGTAGTCTGGGTTGCTTTTCACTTAGAATCAAGACATAAAATGAACTAATGAAGGCTATTTTATAAATATGTTACAGTACTATCATTCAGAATGCTTTCTAAAATTTTATGGAATAGTAAGATATCAAGTTATAAACACTACACAGGGAGTTTATTTTTAGGTGTTTTGTTGTTTTCAATACCTTTTATGTAGATTCTTGCACATGTTCCAATTTTCAGCCTATTTCAACTTTCAAATGATATGGTCTGTGAGGCTTTTTAAAAAACATATCAGATCGGCTTACAGAGCAACATGTTTTGGCAGAGAAATTATCCCTACCTCACTTATGTTATTTCCCCTTTTTCTTATTTATTTAGTATATTATTTCCTCTATTTTCTCTGTTCTTTCATATTCCAGTGCTTCTTATGCAGAAGGGCTTCTGATCATATCTTGAACTCATACTTTTTCCTTTAAGTAGGAATAAGTATCTGACTATTGTATCTTCTAATAAGTATCTGACTATTGTATCTTCAAATGTACATGGAGTGAAATATTTCATTATAAATCACTTTTTTAAAAGATTTATTTATTTATACATATAAGAACTGGGGTATAGGCCAGAGGTGTGTGGGGGTGAGAGGATTCACCAGGGACAGAGTGGGGAACAGAACAGGCAGAATGACTGAAATACACTGCTGAGGGGAGCAGTGGGTGAGTTAGGAGAGGTCTGTTGCACCATGTGGGTAGCTCCCTGGCCAGGGATCCAATTTGTGTTGCAGTAGCTGAAGATAGCTTCATAGTGCTGCGACTTAACCCCTTGTTCCACCAGGGAGATCCTGGTCTGGTTTTTAAATCTTTTTTTTTTTTAAAAGATTAATTTATTTATTTATACAAGCACTGGGTACAGTCAGAAGCATGGGAGGGTGAGAGAATTCACAAAGCCAGAGTGGGGAGCAGAGCAGGCAGAAGAACCGAAGTACACTGCTGAGGGGAGCAGCAGGTTGCAGGAGAGGTGTGCGCGCCATGTGGGACCCTCCTTCGGTGGCTGGGGAGCAGCCGGGGATAGAACCAGCGCTGCAGAGGCTGCGGGCAGCTTCGCAACCCAGAGCTCAACTGCTGCGCCACTGGGGAGGCCTTGGTTTTTAAATCTTTTAAAGTGGCCAAAATTGCCTACTTATTCTTTAATTCTGATTCTGCTTCAGCTGAAGCAGGCTTAGGGATCACAACAACTGTCCTCCTATGGTACTTGGCATAATGTCGGTATTAAAGAAAGACAACAGTTTACTTATTTAGCCACAAAATAAATATACCCATGGTTATTTCAAAACAAAGCAGATTTTAACAAGTAAGTGCTATGTATCAGGTACTGTGATGGGTACCAGAAATAAAGATGAAGAAGATATGGATCTGTATCTCAAGGAGCTCCAGGTATAATAGGAAATGTGTAAATACATTAAAATATAGTATAATACAACTAATAGTACCTGTTTCATAGAAGATTCTAAAATGTTTGCCAAATGGCTGGATGATATATTTAAATATTTAAATATATTTAAATATTTAAGTATAGGAGACTAATGTCCTACTGAGTTAAAATGTGGGGTCTAAGGGTTAAAAATTTCTAGAGATAAGGACTATGAGGTAGTTTAAAAGTTTACAGAAAGTTTATAGAAATCCAGATTAACTATGAATACTTGTTTTTTGATAAAATGTATACATACTGGATGTATACATGTATACACCAATATTACAGCAGTGTGATAAACAGTTTTTTATGAGAAAAATGATCTTATATACACACCCATGAGGTCAGCAAATCCTCCAACTGGCAATCGGCAGGTTCCAGTAACAAACTGCAGAAGTCTCATTCTCTTCTCATTATCAATTTCTTTAACAAACTGTTTAAAGCACATTTAAAGAGATATATAGGTCATATGCTATGCTTACTAAACATACTAAACAAGGAAGAGAAACCATCATTTCAAATCTTGAACAGTTAATGTCAGATGTACTAGATGGTCTGTACCTACCACTATAGATAGAGGAGCTTTCCATATTTATCTAAGTCCCACACACTTTCTCCCACATAAATCTTAGGACCACATCCTAAGAGGGAGGCAGAAAGAGAGTCCTCAGGCCCAAAAGCTCCCTATTCATGCAGTTTCAAGATCAGCAATTCTAGGACAGTGCCATCTTATTCAGCAGATTTGCCTGTGCTACAGGACATTTATGTAGTTACATAGGACACAATACAGACTTTCTGGTTTTATGAAGAAATGAAATCAAGCCCACAGAATTGTGATACAGATATATACTAATAACAACCAACTACTCTCAATGTTCTTTAAGGTTTCTGTGTAGCTATGTGTGTCAGAATTATGTGGCTTTTAATTCCTACAACTCTAACTTAAAAAAATAGGTTTTTAAAAGTTGCTTTGTAGCTTATAGCACGATTTTGTCTCAGTAAACATTTTTTGTAAAGAGTAATTTTTTATCTTGTACTACTTTCAAATGTTTAAAAATGCTTATCCTATTTCCTTGAGTATACTATGCTAAGTGAAACAAGTCCAGCACAAAAGGACAAGTATACATGATTTCACTTATATGTGGTATCTAGCATAAGCAAGTTCGTAGAGACAGAAAATTTAACAGGGGTTACTACTGGCCAGAGACAGGGGAGAATGAAAAAATAAGTTAATTCTTTTGTGTACATCTAGCAGTAGAGTTGCTAGATCATATGTAAACTCAATGTTTAACTTTTTGAGGAACTAAACTTTTCTACAGTGGTGTACCATTTTACATTCCTGCCAGTAATGAAGAAAGAGTTCTATCACCACCCAGGTTGAGTATTTCCCATTTTTTGATCACTGTCATCCTAATGGGTGTGAAGTGGTATCTCACTGTGGTTTTGATTTTTTTTTTTCCTTTATGAATAGCTCAAACCTTGAGCATCTTTTCATGTGTTTTTAATTCTGAGCAGACAATTTCTGAACATTACATAATTCCTATTTATTTATTTATGCACACAAGAGCTGGGGTATAGGCCAGAGGTGCAGGAGGATGGGAGGACGGGGGAGGTATGTGTGTGAGAGGATTCACCAGACACAGAGTGGGGAACTGAACAGGTAGACTGAAATACACTGTTGAGGGGAGCAGCGGGTGAGACAGGAGAGGTCTGCTGCGCCATGTGTGTTAGCTTCCTGGCCTGGGATCGAACTCGTGCTGCAGTGGCTGCGGATAGCTTCATAGTGTTGAGACTTGACCCCCTGCACCACCAGGGAGGCCCTATGTAATTCTTAATGAGGTATAAATGATGAAAACCATACATTAGAATTCTATAAAATTCCAAAATCATTTAGAGCAAATGCAGGAAATCTTATTATCTAGAGTTGTCTTATACTAAAGGTACAGGGTATAAGTTGCTTACTTTATAACAGTCTTAAGAGGGTGCTTTCATAATCTATACTCATTTATTATAACGCATAAAATGAAATGAGGGGACTGAACACACTGGTAGATTTTATTCTGTGACTCATTTTCATAAGCAGCAAGCAATTTCTACAAAAATTATACTGTTTGCCAAAAGAAATAAGCAGACAAACCTGCCAAAACCACATGATTTGTTTGCTTGTCCTAGTGTAATGACGGTAGATAGCATGTCTTTGCCAATCATTCAAGTCAATCTCTTGCATTCCACATAAAAGAACCTTTAGGGATGAAAAAGACAAATGTTTTCTTTAGGTAACATATAAAAAATTAGGCATAGATTGAAACTTAGAAAATTATTAAGAGAAGTTTGTAAGAAGACCTATGATCATTTCATAATGCATACAAATATTCAAGCATTATATTGCATATCTGAAATTAAAATAATGTAATTATACTTTCAATGTTAAAAAAGACTAATATAAAACAATTCTCAGAAAACAAATCAATCAGAAGGCTTTGGCTTATAAACTATCAAGAATTGCATCTATGATGCTCATGAAGGTTAAGTATAAGTATGTGATACCACAGACATGTTCAAATAAAGTCACTCACTACAGAGATGTTGTGACTTTTTTTTGGTAACATGCTTATATTTGGATAAATTAAGGATTTTAAAAACTACTCAGGATGCTTCAAAACATCCCATCAGCATAAAGGATACTATTGCCATTGGGAATATAGGACAGTGAGTTGAAAGCAGACATCTGAAAGCATTTTTTTATTAGCATGCTACAGAGAAAGACAAAAACTCATTACCTCTAACTCCTTTGCATCAAAGTATTGTAAATACTGCTGGGGAAGAATTTCATTAAAGCCCTCAAAGAAAGCTTGTGTTTGTTCTTCAACACCTCGAGACAATCTCCATTCAGCTACCATTCTGGTAAATAAACATTAAAAAGGCTATCAGGAACATTAGGTTTTACCGTTACATTTTGAGTGTAAAAGTAATTTTTAAAAACTTTACTATTATGGGCCTCCCTGGATGCACACGGGTTAAAGTCTCAGCACTACCAAGCTATTGCCAGCCACTGCAGCATGAGCTTGATCATTGGCCAGGGAGCTGACCCACATGGCACAGCAGATCTCTCCTGTCTCACTGGCTGCTCCCCTCAGCAGTGAACTTCAGTGGATCTGCCTGTTCTGTTCCCCACTCTGTCTTTGGTGAATCCTCTCACCCACTGCACCTCTGGCCTGCACCCCAGTTCTTCTATGCATAAATGAATAAATATATAAAAACTTTACTATTATGAGTAAACCTCAATTATATACAAAAGTAGAAGAATATAATGAACCATCTTCAAGCAACACCAATCTTACTTTCTATGTCCCTACATACTTTAGCTATCAAATTATTTCATTTTAACATCTTATTTCAGTGAGCTCTCTTTTAAAAAAACAAAACTATAATACTCTTACCACACAGAAAGTGAACAAATAAACCCTTAGTCCAAAGCCTACTGATTAACTTAATTTTTAAAAAACTATTACTTGATTCAGAATCTAAAAATTGTTCATATATCCCAAAATCTTTTAGTTTTTAAAAAAAGATTAGAAGAACTGGAGTGTAGGCCAGAGGTGCAGGTGCAGAGAGGATTCACCAGAGACAGACAGTGGGGAGCAGCGGGTGAGACAGAAGAGGTCTGTTGCGCCATATGTGCGTTAGCTCCCTGGCCAGGTATTGAACTCAGGCTGCCTCAGTGATAGCGCTGAGACTTAAACCCTAGGCCTCCAGCTTAGGAAGGCCCCTACGCTGCTTTTAATTTACAGTTTTCCCCTGTGAAAATTTAAAAAATTGTTAAAATCTATTCATTTAAGGAAAGCAACATAGTAGACTTATAAAAAACATAAGCAATTGGGTCAAACGAGAAACAGAGCAAACTGACATTATGTAAAAGTAAACAATCAATTATATAAAGTGTAGATGAATTAAATAGTCTTGTTTAAAGACCTAGGTTGTTAGATTAGTTGAAAAGACAAAAATCAGCCATGTACTACTAAGAAACCTAGCTTGTAAAACAAAATGTTTAGTTTAAAAGGAATGATTTATCATTAAAGCACTCTACTAAATATTCTAGATTTCAACTCTTTCTTGTAATCTTCATTTACATAGATATTAAGTTTTAAAATCACACCAAAGATAAACTGATTTTTCATTTTATTGCAGAATATTTAATTTTTGAGGAGCGAGCATTCTAGGCATTTTTAAAAAGATTTATGCAGGGCCTCCCTGGTGGTGCAGGGGTTGAGCGCTGGGTTATGAAGCTGCCCGCAGCCTCTGCAGTGCTGGTTCGATCCCCGGCCGCCGGGCGAGGATCCCACATGGTGTGCAGACCTCTCCTGCTGCCCACTGCTCCCCTCAGCAGTGTACTTCGTCAGTCTACCTGTTCTGCTCTCCGCTCTGGCTTTGGTGAATTCTCTCACCCTCCCGTGCTTCTGACTATACCCAGTGCTTGTATAAATAAATAAATCTTTTTAAAAAATTAAAATTAAAAAAAAATTATGCATTCAAGAACTGGGGTGTAGGTCAGAGGTGTTGGGGGTAAGGGATTCATCAGAGACAGAGTGGGGAGCAGAAGAGGCAGATGTACTGAAATATACTGCTGAGGGGAGCAGCGGATATGACAGGAGAGGTCTGCTGTGCCATGTGGATCGGCTCTGGGGCTGGGGATCAAATTTATGTTGCAATGGCTGGTCATAGTTTCATAATGCTATGTCCCTAAACCCTGTGCCACCAGGGAGCCCCCATTTTAAGGATTTTATTACTTGATGACTGCTTAGGACAAAGTCCTAAAATTTATTGAAGTCTCTTAAGTTCTGGAAAAGAGCAGTGTAGGTTATATTGGTCTGGTGAGTACAGTGATAAACCATGGGCAAATTATTAAAAAACAGATGTTTGGAATCCACCAGAAAGAAACCAAAGGCAAGCAGAAGCTGGTGGGGATGATATTTTTTTTAAGGGGTTTGGCACACTGAAGCACATCTGCATTTATTAATTTTTTTCGTTGAGGGTACTTCCCAGTTTACACAGAGTACAAGAGATTGAGGCTCAAAAAGAAAAGCAACAGTCTTATAGGACAAAGGAGACATGAGGCTGAGATTGTTGGGGTTACCAAAGCTGGTACAGAAAAAAATACCAGAAAAAAATAGACAAAGGAATATCCAAATCTGCACAGAAATTTACTTCAAATATTTAATTGACTCCTAAGTTCACATGTATAAAATGAGACTGCACAGAACCCTGTGCAAAGTAACAACTGGAAAGACAAAAACCCAAGCAAAAACTTCAGCAGCTACTTCATGATGGAAAGACCAAATTTAAGAGTTAACATTTCACAAAGTTTCACAGTAAATACCTGCATGAAGGAGCATGTACTAGGAGTAAAAGTTATGTTGTAGGATTAAAGACAGAATGTAAATAGACCCTCTCCAGCAAGGTTCAACAGGATCATTGTAATCTGTCAATATTCTTCAGAGGAAGAAAAAAGAATCCAGAGTTTCTACTCATGTATCATCCACAATGAAAAGTGAAAATAAATAAATCTTAAAAAAAAAAGGGGGGGGGGACAAAAAAGAGATGGAGATTCTCAGCAGAGAAACCCTTAAAAGAAACAGATGGAAATTCTAGAATATCTGAATATCTGGAATGAAAATGGGCTTTAAAGAAGTGAATTCAAGGGTGTAGAAATCAAAATGATACAAACTGGATAGAAAAATGATACAAAACACATGGAATCTAGGAACCATGTGATGATACCAAAGGTTAAATTACATGCAACTAAAATCTTTGAGGTAGAGATGGAATGAAGCAAAAGAAACTAGAGATAAAGCCCCAAATATTCTACAATTGCTGAAATAACATGAATTGCCCATACTTCTAGGAAGCTCAGTAAATGCCCAATATAAAAGCAATCATAATTAGGTAACCATGAGAATCAAAATGGTAAAAACCAAAATTAAAATAAAAAATTTAAAAATTCATTGAATAAACACATTTTATTGAGAAAGACATACATCATGAAAATCCATAGAAGCCAAAAATGGAATGATATTGAAAGAAAGTTTGAAAAAGATGAATAAAATAGGAAGAAACGAATAAAAGAAACAAAAAACAAATCACAAATGTATCATCTTGGTCCTGTTCTATACTAAAGCATGAATCTAATAAAGAAATCAGTGCTCCCCCCTCCAGAAAAAGAGGAAAAAACAAAAAACCCTGGAATCTTTAACTCTACTGAAATAATCCTTTGAAACTAAAAGTGACATAACGATATTTCCAGATAAAAGCTGAGGGAATTTGTCAGCAGTGGCACTCTAAGAAAAATGTAAGTTGAGTGAAATGATCACACATCAATTGGATCTTGGAAAGAAAAAGAGAGCCACAATGGTAATGTGAATAAACATAAAAGACTATTTTTTCCTTAATTTATTTAACAATTTATTGATTAAAAGTGAGAGTAATAAGGTATTATGGGGTTTATAAGAAATAAAATATGACCATAGCAGTATGAAGGGCTGGGATGAGAGAAATAGAATAATACTCTTATGAGTCCTTTATATTGCACAATTAGTAGTAAAATAAGTTATAGCATTATTTATAATATTAATTATAAATCTGTAACTTATCACTTATAATGTGATTATTATAATCATCAGAGCAGTGACAAAAAATTAAAGTGGTATAGCAAAAACAAATAAAAACCCCCAAAACTTAGTAGGAAAGACAAAAAAGGAAACTAAAAATAACTCAATTCAAAAAAGGACAGGAATGGAGCAACAAAGGAAATTGGGAAATACAAGAAACAAATTAAGTGTGAAACTTAAAAAAAATATATCAGTAATAACATTAAGTGTAAATGTACTAAATACTGCAATTAAAAAGTAAAGATTATCAGACAGAAAAAAAAAAATAAGACCCAATGATATGCTGCTTATAAGAAACAAATTTTAAATACAAAGACACAGGAAAGAAAGTGAAGGATGGAGGAAGCTATACCATGCAAACATAAATCACAAGAAAGTAGGAATGTATATACTAATATTTGAAAAACAGAAAAGTAAGCGAGACCTAGAAACTAGATTCAAGAGGAAACACATATGTAAAATCTAACCCTGATCTGAGAGAACTGGTGTTGAATGAACTAATAATTCTAGACATTAAAGTATGAACCAATGTAAAGCATGACAGTATATACAATAAACCATACTGTAAATTTCTACCTCCTCTTAAAATATTCACCATGAAATATCTGTATATAACTTAGAGATTCAATTTAATGACACATCACATGGCACCGTAGTTACAAAATTGATATATTTTTTTAAAGATTTATTTTATTTTTTTTATGCATATAAGAGCTGGAGTACAGGCCAGAGGTGCGGGGGTGAGAGGATTCACCAGACACAGAGTGGGGAAGAGAACAGGCAGACTGACTGAAATATACTGCTGAGGGGAGCAGCAGGCAAAACAGGAGAGGTCTGCTGTGCATGTGGATTAGCTCCCTGGCCAGGGATCAAACTCATGCTGCAGTGGCTGCCAATAGCGTCATAGTGCTGAGACTTCACCTCTTGAGCCACCAGGGAGGCCCCCAAAATTGGTATTTAAAAGAGCGATCTAGTGCTACTTCTACCCTTAAAACTCCCACTTTGGGGAAAGTAAAAGTTCCATATGACCAAAATTCTTATTCTATTACTTTATAAATTTTCCAAATCCCAGTTAAACTGAAACTGCACTGGAATGGAAGTATAAAACCCATTACCACTAAACTATTTCTTTGTAAGGTCTGGTTTGAGATAACCTTCAGGATAGTACCTCTATCCTGCTTCCACCACCAGAAATCCCTCCTACCTTTCATTGTTTTGTTGCCAGTCTTGCTGGATGAGAAATTTAGACTGACTACTGAATTTAATATTTAATTTCTTTTAATCTGGTCTCTGTATCTACTAATTGGCTATAGTTCTATTCTTTTAAAGGTTATTTTAATTCATTAACTTCCACAACTTTTCCTTGTCTTCTAAAATGTAAGACATGGCAGAATGGAATAGCAACTCTGAGCTACCTCAATCTGACTACACCACAGACCATGTCTACTCGTCCTATTTACCAGATGTGATTTGTGCTTTCCAGTCTCCATTATCTTTGCTCAAAACTTTAGCTCTCATTTCTGTACAACTAAATCCTTCCCAACCTTAAGTTGACTTAAATATCGACTACTTGTTCTAGCTAAATAACTACAGTTAGATGAAATGGTTGCTCACTCCTTTGACATCCATAGCACTTTCCTTGTTCCTTTCCCAACACATTTATAAGGCAGAAAGTAATCCTTAATAATGTATAATCAATTCTCATAATATTAATAAAAAGGCAAATATTATTTTTTGAAATACTGTCCACTAGTACTACTATATCAACATGCTGTACTCAAACAGAAAGGCTAAACTATGTTAAAAGAATTCTCTCTCACCTGATATATTCTTCTTTATTTTCTTCTGTTACAAGAATGTTGCCACCATTGGGTTTCAAATCATGACTCTTGATTTCACCTAAAATTTCTTTATCGACGGAGAAGTACATTTCCAAACCGCATTCTTCAATATTATTTTCTCTGCACAAGTGAAATTAACACTATCTATTAACACTAATACAATCATAAGTTTTTAAATAAAGGACTATGTTCTTAAAGAATTACTATTAAACTGTAACATCAACATAAGAAAACTGGAAGATAATGCTCTAGAGTAACATTTTTGCCTAGGAGGTTAAGTATATTTTTGTAAAATGTATCATGTTAAATAATGAGACAAGTTTGATGTAAGACTAAATTTAATCAATCACATGCTTACAGTTTAAGTAAGTTACAACACCATAATGAAAATATATAGGTTACATTTTGATAAATTAAATGGAAATGAACTTACTTAACCCAAATGAGAGAATTGTAAAACTCTGGATCAATAGATTCTAAATCCTTGAGTCCAACTGGTTTGTTCAAAATACGCTTATAGAATGGCAAAGAAAAACCAGTATCTATGAATTTCCCATGGAACAAGGCCTATGCAAAAAAGAAAATAATACCACTTATACGTCATTTTATAATGTTAGATGAGTTCTTCACTTAAGAAAAAGCTCCCTTATATGATCAATTATGGCACATTTCTGGGGAAAGAACAAATGCAACAAACTTAATCTTAGAAATGAGAAAATAGCAAATGAGAACGTTAAAGAAACAATGTTTTCGTACTGCTGAATTAGCAGATTTACAGTTTTTGACCTTTACTTACCATGGCAATAAACCTGCCAATAAAACGGAAATATTTTAGATGATCTGGATTGATGTAAGAAGCGGGGTTTATCTGCAAGCAGTAGTTATCCTTTCCTGCATATTCAAACAGGCAATACATTGGGTTCAACACCTCATGTGACAAAAGAAAGAACCATTCTCTGAAATCAAAAGAAAATTCAGGGTGAAAAATCTTCTAAGCAACCATGCTAATAAACCAAAGAACACTTAAAATTTGTGAGGAATCTATACATCTTAGCTAGTGACAAGTTTTTATTTAAGTTTTTTTTTTAAGATTTATTTTTATTTATACAATAGTTGGGGTACAGGCCAGAGGCACAGGAGGATGAGAGGACTCACCAGAGACAGAGTAAGGAGCAGAACAGGCAGACAGACTGAAAGCACTGCTGAGGGGAGCAGTGGGAGCGACAGGAGAGGTCTGCTGCACCATGTGGGAATCTCCCTGGCTGGCTAGGAATCGAACCCGCATTGCAGAAGCTGTGGACAGCTTCACAGTGCTGCGCTTAACCCACTGCGCCACCGGGGAGACCCTAAGATTTATTTTTATTTATTTATACATACAAGAGCTGGGGTGTAGGTCAGAGGTGTGGGAAGTGAGAGGATTCACCACAGAACAAATGGGGAGCAGAACACATGGATCTACTGAAATATGTTGCTGACGGGAGCAGTGGACAGACAGGAGAGGTCTCCCACACCACATGGGTTAGTGTCCTGGCCAGGGATCAAACTCATGCCGCAGTGGATGGCAATAGCTTGGTAGTGCTGAGACTTCAATGCCTGCTCCACCACGGAGGCTCTAGTGATAGTCGTTTAAACCCATGCTGAATTTTACCGCTTCTGTTCAAACTGACATCTACTGCACAGCTTCTGTTCAAACTGACATCTACTGCACAGCTAACATTTACATTTACACAGTTTATTTATTATATTTCAAAAAAATCTAAGACACGGACTTTGAACACCCCATTACATGATGAACCACTAAAAATTTCTTTCCAGTTAAAATGGTTAATTTAGAATATTAAAATATGAAAATGATGGTCTTAGACTCAAAGAAATATTATACATAGTTAAGGTTAAAATTCACTTTGAGGGCCTCCCTGGTGGCGCAAGGGGTTAAGCATCGCACTGTGAAGATGTCCGCAGCCTCTGCAGCACAAGTTCGATCCCCAGCCGGCCAAGGAGCAACCCACATGGTGAAGCAGACCTCTCCTGTCTCACCCGCTGCTCCCCTCAGCAGTGTATTTCAGTCAGTCTACCTGTTCTGTTCCCCACTCTGTCTCTGGTGAATCCTCTCACCCCCTATATCTCTGGCCCGTGCCCCAGCTCTTGTATGCATAAATAAATATTTTTAAAAAAAATTCACTTTGACACATGTAATTAGAGCAACTGAAATGAGTCTAGCATTATTACATGTATTTCTAAGACCCACAAAAGTAATCCTCACCAAGTGTCACTTTACTTTTCCAAAGGCAATCAAGTACTTAAGACATTCATTTAAAAGAAAAATGGGGCCTCCCCTGGTGGCACAGCGATTGAGCGCGGCTCGACAGACCTCTCCTGCCACACCTGCTCCTCCCCTCAGCAGTGTATTTTGCAGTCTGCCTGTTCTGTTCCCTGCTCTGACTCTGGTGAATTCTCTCACCCTCCCAAGCTTCTGACTATACCCAGTGCTTGTATAAATAAAGAAATAAATCTTTAAAAAAAAATAAAAAAGGAAACATGCTCTTATTAGCTCTAATTCAAATGCTATGAAAATATCAACATGTGACTATAAGATTATAGTTACTGTGTGCAAGGGTGGTTGTTTTGGAACAGTAGGCAGAGTTGCTCTGGGGCAATATATGCAATATTCAGCTTCTGTTTAAGAGTATCTTTTCCTGTTAGTTCATGGCCTCTAGTGGTATGCTGTACATACTTAATATTGCTAGTTGATTTCCTAATTAAAAATGCTGCCATTCTGAATTATCTTTAAAACCAAAATTAAATGGTTCTACTCATTTTTTACTAATGATTATTTCATACATTCTAAAATGTGAACTTTGAAATACAGCAAGTTAAAAACTACTAAAATGTAGCTACCAGTTAGGGAACACACAAAGGTCATTAACAAATATTAATTCTATTTTTCACAATAATCCTAGAAGAGTAGATATGAATATACTTATTTTACGAATGAAACTGTTTGTCCTAGATTATATTACTGTATGTAAAAAAAGGATTCAAATCCAGTTGACCCCAAAGTCCTTGTCTTTCCACACTGCACTGCTATGCAAATTTTTAATTTCATATAATAAATGGAATAAGGAAAGCAGTTTTCTTTTGAGTCTATCTTCCAGGGTTTGATAAGAAACTCCACATAAAGAAGGCAGAACTAAAAATTTCCACTCCTATTTTATATAGCCTCTATATCCCGAAAGACACATTATTAATGCCAGTTGAGAAATGAATAACTGTCTGATCATTCTATCAGTAATAACTGATGGGGAGGAAAATGACCTGATCACTCTAGGGCCTTACATGGAATCGACATGAAGTAGTGATTACAATAATGGATACTGATTTGATGATGCAAAGCTTGTTTTCAGGCTCTACAACTTAATCATGTGCTTTAAGTGTGTTGTAAACCTCATCATTTTTATAAAGTTCTATCTCACAGTGTTAATCAAAGGATCAAATGAGTGATATGGATGAAATCAACTAGCAATGCCTTAGAGAAAGTGCTGAATTTAAGTTTATTGAAATTCTGTAGCTGCAGCATAATAAAGATAAAGTTATTTGCTCCATTTCATTTTCCTGAAATATTAGACTGAGAAAATGTTTTCAAGCGAAGTATAACAGCACTTTTGAAGAAAAGGAACTAGGTTTTGAATATTCATATTACATATTACCACTACCTTGCTACACCTCCATAATCTAAGCCTTCTTCTCCTGGAAAAATCACCCACAAACGTCTTCGCAGGTCTTGGGGACTGAAGCTCATTATCTAGAAAACAATACAGTAAAAGAATTCATGAAAGCAGTTACTGAAACACCATTCTACCATATCCAGGTTTAATATCTTCATCACAGGTAACTTAAATTCCTAATGAAGTAACATGGTGTTTGTGGTCTAGTCAACACCATACATACAGAAAATACATTAGTTTCATATTTTATAATTATATATATTTTATTCCTATATATTTTTAAATGATCTTAATATTGACTTAGTAAGTTGCTCCATTTACTTGCTTACATCAGAGTACCTGTGGGCATTGTCAAAGGGTTAAAGTTTTTAGTTTTGTTTTTTTGGTTTGGTTAGGTTTGGGTTTGTTAATAGAGAAAGGGTACACATAATAAGTCAACTGCCTAACTTGGAAATGAAAACCAGTGGACACAGAGGGAATATATTTAACTTTGGAAACCCATCTCAGTGGAAACCTATTAAAACCCGAAGAACTACTTAGATTTTTGCCCTACTAGAGTGGTTAATGAGGTCATCCTCATATTTGAAGGGCAGTACCATTATTGAGGTATAATGCATAGGTCATTTGGGTTCTTCCTTTGTAAAACTAATTATTTTTCCAAAATTGAGCCATTAGAACATTACAAATATTAATTAATCTTGGGGGGTGAAGAGAGGAGGCAGGGCCTAGAGAAAAAGAAGTTGATACAATGCTTCTGTTTTATAAATAATAAGAATGAACTCTAACATTTAAAAATATCCAGAGAGGGCCTCCCCTGGTGGCGCAGCGGTTGAGCGCTGGGCTGCCAAGCTGCCCGCAGCCTCTGCAGTGCTGCTTCAATCCCCGCCTGACGGCAAGGGTCCCACATGGTACAACAGACCTCTCCTGCCGCACCTGCTGCTCCCCTCAGCAGTGTATTTCATCAGTCTGCCTGTTCTGTTATCCGCTCTGGCTCTGGTGAATTCTCTCACCTTCCCACGCTTATGACTATATCCAGTGCTTGTATAAATAAATAAATTTTTAAAAATAAATAAAAAATAAAAATATCCAGAGAGGTTCACGAAGTAACCTGTATTGTTATGCCAGGGATCTTTAAGTTCCTACAAACAGATAATAACATTTTCATGAATTCATATTCCACTCAAACAAGAAAATCCTAAATGTAACCAAAAAATTAAAGTTTTTTGACAAATATTCTGTAAATACTATAGGCCAAATATAGAGCAATACAAATGAGAGATGTTTTAGGTTTAAAATGTCTTTAGGGCATTTCTAACAAATGCCTAATATGAAGGAAAAGCAAATTTTTCTCTTACAATTGCCCCATAAGGAGTGGTGCTATGTTAACAAAAACACTACCCAAAATAACTTTATCCAATAGTTTGTGAAGAAAATCTGGTGCTAATTTTGTTATCAGATTTGTCACTCTTCCAAAGCAATAAAAAATTTTCTCTTAAGTTTTTACTTCACATTATTCAGTGGATGTCAAATGTAGGGTGAGAATTTTAAACTGTATTTTTAGTACCATTTGGCTTGTCATTCTGCTAAAACCTTTAGGTTTCAAAAGTAAAAAGAGAGAAAAAAAGGCAAAAAGATAAAGAACACATAATCATGTTTTGCATCTTTTTAGCTCTGCCACTGGAAAATTATGTTCCAAGAAACTGGCATACCGAGAATGACACAGTGGCTATGAATATGAAAATTTGAATAGGTATCAACTGGGGTGGGGATAGTCTTGGACACTTACAGCATGATCAAGGGAAAGAGTCAGAATTCTCATCAATAAAGCTCTGACACCAGAAAGCTACCTGCTCTTACTTAGGACAGCTGACTGGTTTTGGCTTTAATGTTAATAACCAAGGTTCAATTAGAATAAACACATAACTATTTCAGAAACCAAGAAGCCAGCTACCATCAACTATCTCAGACAATTTCTTTGCCTTTTGCATCCAGCCTGGAAGTTCTTGAAGCTGTAGCTACCAAAAGGGGCTTGATAATAATCACTTCCACATCTGACCATAAACATAGACTAAATGGGGCCTCCCCAAGACTAAATGGGGCCTCCCCAGGGGCGCAGCAGGTTGAGCGCAGCGTTGTGAAGCTGTCCACAGCCTCTGCAGCGCCGGTTCCATTCCCGGCCAGTCAGGGAGATGCCCACATGGTGCAGCAGATCTCTCCTGTCTCGGCTGCTGCTCCCCTCAGCAGTGTATTTTGGTCCTTCTGCCTGTTCTGTTCCCTGCTCTGTCTCTGGTGAATTCTCTCACCCTCCCGCGCCTCTGGCTTGTACCCCAGTGCTTGTATAAATAAATAAATCTTAAAAAAATAAATGGATGTTTTCATTTTAAGACTTTTTTTCACTGATCATTTTAATTTTCTCTATGGAAAAAAAAAAATCACAACATTTAGGGCCTCCCCGGTGGCGCAGCGGTTGAGCACTGGGTTGCGAAGCTGCCCGCAGCCTCTGCAGCGCCGGTTTGATCCCCGGCTGCTCCCCGGCCACGGGAGAGGGTCCCACATGGCGCGCAGACCTCTCCTGCCGCCCGCTGCTCCCCTCAGTCCTGTTCATGGACTTTGGAAAAAAAAAAATGGAAAAGCAAATGCTGCTTATCTCTACAGGCTCTCAGGAGGAGATTGGATATCATTTCTTAGGCCAAGCTGATTCAAACAGAACTGTATGAGGATGGCAGATACTCGTACCACAGATATGGGAGAAGACATTGATAGTTGGGAGTTGTAAGTCTGCATTTCTACTGCATATTGTTTCTTTCTTTTCTTCTTTGTTTCCCCATCCCCTCCCTCGTGTTTTTCAGGATCCAGGCTGCATAGGAACAGCTAGAGGACTAGCTCTCACATTTTTTTTTTCAAAAGACATTCATCATCTTTTTGTTGTTTTTAAAGACTTTCAATGGAAAGGAATTTAATATAATTAGTGTGCAATAAAGAGAAGAGAAAGGATATAGTTAAAATAGTTTCCAATTAAACACCCAAAGTTAACACTCGAAGTCCCCTTGGGGGTAAATACCCTGCCAAATAGGGTTGGCCCAAATGATAATGGAATATGCCTCATAGAAGGTAGTTGGTTCTGGAAGGGGTCAGAACAGCAAACTTTTAAAAATAAACTGGTGTAGCCTGAAAATCTTGACAAGGCACTCTCTGCTAAGAGAAAAGCAACAACAGAGGTATAGAAGTCAGTCCATGCAAACCTCACCTTCCCATATAATCACCTTGCTGAGCTGGGAAGACAAGATGGTTATTTGGGATATTTAAGTCCCCTATCTTTTCAGGTTGCTGGCAGCCAATTAAAGCTGCTTTCATTATATCAAACTTCCTCTGCTATGTATTGGATCTTGTGTGATGACTGGCTGAACCCTGGCCTCTGCCAACAGAATCACTAAAAAAATCTGTTGACTATTTCTGAAATTTTTCCAATAGATTTTGAGATATGTCATCAATAACCAATTTCTCTGACACACAAAATTTTTATTTTTTCATGTGTAAGGGCTTCGTTGATTTTAGTACTTTTTCCTTATATTTTTAATTTTTGGACAATATATTTCTTCCCTCAGGTATGGTGACTGTAGTTCTGTCATCACCAAAGCACCCATAATCCATCACCACAGTCCCTTGTGATCTTCCTACATAAAAAATTTTAAATTATAACAGTAAAATATGCTGTTGTAAAAAGCGTTAATACAAAAGTACAAAAAAAGCCCCTCTCCTTTTCTACCCAATTATGTCGGATATGTCAACATTTGTCTATCTACAGCCTATTTTCTTACTTAAAAATCTATTTCAAATCAAACATTTAGTTTAGAAATGGAAACCTAAAACTCACTAATCAGTGTAAGTTGTTGACATTTCAAAAACAGAACACACACATATAAGAAATACAAACACAAAACCATATGCATATGCCCCTGTTAAATACTACTAAGGTAGCTGAAATGGGATTAGAGTTAGAAATGCAAGGATTTCAACTCTAAGCATTCCAAGCTGTTAAAACTGGACAGGCAGCCAATAGGATAAACTATTAAGTGAATAAAACAGTACCTGCTGAAAGGAATCCTCAAACAATGTTTTTCGCGTCACTGTAATCTTTATGTGCTGTGGCATGGCCAATTGCTGAAATATAAGAATGATATAAAAGTCGATTCTCACCATTAAAATGGCATCAAAAAACCAGAAGGGAAAGCTTTATTTACTTTTATCTTTGCTTACAGAAACAAGTAGATTATGAACATTAAGTAATGTTTAATCATTCACTTGTGATCATTCATACTAATTATAATTTATGAGAAACAGAAAAATCTCATGTGAACACTGCTTATTTAATGAGTTTAACAAATCTTTACTTAATTTATTTTCACAAAGCTAATTCAGATTTTTCTTTCTTACATGAATCAGTTAATTACAAGAGTTTGGAGTTTAAAAATATATATCCTTCACTATTATGTTAATTTAGAAGCTATAAAAATAATTGATTCAGTACTTATACATCAGAAATAATTAATCACATCTTGGAAAATTACTATAAGCATACATATGTATCTATCAAAATCATTTATACCAAATGCTAAAGATGAAAGGGGCTGGTCAAAATTGATAAGAAAATGTTTAAACCCATTTGTTTAAAGGTTTCTGCAATGTGAAGTAACAGGTACTGCAGAAAAGAGTAGAAATGCTTTCTTACTCAAATGGCTTCAAATTTTTTCTTCTGGAAAACAGAAGCCATAAAATTACCAAAATTGAAAAACAGAAGATATTTTGATGCTTTCTAATGTACCTGTTTTTCTGAGTTATTTATGTTCAAAATCACTGTGTCATATAAGCAACATAACGAAGAAAAGGGAGTACAGAAATATAGTACCAACACTAACCTGACACCAGAACCGGAAATACTGAACCTTTGCCTTGAAGTCGCGTACATAAGCTATTTGGGGTCCATTGTCTCTGAGGAAGAATGTTAATATATTAGCATCGCTGCTTAGCAAGATAAAATACTAAAAAAAAAAAAAGCAAAATACCACATCCCCTTAGTTCTTAGTAGTCAAATACAAAAACCCCTATCTAATATAGCATGCTCTTTTTTTAAAAGAATTGTTCCTTTATTGTAAGATTTTTATTTATTTTATTTATTTATGCATACAAGAACTGGGATGTAGGCCAGTGGTGCGAGGCGTGAGAGGATTCACCAGAGACAGAGTAGGGAGTAGAATAGGCAGATCCACCGAAATACACTACTAATGGGAGCAAGCTGAAGAAACAGGAAAGGTCTGCTGTGCCATGATGCTTAGCAACTTGGCAGGGATCAAACTCCGGCTGTCACGGTGGGCTTTCGTGGTGCTAGTGCTGAGACTTAACTCCCAGACCACCAGGGAGGCCCCTAATACATAACATACACAATACTTTCTCTTTTAAAAATATTTCTCAGTGCCTACTTAAAGGTAAGACACAGAAAAAAATTCTGCTTTTTTAAAAGCTACTGTTGTGGACCTTTCTTAAGTACAGTGAAATCTAAGAGGACTAGGTAAAGAAGGTTCTAGTAATTTGTCCCCATATCCATTTTCTCCTTTGTCCTTAAATCAGATTCTTAATATTTACTTGGGCAAAATGCTACCTAGAATAAAAACTACATTTCCTAGTGTGGCTTTGGCCAGAGAAACGAGATAGCTGGGAAAGGGATTTTCTTCACTTTCCAATTTGCCGTTCCTCCATATTCTAGGTTATGACAGCTAAAGTTTTGTAATAGCTGTTACCACAAAACAATGAGGTGCCTTGAAGATAGAGATTGAAATTAGTTTTTGAAGGTAGAACCGAAGAAAAGAAGTTTAGATCACTGGTCACATCATGAGGCTTCCAGGTTAGCCCTGGATTTCACCCCAGTAGACTATTTGCTTTCCCCACTAGGCTACTTTAAATTTTCATTTTATAAATGTTCAGTGTAGAAATACACTTGATTTTGCTTATTGACTTTGTATCTGGCATGGCAACACTGTTAAATTCACTTGCTAGTTAGAGCAGTTTTTACTAGGTTCCTTATGATTTTCCATATACACAGTTATATTTATCTGTGAGAAACTAAGTTTTAATTCTTCCTGACCAATCTGTAACCTTTATTTCTTTCTCTAATCTTACCAATACAATACCAATACAGTGTTGACTGGAAGTAGTGATGGCACGTTATCTTATTCTTGATTTTAAGAGCAATTTCATCAAGTAGATGCTGGTTGCAAGTTTTTTGTAAATACCATTTTCAGGTAGCAAAGTCTCCACTGCTGAGAGTTTATCATATCTTGTATTTTGTCAAATGCTTTTTTGAAATGATTATTTTTCTCCTTGAATCTGCTACTATGATGAATTACACTGATTTGACATTTTAATATTAAACTGATCTTGCATTGCTGGGGGTAAACTCCACTTTAGTCAATTTACATCTTCTTGGATTTAATGTCATGGCAGTTGACCCTTGAATAACTGGGCAGCAGGGAAGGATGGGATTATTAGAAGTGTCAATCCCTTGTGGTAGAAAATCTGTGTGTAACTTTTGACTGACAAGACAGTTATCCCTTGGTAACCACTAGGGATTGGTCTCAGGACCACAATCCACACTCTGCCAAAATACGTGCAATTAAAACTATAGAACATTGCTAAAAGAAATTAAAGAAAAAAAAAAGAAATGTAAAGACAGTGTTCACAGATTAGAAAACAATATTAAGATGCCAATACTGGGCCTCCCCGGTGGCGCAGCGGTTTGAGCGCTGGGTCGCGAAGCTGTCCGCAGCCTCTGCAACGCCAGTTGGATCCCTGGCTGCAACCCGGCCACCGGAGGAGGGTCCCGCATGGTGTGCAGACCTCTCCTGCTGCCTGCTTCTCTCACCCTCCCATGCTTCTGACTGTACCCAGTGCTTGCATAAATAAATAAATAAATAAATAAATAAATAAATAAATCTTAAAAAGAAAAAAAGATGTCAATACTAACCAAAATGAACTATAGCTTCAGTGTAATACCTAACAAAATTCCACTTCTTTTTCCCGCAAAAGTAGAAAAATCTATTCTAAAATTAGTATGGAATCTCAAGGGACTTGAAGACTACTCCTATATTTTCTGTCTCTATGAATTTGAGTACTCAAGTGGAATCATACTACATTTGTCCTTTTCTGATTGGCTTACTTCATTTAGCATCATCTCTCCAAAGTTCATCCATACTGTAATTTGTATCAGAATTTAAGAGGTAAAATGCCAAAACAATCTCAAGGGACTCTATATGTCAAAACAATCTCAAATAAGAACAACAAAGATGGAGAACTCACATTTCTTGTTAACAAAATTTATTAAGAGCTACAGTAATCAATTTAGCATGGTGCTGAAATAAAGACAAACATATGAACCAATGGAATATAAAGCATATTAAATAAACCCTCACATATGATTCATATTAAATCATATTAAATCACCCTCACATGTGATCATATGATTTTTTAACAACTCAATGGAGAAAAGACAATATTATCATTAATTACTGCTGGGAAAACTGGATATCCACTTACAAAAGGATGAAGCTGGACCCTTAACTAGTACCATTTACAAAAATTAACTAAAAATGGGTTCATGACTTCAAGGCAAGAGCTAAAGCTATGTAACTCTTAGGAAACACACAGAATGGGAGAAAATATTTGCAAATTATGAATTTGAATATATAGAGAGCTCCTAAAACTCATCAAAATACAACATAAGCCCAAAATGCACCCAAAATGGTCAAAGGACTCAAGTGGATATTTTTTCAAAACTACAGATGGTCAATAAGCACAGGAAATGATGTTCAATATCGTGAATCATCAGAGAAAAATAGAAACTGTAAGATACTATTTTATATCCATTAGGATCGCATTAAGAACAACAAAAACTATGAACAAAACAGAAAGCAAAAACTGGCATGGATGTGGAGAAAACAAAAACCCATACATGTTACTAGTGGGAATGTAAAATGGCATACTCACTGTAGAAAGTGCTCCAAAAACACTACATAATTACTGGGCCTCCCTGGTGATGCAAGGGGTTAAGTCTCAGCATTATGAAGCTATCCACAGCCACCACAGCACTGAGTTTGATCCCTGGCCAGAGAGCTAACCCACACAGCACAGCAGACCTCTCCTGTCTTACCAGCTGCTCCCCTCAGCAGTGTATTTCAGTAAATCTGCCTGTTCTGCTCCCCACTCTGTCTCTGGTGAATCCTCTCACCCCCCCCACCCCTGACTTCTGGCCTACACCCCAGCTCTTGTATGCATAAATAAAACAAAATTTTTTTTAAAAACCCACAGAATTGGGGGCCTCCCCGCTGGCGCAGCGGTTGAGCACTGGGTTGCGAAGCTGTCCGCAGCCTCTGCAGCGCCGGTTCGATCCCCGGCTGCTCCCCAGCCACTGGGCAAGGGTCCCACATGGCGCCCAGACCTCTCCTGCCGCCCGCTGCTCCCCTCAGCAGTGTACTTCGGTCCTTCTGCCTGCTCTGCTCCCCGCTCTGGCTCTGGTGAATTCTCTCACCCTTCTGCGCTTCTGACTGTACCCAGTCCTTGTATAAATAAATCTTTAAAAAATAGTAATAAAAAATAAAATAAAATAAAAATCCCACAGAATTACTATTGGATCCAGTATATACTATTTCTGAGTATATACATTAAAGAACTGAAAGCAAAGACTCAAATAGATATTTGTATAGTCATATTTATAGTAGCAGTACTCACAACAGCTACAAGGTGGAAAGAATCCAAATGTCCACAAACATATGTATAAACAAAAGGTGGGACAGACATATAAGGAAATACTATTCAGCCTTAAAAAGGAATGAAATTCTGATACAAGTTACAGTATGAACTTTGGAGAGATGATAAGTGAAGTTAGTCAGAAAAGGACAAATATTGTATGATTCCACTTATATGAGTAGTCAAATTCACAGAGACAGAAAATCTAACAGTAGGCTTCAGAGCCTGGGTGGAGAGAGTGTGAAATGGGGGGTTACTGGTTAACAGGTAGAGAATTTCTGTGTTGGATAATAAAAAACAGTCTGGAAATGGATGGTGGCGATGGTTGCAAACAGTGTAAATGTATTCACGCCTCTGAACGATACATTTAATGGTAAACTTCATTATGAGTATTTATCAGAATAAAGAAAAGGTCATCAAAAAATATTAAGCAAAAAACAAAACACAAAGTTACTTGTCAAAAACAAAACAGAAATGGGATAAGATGAAAGGGTGCCTCTCTGGAGGCCTAGGGGTCAAGTCTTAGCACTATTACTGCTACAGGCTGAGTTCAATTCCTGGCCAAAGAGCTAATCCACATATGATGCAGCAGATATTTCCTGTCTTGCCCACTGCTCCTCTTAGCAGTGTATTTCAGTAAATCTGCTCCCCACTCTGTCTCTGATGAATCTTCTCACCCCCTCACCCCCCTGCACCTCTGGCCTATACCTGAGTTCTTCTATGAAATAAATAAATCTTAAAAAAAGGGGCTTTCCTGGTGGCGAAAGGGGTTAAGACGCAACCTATGAGGTTATTCGCAGCCACTACAGCACAAGGGGTTAAGACGCAATCTATAAAGCTACTCATTCACAGCCACTGCAGCACGAGTTCAATCCCTGGCCTGCCAAGGAGCAACCCACATGGCACAGCAGACCTCTCCTGACTCTACCGCTGCTCCTGTCAGCAACAGAATCTGCCTGTTCTGTTCCCCACTCTGTCCCTGGTGAATCCTCTCACCCCCCCCCACACCTCTGGCCTGTACCCCAGCTCTTATATGCATAACATAAATAAATCTTTTTTTAAAAAAAGGTAACAGAAATGAAAGGAATTAGAAATCAGGAATTAGTTGATGGCAGCACTGTACTGATAATTTCTAAATAGTCTCATTCAGTTCTATGTGACCAGATGGTAACAAAGATGAAAAAGCTCTAGGAGAAGATATTAAAGGGAGTAATGAAAATATAAAATACTTAATGAACAGAAAACTATGAGTAAGCCAACTCAAGAAATAACAAGAATTGCACTTCTTGCTAATTCTGATCTTTAGATCACAATCTTAGGAAATCGGTTTTACTTTTAATCTACAATGCTAAGATAACTTACAGGGCAGATTTACCAGTGCGGGGATCAATATAGGTGGTAGTTCTTCTATTATGGTCCACAAAATACGGAATTCCATCCACTGTGAATCTCATTTCCCAGCCTTCAGGTAAGGGCTTTTCATTTAATTGTCTAAAAACATGGGAAAAATATAACAAATAAAAAATGTTAGAGTTGCTTATTGCTAAATACTGAAACTAAAAATATCTGTAAATGCAGTAGAAATATTCTAGAAAACCATTTAGTCCAGTATTTAAAGTTTACTAGATCTTTCTATCCATATATTCTACAAATATGTTAAATATGCTAACAGATCCATCAACCAACACTTGGTCTTCCCTTGTCTATCTGACCTGTAGTGCCCATTTCCCTGGCAATCCACCTAACCAACTCATGGTAACCAAACTCGGCCTATTCACTGTAACAATCTTCAAGTTCATCATTGTTTGCAATCCCCAACCCATGCTTACAGTGGCTTTATTCATCTCTCTTTTAAACTTTCACAACAGATACATAATTGGTTTTCCTGTCTCTAGTTTCACCCTGGTCCTACACTCTTATTCATATTGCTGACAGAGCATTAAAAACTGAGATCTGATCAAGTTATAACTTTCTCCTTAAACTTTAAATCTATCAAAGGTAAGATTTAAACTCCTCCTCCTGGCACTCACTCTGTCGCTATACTCTGCCCTCAATTTTCTCTTTCAGGTATTTTCTGCACTCTATCTCCAACTCCCTTCCACGAACTATGATTTCAGAGTATATGGCTCCTCACCATTTCCCTAAACAAGAATACCTCCAACACCTCCAAGTGAAGCCCCACCTCTTGTCCACAATCTTTCTATTATTACTCTGTTAAGGCAACTCAAATGTTCTTAATCAAGTATTCCTACCCACTTCCTAATTTGGACCTTGCTTAATCTCGGTAAACTTCAGTTTCTTTGTCCATGAGGTGGAGATAACAATGTCTATGTGATAAGACTGTATAAGGAATAAATGAGACAATAAAAAGTTTAGTACATAGTAAACTCAAATTCTATTACTACTGTTCCTACTATACATTGATCTTTTAGACCTTTCATACTACTTTCTTCAAGCTGCTAGCACAGCATTTGTCAGTTATTTCAACCTGTGTTTTATCAACATCCCACCCTGTAAATATGATGTGAGTTAAAAACAGGAGAAAGATTACAGGTCATAATGACTTATACAAATGACAACTTGATATATATTAAAACCACTGAGACATTAGAATATTAAAAACAGCTTACTTACGAACCTAAATAATTTGTTTTTAGATTTCAAAATATTATACTAGAAAGAATAAGGAACTATGACTACTTCTTTGCAGTATGTATTTGTGTATTATGCATAATGGCAGCCAGTCTTTTTAGGAACTTAGATTTTGTAAGTGTCCCAAGTTTTATCCGTATGTGCCAGTTCATTTTTCTTTATTCTACTATTTGAATTTTCTCATCTGGCAGATTAAGTATGAGAGAAAACAATGGAAATGTTGGGAGTTCACATCAGAAAGAATTAGGGAGGGGTGGGAGGCATTAAGTGCAATGTTTTACAGAAAGGGAATTCTAGACTGCTGACAGTAGTGTCATTTTCTTTAAGTGTACCTTAGAAGAACCAAAGGTTGAGAACCAATGCCCAAAACAGTATCCTGTAAGCTGTATAAATGGTTAGGAACATTTACCTGTATTTACAAGACTTTATACAAATATCAAAAAAATAGGCTACCAAAATCTTTTTTTTTTTTTTTTTTTTTTTTTTATAGAGGCATGCTTTATTTATTTGTTTGCTGGTTTGCTTGTTTGTTTTGTTTATACATGCACTGGGTACAGTCAGAAGCGCGGGAGGGTGAGAGAATTCACCAGAGCCAGAGCGGGGAGCAGAGCAGTCAGAAGGACCGAAGTACGCTGCTGAGGGGAGCAGCGGGCGGCAGGAGAGGTCTGCGCGCCATGTGGGACCCTCCTCCGGTGGCCGGGGAGCAGCCGGGGATCGAACCGGCCGCGGGCAGCTTCGCAAACCAGCGCTCAACCGCTGCGCCACCGGGGAGGCCCCAAAATCTTTTTTTAAAGACAACATTTTCATTTGTCGTTAATTATATTTCTAAGACAGGCTCAGTATTAAATTGCCTTGAAAACAAATCAAAGTGGATAGAAGTGGGCCATTTATATTATTTATTAAAATATGATTCTAACTTTAGCTCTGAAACTTTAAAGGTACGAGGGGGGAACCAAAAAATGGTAGCATATTACAGAAAAGTGTATCTCTAACCTTAGAGATAGAATTTTAGAGAGGAATTAGAGGTGTTACCTTTGAAATTCTTAATTCTTCCTTTTGAGGAAATTCAATACATTTTAAATACCATAACTTTGTAAAAAGTGTTGAGATTTGTTGTACCCAGAAAAATATTTTTAATTTAAAACGTATCTTTAGAAAAGAGGTTCTTAAAACTTTGTGCCATGGAATGAGTTCAATGAAGGATTAACCATACCCAAAGAAAGGTCTGACCTTTGTCCCTTAGCTTTGAAAAGTGTTCATTAGGTCTCTGGAAAGTCCTGCCTGCCAGACATATCTTTGTTTGCTTGAGGTGTGAATACAAGATAATCAACAATGTGATTTATGATGAAGATTTTGAGGCATATCCTTTTTTTTTTTTTTTAAAGATTTTTTTTTTTTTAATAGAGGCATGTTTTTTTTTTTTATTTATTTATTTGTTTGTTTGTTTGTTTTGTTTATACATGCACTGGGTACAGTCAGAAGCGCGGGAGGGTGAGAGAATTCACCAGAGCCAGAGCGGGGAGCAGAGCAGGCAGAAGGACCGAAGTACACTGCTGAGGGGAGCAGCGGGCGGCAGGAGAGGTCTGCGCGCCATGTGGGACCCTCCTCCGGTGGCCGGGGAGCAGCCGGGGATTGAACCGGTGCCGCAGAGGCCGCAGGCAGCTTCGCAACCCAGCGCTCTACCGCTGTGCCAACGGGGAGGCCCGAGGCATATCCTTTTAATTCCAACCTCTGGAATAACTGGAAACTAATGGTATTAACCCAAACTCTGGGGAGAGCTGCAAAGTTAGCCAGACAGGCATTATAGAATAGAACCACAATAAAAACTCTGTATAATAGACTTGGGCGAGATTTCTTGTTGGCAATATTCTATACATACTGTTTCACATCAATATGGGAACTTGGAACCTTCCCAGACTCTGCCTCTTTCCTTGTGCTAGTTCTAATTTGTATACTTTCCCTAAATAAACGTACCTATGACTTTAAACAGGCTTCAGTGGAGCTCTAGTCTCTCTAGAGTTATCAAACCTGAAAGTGGTTGTGGGAATCCCTGAATCTGTAGCCACTTAGTCTGATACGAGAACAATGCTGGAGAACCCTCATCTAATGGCTGATATCTGAAGTGGGGGCAAATTTGGCGGGGGGCTGTGGTCTCTGAAGATAGAAGTTTCCAAACTCCCTGCAGAACAGAATATAGAAGTTTCCAAACTCCCTGCAGAACAGAATCCTCTGGCAGTCTGCTATCTGCATAGCATTAGATATTGTTATGGGCCAAACTGTGTCCCCCAGCAAGTTCATATGTGGAAATGCAACCTCAGAATGTGACGGGACTTGGAAACAGGGTCACTGCAGATGAAATCAGTTAAAAAGAAATCATATTAGAAAACAGTGAGCCACTACTCTAATATGACTGACATTCTAATAAAAAGGGGAAACATGGACACTGGACATGCACACACGAAAATGCCACATGAAAACTGGAGTTATGAGGCCACAAGTCATGAACTATGCGAAACTAGTGGAGAGACCTAGAATAGATCCTTCCCTAGTACCATGAGAGAGCATAGCTTGGTTGACAACTTGATCTTTTGGACTTCTAGCCTCCTCAACTATGTGAAAAATTTGTCGTTTAAGTCACTCTGTGGTACTTAGTTAAGGCAGCCCTAGCAAATTAATATCCATAATGTTACAAAGAAAAGCAATTATGTGAAGTTATCAAGACAACAAAAATACAAACTTGTAATGTCTCTTTTTCAAATATATTCACTAGCAAGTTGCTGTAACGATGTACATAAACAATATTTTGACATATTTACAATAACTGCAGAATGATCTAAAAGACATGCGGTTTTTATTGGTGGCAAATTCCTAGACATTATTATTCTATTACAGTTGTTGCCTACAATCATGATAGAAGGAAATGCTCAATTTCAGGTACAGGTTACTGAAAGTGAGCATGTGTTTTTTTTCCCCCCATTTTCTCCAGTGATCTCAGGTTGCAAAATCCTGCTTTCGAGTACTAAACTGGTCTTACTGAAAATAAGTATTTTTGAATACATGTGTATTCACAAATATATACATTTATAACAACGTTGCTTTTAACTATCTGTTTAAGAAACCAGTATCCACCATATTAATAGCATAATTTTGTTTTTTCTAAAGTATGTGAATGATTATAAATAAGGGAAAAGAATATGTAAACTTTGACCCTTTTCATAACTGGAACAAATATTTGGTATAATCCTTAAGAGGTTAACTGTATGCTAGTAACTGCTAATTCTTACCCTTGACTTCTGGGGTCTTCCCACTGGGTAATACGAGTGTTGTGGTTGACAAAATACACTCTACCATTGCTGTCCGTTCTCTTCTCTGAACAAAACAAAACAAAAAGCAAAACATTAAAGTTTGATATAGTTTTCCTTCTCAAACTAAAATAAGCTGAATGTGTCCATTTCTCATGGTACTGTTGATTTTGTAGTTTTTAAATCACTATTCACATACTAAAATTTAGAAGTATCATTATATCTTAGAAGTGAGAATGACTAAATTACAGTGTCCTGCCCACAGGACCATTTTTGCTCAAACCAACAAAAGCAGGAAGAACTAACCATTTTGACTTTTCAAACATGACCACATTTTATCTTTAACAGTTCATGGGGCAGTTGGTTTTAGCTTATCTTGAAGATAATGAAACACTCACAGGTTATGCAATCTGCCTAAAATCTCAGAATTAAGTAGCAACAGGAAGGAAACTCAGATTTCCATTTAGGAATTTTTCATATCACACTATCTCATTACTTAAAATATCATGGGAGATAAAACTTAAAAGTTTCTTTGGGATATATGAGGCTTATTCAATGAAGGAAGACATTGTTTCAAATATATATCCTGTTCCTTAAAAAAACCCAGTTTCCAAATCCTAAATATCTACCCTAACTTTCCACCCAAAAGCTGGGCAGCAGTATTCAGCTCTTTTAATTTATTGCACCTGAAGCAATAAAGACAGCTATCTGTCTGCCCCCATCTCTTGTTTTAGGAGTGTCGTTTTTTCTTTTTCTCACTCTACAAAAATTTCCTGCTTCCCTGAACTTTTTTTAAAGTTTATGGGTCATGTATATATCATTTTCTTTTAATAACCAAGGTTTTGCATTTTAGTATTAAATTCTGTTGTTCTGAACTATTGTTGTCTGCTCCTTTACCAGGTCATTCCTCAAATTATAGGTCTCTTCCTGTATCTGAACTTATTTTTCAAAAAGACTTATTTTTATTTATTTATGTATACAAGAATTGGGGTGTAGGTTGGGGGTGAGAGGATTCACCAGAGACAGAGTGGGGAGCAAAACAGGCAGATCTACTGAAATACACTGCTGAGAGGAGCAGCTAGTAAGACAGAAGTGTGCTGCACCATGTGGGTTAGCTCCCTGGCCAGGGATCGAACTCATGCCGCAATGGCTGGTAACAGCTTGATAGCACGAGACTTTAACCCCTGTATCTGAACTTTTTTTTTTTTTTAAAGATATTTATTTATGCATACAAGAAGTAGGGTACAGGCCAGAGGTGCAGGGGATGAGAGGACTCACCAGAGACAGAGTGGGGAACAGACCATGCAGATTGACGGAAATACACTGCTGAGGGGAGTCAGGAGAGGTCTGCTGAGCCATGTGGGTTGCTCCCTGGTCGGCTGGGGATCAAATTCGTGCTGCAATGGCTGCAGATAGCTTCATAGGTTGCGTCTTAACCCCTTGCGCCACCAGGGAGGCCCTGTATCTGAACTTTATAATTTGGCCAAGATCTCTCAAAGAATATAGCTGAAGTATTAGAATACAGAGTGGATTCCAACTTTTAAAAAGGCATAGTTTCTGGGCCTCCCCGGTGGCGCAGCGGTTGAGCGCTGGGTTGCGAAGCTGCCTGCAGCCTCTGCAGAGCTGGTTCGATCCCCAGCTGCTCCCCGGCCACCGGAGGAGGGTCCCACATGGCGCGCAGACCTCTCCTGCCGCCCGCTGCTCCCCTCAGCAGTGTCCTTCGGTCCTTCTGCCTGCTCTGGTCCCCGCTCTGGTGAATTCTCTCACCCTCCCATGCGTCTGACTGTACCCAGTGCTTGTATAAATAAATAATAAATAAATAAATCATTAAAAAAAAAAGGCATAGTTTCTAAAAATTAGCAATTTTCAAACAAAAAAATTTTTTTTTAAATGAAAGAACCGGGGTACAGGTCAGATGTTCAGGAGGGTGAGAGGATTCATCAGAGACAGAGCAGGGAACAGAATAGGCAGACTGACGAAATACACTGCTGAAGGGAGCAGCGGGCACGACAGGAGAGGTCTGCTGTGCCATGTGGGACCCTCGCCAGCCGGCAAGGAAGGAACCGGCGCTGCAAAGGCTGTGGACAGCTTCACAGCGCTGCACTCAACCACCTGTGCCACCAGGGGAGGCCCTTCAAACAAAATTTTAAGCTCAACTCCATGCTGATAAAATCAATTTTTACACCCGGCTGGCGAGGGTCCCACATGGCACAGCAGACCTCTCCTGTCGTGCCCGCTGCTCCCCTCAGCAGTGTATTTCGTCAGTCTGCCTATTCTGTTCCCTGCTCTGTCTCTGACGAATCCTCTCACCCTCCCGAATGTTGATATCCATTTTTCAAACATTAATTTAGAAACCTTGGTTTTTTTAAATTTTTTTTACATCATTGTTCATTTTAAAACAATATTTGCTTCCCCTCACCCCCTCAGGTGTAGTGCCCATGGAATTTCCTTCACCAATGCACTTGTGCACCATCATCTCAGTCCCCTGTTCTCCTCCCTGCCTCCCTGTTCCCTCTCCCTCCTCCTCCCCTGCAGTATGTCTCTGATTTATAATTGTCTGTTTTTGCTTTGTTGTGTTTTGTACTGTTATTATTTTTTTACACTGAGTAGACCCCTTGGATCTTTAAGCAAGACACTGAAAGATGAATCTTAGGCCAAATTACATAGCTTTTTTAGGTCAGCATTTGTTAACTTTTACCTCTAGCACTGATTCTCTAATTTCAAATAGCAGTGATAATATGGAGTTAGAAGAGATATACTGGTTAGTACTGTGAATCTGTTCCTGACATTAGTTACTTTCTACATCAGCTGATCCTAAAATGGAACTAGAAGTCCAGATATACATAATATAGAGAAAAAGGCAACTCTGCATTTTTTGACACACTCTGAATATTAACTGGTGTCCCTTGTGATGGCATCCTGAATATGGAAGCATGTAACTTTAAGGCTGTCTCTGAGGCAGAAAGAAGCATTTACAGTACTACTGCTGGCTAATGCTACTGCTGGCTACTTTATAATAAAATATGTTAATGTTCTTGGCAGTCATAATAAGTTTAATTTTTCTAAAATACTTACAGAGTCAACAAATTTTCTTGTATCCTAATAATCTTAAAGTAATTATTATAATCTAAAAATAATAACTTAAGTGCACAACTGAGCATATTTTCATTTTTTATCTGCCATGTAAGGTAGATTTCCAGGTAAGAGGTTTATTTTCACTTCAAAAGCTAACATGAGACAAGATTAAGTTAACAGAAAACTATGCATGTTCTAGGTATGTACTGCTGAAATCAGCATTTCTTGGAAAAGGCTGTGAAAAACAAAATTTCAAAGGCGGATCCACTTGCAAACTGAAGGCTCATCTGCTTTAATGAGAGGAAGTACTGTGTCTGTAGAGCTGATTTCTTTGTTGAAAAATCACATGGTAAACAATACTGAAATTACTGAACATCAAACCTGATAGATCAGCATACTTCCTGAGTTGATGAGTAAAACAGTAAAAAACTGAAGCTTCTTGGCTGTTTTGTTTTCTTTCACAACTACTATGAAAATGAGAAAATATCTTTATCTTTGATGGGTAAACCAACTACACAAAGTTGGTCCTGTTAGACAACATTGTTAAACTAAAAGAATTCCTTGCTCTCCAGCCTGTACAGACAGCATGTGTTAGAAATTCTTTACTGTCAGATATAATGTGTAAGATGTAATTGAAGCATATAAAAAAGGGTAAGAAAGTGAACTTAAATATACATATAGTCACATAAGTAATGTTATCAACTTCAGAACTCAAAAGAGGTTGAAAACTGGGGTTTTATTTCCTGGGTAAATCTTGAGGGTATATCTCATTTGTTACAGTACCAATGTTGTCACTAGTTCTACAAATAAGGTATGTGCCTGAAAGGCGGACAGTCATAAAGCAGTGCTTGGTCTGAATAACAGCACGATCATAAACTCATTTAGGAAGAAGGGCACACTACAACTTTAGAAGTGAACCTAAAAATAATGAGCAGAATGTAAAATAAACAAGGCAAGATTCTTATAATCTGGATAAGGTAGGATTAAGACTTCAGAGGCAGTATTTTAGGGAGGTGGTGTGGGCTAAAGTAAAAATGAGAATGATCCTAATGATGAGGATAATGATAAATACAGGAGATAAGAATTAAGTTGCAGGAAAAACTTTTTAATTTATGCTTCTGTGAGCAAGAAGCTATTTTTCTTACAGCTTTTCTGTCTAAGCAGTGAAATGGTCTATTCCTGGCAAAAAATTGGGTCATATTTTTTCTGCAATAAAATTAAGAAGATAAATACATGGACCTTCAGATATAACGGTTTAGTGAGTTAATTTCCCCTCTATAACACAGACATACAACAATTCTAGGATAAAGTGGGGAAACACCATCATGGCTGGGACTACAATCTGACAGATCTAATTCAATACGCCACAAGGGCAACATTCCCTTTTACTTCCTATCAACCACACACTGTCCAACCTGAGACTCCAGCAGAGCCGAAAGACCCTTTCCCAGAGTGTCAGGTTTTGGGGAAGTTAATAATTCGCAACTTTCATAAAATCCCCATTTATTACAGCTAGTAACAATAACAGTTGTAGATATGATCTATTACCTTTTCTTTTTTTACCTGACTCACAGGAGTGTTAAGGATAAATAACTTAAGAACAATGGGTTTCTCAAAGGCAGACTTATGTAGTAACAATCATTTATTCCCAGATTCATGTGATCTTCCTAATACATCAATTTTTTCCTCCATTCCTCAGAGTAATGATAGAGCAATCACTCTTGGGAACCAATGCTTCCCAACAAACACCTAGAAATATCCCTTTCTAAATTTAGCTTAATGTTCTGAAGTGTCTGCAACTCTTGAATATAAAAACTTCAACTGGTTTTCTTTTTTTTTTTTAAGATTTTATTTATTTATTTATTTATTTATACAAGTACTGGGTACAGTCAGAAGCGCGGGAGGGTGAGAGAATTCACCAGAGCCAGAGCGGGGAGCAGAGCAGGCAGAAGGACCGAAGTACACTGCTGAGGGGAGCAGCGGGCGGCAGGAGAGGTCTGCGCGCCATGTGGGACCCTCCTCCGGTGGCCGGGGAGCAGCCGGGGATCGAACCGGCGCTGCAGAGGCCGCAGGCAGCTTCGCAACCCAGCGCTCAACTGCTGTGCCACCGGGGAGGCCCTCAACTGGTTTTCTAAGTTGCTTTACTTTGCTGTTTTCCACTTGCTATATTCACTTTGGCTGCTACGCAGAAGTCTTTCAATATTGCCTTGTTTATTCAGGAACATTGTTACAGCATTATAAGTTGTATAGTGTTATACAATAAAATTTAAACTTTGGTAGTGTAGGCCCACCTTAAAATCTATTAACAAGGCCTATAACCAAATGTACTAGAATACAGCATTCTCATGTGTTACATGGTGTCAGCACAAAGTCACCATCTTATCATAACCCTGTTTTCACTTTTCTTTCAGATAATGTCAACTCAATCAAATGCTGAGCTGTGTTTTGTAAGCACCAATGAGTTCTAAATACTTTAAACTTCATATTTTGAAGTAATTATTACTCACAGGATGTTACAAAATTATTACTCACAGGATGTTATCTTCTGAAATTTATGTTTTTCACTAAGCACAATGCCCTCAATATCCACCTAGACTGTTCTATCAATAATCAATTTCTTTTTATTGCTGTGTGAACAAAATATTTTTAAACTTTGGAAGAATAAAATAATTCTAAAATTTTAGTAAGTTTACTATAGTAAAAGAGTCAACTTAGAGCTTTCGGGAAATCTAATGCCCATTTGGTATAATGAATTAAACCAACACACCCCAAAAGCTTCCAAGTTATTCACTCAAGCAAGATCAGGGTGCCATCTACAAATATTTTATTTCTAAAATGAATGAATTCAATGAAAGAAGTTCATGTGACTTACCCCATCCAGGTGGCAGGGGACCAAGAGGATCAAATTCTTTATTTTGTGATGTAGCAAACAAATCTTGATTCTAAAAAGAATATGAAATGGTGAAACAATGAACAACTTAAAAAGACAATCTGAGAGCAACCATATAGTCTGATACATCTTTCCTGGCCTTGTATAACATAATACATTCTTACAGAGCTCACATCTAAGGGAAGTGTCACACAATCCTGCATAAATGCCAATACACTCTGGTGGAAAAAAGTAAATCTTGGCAAACATTATTTAATTTTTAAAATTATTTGAAATTCAAATATCACAAATACATAATCCTTACCCCCAAATGACCATTTTTAGTTCTTTAGCTACAGATCAATAAATTAAAGAACTGTGATTCCTGAAAAAGTCATTTTTTAAAAATAAATTTTATTTTTATATTCCCCATACAATTGCAACCCCCTTATTTTGACCCCAATCCCTCCCCTCCCCGCCCGAAAAAGTCATTTATTAATAACAGTACTCCGTGTTATCAGATGACTGTAAGAAATCTTGTATTTCTAACTTGAAAAGAGAAGTTCACACATAGAACATGGTATACATAAAGAACTGTGGGAAGAGATGGGGGAACCAAGAACAGGCTGTCAAATAAGATAAGAATTCCAGTTAAAAGGAGCTGAACAATTCTAGAATTGCATAGAGGACGCCTTAAATTTTTGTTTGTAGGGGCCTCCCTGGTGATGCAAGGGGTTAAGACGCAACTTACGAAGCTAACCCCAGGCTCTGCAGCACAAGTTCAATCCCCAGCCAAGGAGCAAACCACATGGCGCAGCAGACCTCTCCTGTCTCACCCGCTGCTCCCCTCAGCAGTGTACTTTAGTCAATCTGCCTGTTCTGTTCCCCACTCTGTCTCCAGTGGATCCTCTCACTGCCCACACCTCTGGCCTGTACCCATTCTTGTATGCATAAATAAATAAATCTTTTTTTAAAAAATATTTGTTCGCAAATATCACATTGCACCAAATCTCTCAATGATTGTGTTTCCGTTAAAATGTATAATAAATGTATAATAAAGTGGGGATAATTTGTTACTGGTTAGCAAGACCTGGTTAAGCCCTTCTCCAGTAAGGCAATAAATAAATAAATAAAATAACTATAATAGCTTAAAAAAATACAATAGGACAATATACCACATATATCCAGCACCAAGACTCAATAATTATTTTTTTGTACCTACTCTTTGCTAAAGCAAAAATCAGATATCTCTTTTTAATCCCTATGTACTTTAGTGTGCCTTTCTAAAATTTGTAGACATTTTCTTATATAATAACAAGACCATTAAAACACCTAGATAAGAATCTAGTTAATTCTATCATCTAATACCCAACCCCAAATTAACTCCCTCTGATTATTTGTTCTAATCAGAATACGAAGTCCTTACATTACATTTGGTTGAATTTCTTAAAGTCTCAACCTATAGCAGTTCTTCTGTTTTGTTTTTTTTTTTTTTTACCCCCATACTACTGCCATTGACTTATTAAAGAAACTGGGTTGACTTACTGAAAGTTTTTAAGATTTATTTTATTTATTTATGCATACAAGAGCTGGGGTGTATGCCAAGGTGGGAGGGGAGGGGTGAGAGGATTCACCAGAGACAGAATGGGGAGCAGAACAGGCAGACTGATGAAATACACTGCTGATAGGAGTAACAGAAGAAACTGGAGAGATCTGCACACCATGTGGGTTAGTTCCCTTGGTGGGAATCAAACTCATGCTGCAGTAGCAGCTGATAGTGCTGGGACTTTAACCCCTGCGCCACCAGGAAGGCCCCCAAAACACAGTATTATTGTGAAGCATAAATAAGATGGGGGTCTATAAAAATACAAAGAGAGGTAGATATAAAGGATGGTCAAAACCGTCAAAACAATCCTGTGACGGCTGTTTTACAGAAGATGGCAGAAAAAACTGTTATATGAAACAAGTTATCTTTCTTAGTCATAACCAGGTAGTGAAGGCTGCTGATAACAGTGAATTTATCTGTATCAGTGAGTGATAGCTGTTACGGTGATAGCAAATACTCATATTCAGCTTAATATGTAACAAGTTGCTCACCCCATAAATGAATCTCTGGTTAAATTGCTGCATTGCTCCTTGAAGCTGACTACGTTGGAGCTGCCACTGTTCATAGTTCCGTACAGATTCCAATGTTGGCCTCTGCCACGTTGTTGTTCTTGTGAAATGGTCAACATAATAAATACGTCCCATGTTGTCAACCCGCCGTTCCCAGCTAAATAAATACAAAAACAACCTAATTCAACAAATACTTCTGAAACAGATATTAAACAAACAAGAATTTCGCACTGACCCTGGTGCATATTTGTAAGATTTTACCTTGAGAAAATACTTTTGATTTACTTGCAGTTTTTCATTTTACCAATTTTTAAGCAATCTATCAATGAACTTAACAGAGATGCCTCTTCAAATTTTTTTCTTGAAAAGTCCTCAAGGGGCCTCTCTGGTGGTGCAAGAGGTTAAGACGCAACCTATGAAGCTATCTGCAGCCACAGCAGCACGAGTTTGATCCCCAGCCAGGGAGCTACCCACATGGCGCAGCAGAGCTCTCCTGTTTCTCCCACCAGCTGCTCCCCTCAGCAGTGCATTTCAGTCAATACATCTGTTCTGCTCCCCACTCTGTCTCTGGTGAATCCTCTCAACCCCCACACCCCTGGCCTGTACCCCAGTTCTTGTATGCGTAAATAAATCTTTTTAAAAAAAAGTCCTTAAGGTCTATCAGTCAGAGTCTTAAAACATAATGTATATTCAGGGAATAAATCTTAGTCATTAGGTGAAAAGTTAACACTTTCTTTTCAGTGTTCCTTTGACTGTTCCAATTCTAATAGGGACACAATTATATATATAGCTTTACACAAATATCAAAAAGCACTTTTTCACAATAAGGGAACTATCTTTTTTATCATTTCAAATACGTACATAATATTAAGCACTGATACAATTTGGTGATTGGCTTTTAGGAATATGTATCATCAATACTCTGATATTAAAAGTAGTAAAATAATAAATACCTTAGTACATTGTTTTTCTTATCTTGAATTATTTCTTTTTAAAAAAAAAAAAAGATTTAATTATTCATGCATACAAGAACCAGGGTACAGACCAGATGTGCGGGAGGGTGAGAGGATTCACCAGAGACAGAGTGGGGAACAGAACAGGCATACTGAACAAAATACACTGCTGATGGGAGCAGTGGATGAGACAGGAGAGGTCTGCTGCGCCATGTAGTTATCTCCCTAGCCAGCCAGAATTGAACCTCACAGCGCTGTGCTCAACCGCCTGCACCACCAGGGAGGCCCCTCTTGAATTATTTCTTCAGGATAAATTTCCTAGAGAGAATTACTTAGGGTATGTGCATTATTATGGTTACACTTTTTCTGTAAGAGCTGTAACTATAATTTATACTCCTACTAACAATGTTAGGTGATAAAGTTCCTCTACAAGCTTACCAATACTGGATATCATCTACTAACTTAACAAGTAAAACTGTACCTTTAAAGAATGTAATTAAGATTACTAGCAAGGTTAAAAATTTCCCTGTTTGCTACTGTTTTATTGCCTTGAATAAAAAATACATTCTTCCCAACATTTTAACAATATAAATGTTAAATGCCCAACACCACATAATTTATTTATTTCCCCAAATACTTTGTAATGACTTCACTATAACACTGAAGTTTTGTTTTTGTTTTTAACAAAATAGGAACTTTTCCCTCATATATATGGATAGGGGCTATAACTCTTTCTCAATTAATTACTCTTGAAGAAACTAATCCCAGTACTCTCTGGTTTGAGTCAGGTAAAGTTCAGAAAGAAAAACCTGGAAGCAGCAAAACCTATGGAATCTTTAAGTCAGAAATGAGTGAAAATAAAAATCACTCATCATGCTCAGTGAATTCTCTTACTCTTTCTTTCTACTTTGTACCCACCACAAAAGACTATCAAGAGGAAAAGCAGAAATGTAGGGAAGATTTTATATAAAATTTACATATGGGTATATATGTGTGTGTGTGTAAATATATACACACACACACACACACATATATATAAATACATATATATAAAATATATATATGTAATCTAGAAAGGTTTTTTTCCTTCTTTAATTAGGATACTTACCCAGGGGGCAGAGGTTCCGGTCTATCCCACGTGGTTCTTTTCTCAATATGGTCTACATAGTAAACTCGCCCATGCTGGTCCACTCTTTGCTCCCAACTTAAACACAAAATTTAAAGAGGACTGGTATGGTACTTGTCTCTGCCTTTTTCTCTTATATTACCATATTATAAAACTAAGGAAAATAAGCATGTCAGTATACAAAGAAGATACCAAAAGAATTTAGGAATAGTCAAAAAATGTTATCTTGAGGGTGATAAATACAGTGGATGAGATTTCTTCTGATACAAGTATATGCTCTAGGAGATGAGTTGTATTTCTAAAGAGGTTAAAGGCTGATGCATTCCAGAGACAAACTCTATCTCAGGACCTGAGATAAAAAGAAAGTTGTAATTAAGTTTATGAAATCTGTAGGAAGACTGAGTTGCTACTGAAAGAAAAAGGACTGTTTGGGTTCTAGACAAACTGGAATCAAACAATAAGACTTTATCCGATGTACCTCTGCACAGTACTATAAAGAAATTTAATCTGATTATCTTGTCATCTTGGTAGGTTTATCCCCAAAGTGAAGATAGGAAAACCATCCTAACTTAGATAGGCCAATTACTTCTAAGAGCGCCCAGTTATTCCTTGCCAATCTGTTGCACAAGCAACTTTTTAATGTGGCTTCCCATTAGGCTTGCCAAAAGGTAAATAGCCTAACTATTGTCACAAACAATATAAAATCTATTTAGCAATTAGAATTCTCATCATGACAGGTTTATCAGTCACTTGTTTAATTCTGATTAGCTTTCTGAGCTCTGGATTAATTTGAACACTACAATGTATATACATATAAATAACTAGGGTTATTAATGTTAAAAACATTCAGATTAAAAGGGATTATAAAAACTAATTAAATAGTATTACTTTCTATAATGGCTTTATGAGGGAAAATTTTTTAATTTTAAAAAGTTATTTTTTTCCCTTTGAAGAAAAAGAAATTATGAGTTAGGTGACTATTTTATTACTTGGTCTTAGCTAACTTTATGGTTTAGAGTCCTTAAAAAAAAATTTCCCCCCATTTTGCTTTGGAAAAGGGTGGGGGGGAATTTCAAATGTGGCAAGTTTTTGGGTACAGTTTGACTCCACATCCCTAAAATCAGTTACAATTGCCTGAAGACAATTTTTTAAAGAATGGAGTTTAGTACCATTTTCACTATTAATAAGTATATGCAGATGCCTCCCAAAAAAAATTGTCAACCAAAACCAGTTACTCACCCAGGTGGCAGGGGAGCTTGAGGTACAGGATTTAATGGCCTAGGGCCTGAGCCTCCAGATATAGTAAGAGGAATTATCAATCCAGACGCTGCTCCCTCAGATGTATTTGAATTTGTATTTGTTGGTGGCAGAGAGCCGGTACTAGATCCATCACTTTCAGAAGTGGCAGATGGTGAACCATTCACAGATGCTATAAAAGATTTAGGAAAACAATCTTTTGTTTTCAAAAATCTGAATTCGAAATAGAATTTCAATTTTAAAAGATAAAAAGGTAGATGACAAATATAAATTGAGATATACATAGGCAGGTGAAATTACTTAAAATAATGGGATATAGACAATGACCCTACTTAATAGGCTCATTCACAACTTTTTAGTCTATCCCATTACCTCTTTTAGTTACAAAGCATATATAGATTCTAATTTCCTGATGCCACAGTAAGCAAAAACTTTTAGAATAGGAAAGTGTTGGTATCCCTTGGTATAATAAGTTCATTTAGCAATTTTCTAGATCATAAAAATGGTCTTTCCTATGAAAACCTGCAGTTCAGAAAACAAATTTTGATAGTAGTTTTAATATAGGATATGACTGATTAACTATTTGCAAGAATATTACTGTTGAAGTACATATTACACATTCAGGAAATACTTGTTGATAAAACAATTCCTGAAGGAAGTCACTAATACTATGACAAAATAGTATATGACCTTAAAGACTAGGAATATAGTGTTAACACAATTATCTACAAAAAAAGGAGGAAGATGTATAATTAAAATCATTTAATAAAATGATATCTCAACAACCAGTTTACGCTTCCAATATTGAATTCCTTTACATTCATTCTCTGTTCATCCTAGCAGAAGGAAAAATAAAAAATAAAGGATTTGTTTTGGCTAATCAGATGTTAACATTTTTACCACATGAAATATGTTCATTTGTTATATATATTTTTTTGCTTTAAAATCTGAGTATCATTTATCTGGTTGGATTATTTGCCATTTAGTAACTGTCTTTTTAAAGAATATAATGAGACTAAGCAACCAGATCCTTGACTATAAGACATGCTTTATTCCAGTTACAATCCCACCAGAAAGCTGCAATCTCATCTATACTGCCTATATTTATATAATGCACAAAATTTTCATTCTCAACATTGCTTCAATGACCTCCCCTGGAGGAAAATCTTAGGAAAAAAGGCATTTTCTATAGTTAATCACAGAAAGATCATTCTTAGCCAAAATATAAAATACTGCCAGAAAACCAGCCTAAACCTGACACTTACCTGTATATCAATTTCAAAATAGAACATTATTGATAATCATACTACTGAGAGCTACGTCCCTAGTGTATGGCTGGAATACACACCTGGTCTACGTGGGGTAGGAGGAGGTGGTCGTGAAGGTCTTGGAGGCCTAGAAGGCTTAAAACCGCCATTTGAAAGTGATGGAGAATTATTCCCATTGACCCTCCTATTTTCACCAGACCCTGCATCCTCAGGGTCATCTGATCCACTTGTGTTCACTCTGGGTAAGAAGGGAGGAAAGGAGAGGAAAAGAGAAAAAGAATGCTTTTTGAATTTAACTACAACAACAAACAACAACAGCAGGAGATGAAAACTTAAGATTTTAGAAGCTTGACAAAAGATTCCCTTTTTCTGGCCAGTATTATGAAATACATAAACATCCTTTTTGGGTAGAGTCTTATATATAATCCTTAGAGACCACCCTGAAAGAGTGAGCAGTTGCCCAATGGCACAAGAACACCTCAGACCACTCAAAACTATTAGATATGCTGATTTATATTTCAAATTAGTCTTCGGAGCCACTGCATAAGTAGAACAGAGTCAAATTCTCAAAATCTCAGTATCTTAAAAGGGCATAGATAACTTCACCATCATCATTTTCCTGGTTTCTGCTGGCTCTTAATATTATTCAGGTTTGGGGCAGGGTTGACTGCTTCATGGCAAGAGAAAAAGTACACTTATTTCCTAGGGGCAGGGTGCTCTAACCATTGCTCATTTCAGCAAATGGCATATAAAATGTACAAATAGAGTACAGGTACCCACAGATCTTTCTTTAAAGGAGCTATCACTTCCTAAGAGGAATGATATCAACTGGAAGGAAATAAAGGAAGGGTGGGTGGAGGCATAGGGACATTAATAAGAAATGTTAGAGTCACCATTACTACTACTGTCAGCAAAATATAATCTGACTGCTTTTCCTAGAGGATCTGGTCATAAATTAAAAGCAGAGTGTTAATTAGCCAGCATGGAGATTCATCCTCTTAGGCACTGATATCTACTACCTGGCAAGCAGCAAACTACTACACACTATTCACTGAACCTCCTGAACCTTTAATAAGCCTGAACAAAATAAAATCTAAAAGATTCAAGAAACCAAAATATAGAGGCAGGACCCTGTAATATATCATTTTCAAACTATGTTCCCAAGAAGTTCTCTAGGGCTTTTCTACACCGCTGAGGGGAGCAGCGGGCGCGACTGGAGAGATCTGCCACGCCATGTGGGAATCTCCCTGGCCAGCCAGGAATCGAACCCGTGCTGCAGAGGCTGTGGACAGCTTCATGGTGCTGCGCTCAACCTGCTGTGCCACCGGGGAGGCCCCATTTACTTTTTCTAACAGTATTCTCTAGTGCAAACAAGCAATGCTAGAGAATGTTCCACTTGAGAAATCAGGTATATTTCAATAGAGCAAATTAAAGAATCAAATTAAAGGGGCAGACTGTTCTACTAAAGATCCTGATAAATTTTCCAATTTGCCCAGTAAGAAAAAGTTCTTAAGTTTCCATTGCCAGTGACTCACAAGATAAAAAGTTGTTGTTTTTCTTTTTACTTGTTAGCATATGTGCTGCTGAAATGAGTACTTAAAAAGATATCATAGCGGGCCTCCCCAGTGGCGCAGTGGTTGAGCGCTGGGTTGCGAAGCTGTCCGCGGCCTCTGTGGCACCAGTTCGATCCCCAGCTGCTCCCTGGTCACTGGAGGAGGGTCCCACATGGCGCGCAGACCTCTCCTGCCGCCCACTGCTCCCTTCAGCAGTGTACTTCAGTCCTTCTGCCTGTTCTGCTCCCCGTTCTGGCTCTGGTGAATTCTCTCACCCTCCCACGCTTCTGACTGTACCCAGTGTATGTATAAACAAAACAAACAAACAAATAAATAAATAAAACATGCCTCCATTTAAAAAAAAAAAAAAGATATCATAGCTCAAGTCTCCTGGGAACTAAGAAATTAGAAAAGACAGATGACTATGAGAACCTACACCACAGTTTCAATGGGATTGGTGTACTGGTGTTAGAAATAAAATTAAAAATTAATACTGATTTGGTAGGACATAGAACTTTTACTAAGTCCTGTACAATTATATAGACCCAGATTGACAGACCCAAAATGATTGCTGTAACTGCCAAAATTATTGTAGCTTCCACCACTTCCAAAACTGCTTCCATTATTACCAAATTTATCATAGCCATCCTCACTGCTACCATATCCACCACTACCATGTCTTTCACCAAAACCACGATGACCATTAAAGTTTCCTCCATGACCAAAATTGTTATTCCCACCAAAACTTTACAACCGCCACCAAAGTTTCCAGAACCATTGTGACCTCTTTGGCTGGATGAAGCACTGACCATTTCGTACTTACATAGGGGGTTTTTCCCTTACCTCACATTATAGTCATTCACTGTGTATTTCTTTTTTTTTTTTTTTTTTAAGATTTATTTGCTTATGCATACAAGAACTGGGGTGTAGGCCAGAGGTGCGGGAAGTAGAGGATTCACCAGAGATAGAGTGGGGAGCAGAACAGGCAAATATACTGAAATACACTGCTGCGGGGAGCAGCGGGCAAGTCGGGAGAGGTTTGCTGTGCCATGTGGGTTGCTTCCAGGCTGGGGATTGAACTCGTGTTGCAGTGGCTGCAGACAGCTTCACAGGTTGCATCTCAACCCCTTGCGCCACCAGGGAGGCCCTAGTTTTTTTTTAAAATCTACTCTGACCTTGAGATAAGCTGAAGTTCTAATGTGATTTCCCCACCCCCTCATATCCCCCCTCACACTATTCCCTGGCTTGAGCAGTATGAGCCCGGATTCTCTTCTGCAGTATCTGATGTCCTGTCTTTTCAAGGCATTTGTTTTTCTATTTTTCTGTTTCTTTCTAAAAGATTTTGAAAGTGAAAAAATGACTTCTAATTATGAAATAAAAATTACCTTCAATCCCACATTCTGGATATTATTGCCATTAATATATGGGAGTATCTCTTGTCATCCTAAGTAACCTTCTTCAGTTTGTCCTCTTCCTCTCATTCGCTAACAGAATCCTGTGGTTCTTTTCTCATCTTCCTTTTTCTATCCATGGATCCTCCCCCTCCCCCCCGAGGGCTTCAAATACCATTTCAAAGATCATCTCTAAAAATGAACTCCAAATCAGTTTCCAATCTTCTCTCATACCCTTCTCCGGTACCAAATTATTAAATAAATGCAGGAGATCTAAATAAATTTCCAATTCTAGGTTACTCTTCCTTCTATATTCTGGGTCTAGGGATTGACACTGCTATCCTCCCAGATTACTTTTTTCCTTCTCTTGTGTTTCTTAACACTTAGTACCTAAATCTCATTGATATTCCACATTCTCTCTACTCTTCCACCGAAACAGCTCTACTTAACTAGTTAAAGTAACTGACCTCATTATCTCCCAGTGGATTACTAGAACAACTTCCCACACAGGCCTTCCCACCTTCACTCATCACTATATAATCCAAACTAAAGACATCTGTTAAACAGAATTTTTCCGATGGAGTTCTCATCATACCAATGCTCTATTTCAAGCATTTTGGGGGATATTCCTCTTAAGAGAAAAAGATCCCATAAGCTGTTACTTGCAAACCAAAAATCTCCATATGACCTCAACCTACCTAATAGTAAAAATAAGATTTATTGAAGGCTAAGTATTTACATGAAAAAAGAACAGCATCCCACTTTAGGTGACAGTAAAATATGGTAATTATGAACATAGATTCTGAACGTAAAGCAGTCCCAGGTTCAACAGTTTCACTTACACTATTAACTCAGACAAATTACTTTTCCTTTCTTAGCCTCTTTCTCATTACCTACAGAAATACCTATTTACTTTATAGAAATGTTTAGGGACTAACTGAAATAATGGGAAACATGTTCATCATACTGCCTGACATATAATACAGGTACTAAATATTAACTGATTCTGCTATCAAATTTACCACCTGCTATTTCTCCCTTTCAATTTCTCTATTTTGAGCAAATACGCTGACTGAAGATTTCTAACAAACATTCTGTTCTTTCTTACCTCCATGACTGTTTTTCCTCCTTTCATCTGTAATTCCTGAAACTCTCTAATACCCACAAGACAGGCATATCCAAATTATAATTATTCATTATAGTCTTAGGTCAAATGCCGTTTTCTTCCATGAAGGTTTTACAAATTTTATTTTATAAACCAATTAACATTTTTAAAACCAATCATGTATTATTTTGTAACAACAGAAATAAAACAGATCAAAAAAACAAGATTCAAACTAGTCCTACAGTAAAAGAATATGTATGAGGTTCAGAAGGAATGACATTTTTGGCAAATTCTATAACCTGGACATTCAAGAAATAGCCCTTGTTACATAACCTTTCAGTCTTAATAGTTAACTATAACAAAGAAATAGCTAACCATAGATGTTCTCAAATTGTAGGCCTAGCACCATCAGCATCACCTGGAATACTAGTGAGAAATGCAATTCTCAGGCCTCACCCTGGACCTAATGAACTAGGGACTAATAAGAAGACTCATAATTGAAAGACACAAAAGGAATCCAAATAGGAAAAGAAGTAGTCAAACTATCACTATTTGCAGATGATATGATAATATACATAGAGAATCCCAAAAACTCCACAGAAAAACTAATTCAACTAAACAATCAGTTCAGTAAAGTGGCAGGACACAAAATCAACACGCAAAAGTCAGTAGCCTTCCTCTACACAAACAATAAATCTGAAGAAGAAATCAAAAAACCATCCCTTTTATTAGCGAAACAAAAAAAAAATCAAATACTTGGGAATAAATTTAACAAAAGAGGTAAAGGACCTATACAAAGAAAACTATAAAATACTGTCAAAAGAAATAGAAGAAGACACAAAGAAATGGAAAGACATCCCCTGCTCATGGATTGGAAGAATAAACATTATTAAAATGGCCATCCTACCAAAAGCAATATACAGATTCAATGCTATTCCAATAAAAATTTCAATGTCATTCTTCAAAGAAATAGAACAATTACTGATGAAATTTATATGGAATCACCAAAAACCCCAAATAGCCAAAGCTCTCCTGAAAAAAAAAAAAAGGGAATGGAGGCATCACACGCCCAGACTTCAAACTATACTACAAAGCCATAATCATCAAAACTGCATGGTATTGGAACCAGAACAGACACACAGACGAATGGAAAGGAGCAAAGAATATGCATTGGAGCAAAGAAAGTTTGTTCAATAAATGGTGCTGGGAAAACTGGGTCGCTACAAGCAAAAGAATGAAGCTTGACTACTACCTAACACCATGCACAAAAACCAACTCAAAATGGATTAAAGAACTAGACATAAGACCTGAAACCACAAAATACATAGAAGGAAATATAGGCAAAACACTACATGATATGCATATCAAAGTACATCTTTACAGACACATCACCCAAAGCAGTGATAGTGAAGGCAAAGATAAACAGCTGGGACTACATCAAATTAAAGAGCTTCTGCACAGCAAGAGAGACAATAACCAAAACAAAGAGAAACCCCACTGACTGGGAGAACATTTTTGCACACAACACTAATGATAAAGGACTGATCACAAAAATCTACAAAGAGCTGATGAGACTCAACAACAACAAAAATAATCCTGTCAAAAAACGGGCTGAAGAGCTAAAAAGAAACTTCTCTGAAGAGGAAATGCAAATGGCCAACAGACATATGAAAAAATGTTCAACATCACTTGTAATCAGGGAAATGCAAATCAAAACTACCATGAGATACCATCTTACACCAGTGAGAATGGCACATATTAAAAAAACTAGCAACAACAAATGTTGGCGAGGTTGTGGAGAAAAAGGAACTCTCCTGCACTGTTGGTGGCAGTGCAAACTGGTCCAACCACTATGGAGAGCTGTGTGGAGATTTCTGGACCTACTAAACATAGAGCTTCCATATGATCCAGCAATTCCACTCCTAGGTATTTACCCAAAGGACACAGAAACATCAATTCCAAAGAGCACCTGCACCCCTATGTTTATCGCAGCACTATTTACAATAGCTAAGCTTTGGAAACAACCCAAATGCCCAAAAATAGATGACTGGATCAAGAAGATGTGGTACATATACACCATAGAATATTACTCAGCATTCAAAAAAGATAAACACATGCAATTTGCAGCAACATGGATGGAGCTAGAAGGGATCATGCTCAGCGAAATAAGCCAGAAAGAAAAAGAAAAATACCGGATGGTCTCACTCATAGCAGGAATCTAGAAAACTTAAATAAGGGACCAGGAAAAAGAATAACTGTAAGAAAGAAAATATCAAAATCAACAAACAACTATGAACCAGAGACACTCTATTTGGGGTGAGAGGCGGGGAAAGGAGGGATGGGGGTCAAAATAAGGGGGTTGTAATTGTATGGGGAATATAAAAATAAAATTTAAATTAAAAAAAAGGAGATTCATAATCTGTTTGAATAAGTACTTCAAGTGATTTCTAATACACTCTGAAATTTGAGAAACAGCCATACTGAAACAGTACCAGTAGTTTATTTAAGTCCTTTAGTAAGTGGGTGTGAAGCTAAACCTGCAATGGATTTTAAAAATCATTATGGAAACCTGAATACTACACAGAACTGTCAGTATGAACCCACTACCACCATTATCTTTCAAAAGCAATTGGCTACTAATCATGAGCTACTATGGCTTTGTTCCCTTGCTCCACAATTTTATAAACCTCTGCTTACCTAACCACATATATACATCTGTCCCATATGTTCATAAACAGGATAGAGAACCCTGGCAAACCAAGATGTTAATATGGTTAAGGTTATAAATAATGCTACAAATCAAAGGACAGTCAAGAAGTCACACCTAAAAACAAAAATTTGAACACCAGGCACCAATCCATTTTGGGAGTTCATAAAAATAACATTAAGACAACACTAAGAGGGCCTCCCTGGTGGCACAAGGGGTTGGGACGCAACCTATGAAGCTTTTTGCAGCCACTGCGGCATGAGTTTGATCCCCGGCAAGGGAGCTGCCCACATGGTGCAGCAGACCTCTCCTGACTTGCCCGCTGCTCTCCTCAGCAGTGTATTTCAGTTGATCTGCCTGTTCTGTTCCCCACTCTGTCTCTGGTGAATCCTCTCACTGCCCCCCACACACCTCTTGCCTGTACCCCAGTTCTTGTATGCATAAATAAAAAAATCTTTAAAAAAAAAAGACAACACTAAGAAATATTAAAACATTCAGATACGCTATAGAAGAAAGCATGATACACTTAGTGCTTAAATTTGTACAAAAATAACTTAAAGCTGTTTAGTAAACTTCCTAAATTATAACAGGGTTGGGGTTAAGAGGACACAAAAAGGGTCCTTGTTCCGTAGATATATGTTGCCCTGCATTTTTAATCTTACAGTTAATAAAGTCAGCAAATACAAGCAAAGGAAAAAATCCAGACAAGGCCATATATTTTGTGTAGTACATTTAAACCATAGTTGATAGTTTATAATGCTTTTCAAGCCCATCATTTCAGAGATATGACCTCTAGAATAAAAGCTAATGCAAAGAAATTCATGATCAACACAAAAGACACAAAGAATAGTCTGGAGATCTCAGAAATCTAGATTTCCCAGTTATTTACGACAATAATTCACTTGAGAAGATGAAAAGCACTGAATGAATAAATGGTATGAAGCTAAGGGCTCAAGCAAAGCCCTGGCAAGAAATTTAGAGCTGCCAGTTTTTCATAAAGCATTGTAAGAAAGAAATTTGAAATATATAAAAACCATCAATAGAATGGTAAAGTAAAAACTTTCTATAGGTATATTAAATTCTACCACATTTTTACTTACTATAAAAAAATATGGGTTTAGTATTTAAAAGAGTTCACTCACCAAAGCAAACTGAAATATTAAAACATTTTTATGGGGGAAATTTTGGGAATTCAAAATAAAATTCTATTAAAGATAAAACTAAGAAAAAAATAAATGAATTTAAAACTAAGAAGAGGTATAGAAGGTATAAATTGTCTTCCAGTCTACATAGATATTTATGTAATTTAAAGGCCTTTTCTATAGTTTTTCAATCACAGTGAGAAAAAAGGTAACTGTTCTCTAGGCAAGAAGTAACCTCCCTTTGTGAGGGTACTATGATTCCTTGTCACAGGATTGATTCTGTGAAGATAAATCTGGTAGGTACAACCTTACAGCTTTACAAACTGATTTTCTAAAGATCTTGATGAGTTGGCTTTTTAAAAACTTTTTCTTATGAACAGTAAAATAGTACAACAAACTCCCATGTACCTAACAACTAGGCTGCAACATCTTGTTCTATTTGTTTCACCTATCCTCCCCTATAGCTCTGACACTATAATATCCCATTTTTCTGGATATTTTCCCCTTATGTACTATTAACACCACTTTCCTGGTTCTTCTCTTCCTCCTCTATTCCTGTGGTTTATATTCTTTCTACCCATTGCTTACCCAGTTTTGGAAAAAAGAAGAATCCAACAGCATTTCAGCACTCTATTTGAAGACACTTTAATTGCCTAAGACTAGGATCATCTCCTTTCCTAAATTCATCTCCTTTTACCAGTTTCCAAGATAAACAATAAAAACTTGAGTTTGTTAAGTCAGTTACTACAGCTGAAGATATACAATACTTTTCAGCCCTAGGCCTAAAGGCAGAGTTCATGAAGTACTGACCGAGCAAACAGCTGTTATATATCTCTGCCTTTTCTAATGAAGGACCAGTAGCTATAGCTAGTGTTGACCTTTACATATATTTAAACTGAACATCCCAGCTTTCCTAAAAAAGACATAACAGTCCAGTGATGGCCCTGGGATTCTGGACTCTCCACTTCTGGAAAAAATGCCAGTATATTTACTTTCTCTGATTTGGATATCCCTGGCTTAGTCACATAAGCTGTGAATCGTGACGCTTTCATAAATATTTCCTCTCTTACTTTTTCTGACATTCATTTATTCTTATATCAATCTGAACTTACAGTTTTTCCTAAAATGAATCTCTATTCATTCTCGCTGGTCTTTTTCTGAATTCCATGGTAAGCAATTAAGTGAACTCTTACCTTGTTTCATCTTTGGGTCTGGAGCCATCATCATTCTGTGAAGCGCCTTTAACATCAACAAAATTTAGACAGAGAAAATGAGTTTCAAAAGGTTTTCACCTTTTTCCTAAACATGTTATAAAGGCAAATCTCTTTACTAAATCTTTCTAATAAACAACACATAATTTAAATTCCTACCAACACTTATAAGGAAAATGTAATCATTGTTTATGTAATTGAAATAAAACAATTACCAAAATTTTGTGCAAATGCTTTTAATTATGGTATGAGATGTTAATGTCAAGGTATATTACTTGAGGTACTTCTGCCTTCTCTGAAATATATTTTGCTTGATTCTAATTCAGATCTAGGAAGTTAGCCATCTTTTATATTCCAAATATCTCACAAAGAGTGCTGATCACCAGCCAATTAATAAACAATTCTGAAAACACAAAACCCAGTAACAGTTCTCTTTTGCAGGGGCCTAGAAGACAGCTTTATGAATAGAAAAGGCATACATAAGTACCAATGTGGCCAAAATAAACACAACATTCATTTTCTTCAAATTTTATTAATAGGAAACATCAGTGAGGGGTCTGTATACTATAAACACGCTAGAGAAAGGCTAGAGCTAGGCACACTGATTCTAGAAAAAATAGACAAAGAAGAAAAAACTATAAATTGTTTCTAGAAAAACTCCAATTTAACAGTGTTGGTCCATTTAAAAAAGAACAGTCCCTGAATACAGTATTAAACAATGAAATCACCACTACAGAATAATTAATGAGTTCATTAAAAAGAGGGTAAGTCACCACTATACTATACAACGCTCAGCAAAGTTGGTTAAGTTTCTCATCTAATCTAAATAATGTGTACAGGTAAATACAGATAAAATACAGTATATCTAGGAAATGAAAACTGTTCAGTAATAAAAAGGAACAAACTATTGAAACATACATGTCATAGATGAACCTAAAAAACTATGCAAAGTGAAAGACTAACACAAAAGACCACATATTGTATGAATCCACTCATATGAAATGTCCAGAAGGACAAAATTTGAGAGACAAAATCAATTAGTAGTTGTCCAGGGCTGAGGACGGTAACAAGATTTCTTGTAAATGGGCAAAAGGGATCTTGAGGGGGAATGTGATGGGGGGGGGGGGAGGTGGAATGAAAAATGTTCTAGACCTGATTTGCAGTAATAGTTAAATCACTCAGTTAAGTTACTAAAAATCATTATATATATCTGAAATGGCTGAATTTTATGAAATATAAGCTACACCCCAATAAAGCTGTTTAAAATACACAGTACAATGAAATATATTTAGGCTGAAAAGGATACATTTTAATTCTATAAAAATTATTTTTATATGGAAAATATCCCCCTAAAATACATTCCCCTAAAATTGCTGATAAATGAGACAGAGACATAAATGAAGCCAGAAAACCAAGCCAAAATATCCAACATACTAAATCTGTCAATTTTCTCAAAACCTTAATTCTTTCTCATTTATTTTAGTGAAGTCCATTTAATCACATGAACTGAGGCAAGACAACCTGTTATGTATCCCAGCTTCATCATGTACTAACTTGATGACTTTCCAGTGTCTTTTATCTCATATATAAAATAGGGACAATAATGATATCTACTTCACAGAATAGCTGTGAGAAATAAACATTCAAAACAGTGCCCAACGGATAAAAGAACTCCTTTACTATTAGCTATTATTATTTCTCAAAATTTACAATTCTTCAGCAAAATCTTGTCAAGGGCCATTTAGACTCAATCTTTCATTGAATTACAATGCAGAATAAAGCCACACCTATAAAATTTATGACAAATTATTTTCATCTAATCTTGTAATTCCAGCCAGAGAACAGTTTAAAAGAATGAAACTAAGAATCTGAAATTTAATGCCATGATTGTCCAAGAAAAGAAGAATGGCTGTGTTTATAGTTTGCATTTTACAAATGTATTGCTCATTAAAAGTATTCCCAATCCAAATTTTCTAAAGAAAACTGATCAGATTTCTAAATGCACATGATTGTCCCACAGGACACTTTGGAAGATCTACAAAGATCTCTTCTATTCAGTGTAATACTCAAAAGGGCCCTGGTGCCACAAAATAACCAGCTCTAGGATGAAGTAACATACTGCTCCTATTTACTGTGAAAATGCTCTGAGATGGATCAAAAATTAAGGTTTTAGTTAGCATTAAAGTGAAGGGGCTGAATCAGAGATTGCCCTATTAAGCTGGGGAATCATAGAAAGGAGTTAAAGTGTTTCCAGTAAGTATAACACCCTGTCACTAGCAGAAGCAAAAGAAATTTTCTCTGGAGCAGAGAATCCCCAATTTAGGCCCTTTAGAGTTCCATACACTAAGATTAATCTTTTTTTAAAAAGATTTATTTTAGGGCCTCCCTGGTGGCGCAGGCGGTTGCGCACTACACTGTGAAGCTGTCCGCAGCCTCTGGAGCGCCGGTTCGATCCCGGCCAGCCTGTGAGAATCCCACATAGCGCAGCAGACCTCTCCTGTCTCACCCACTGCTCCCCACAGCAGTGTATTTCATCATTCTGCCTATTCTATTCCACGCTCTGTCTCTGGTGAATCCTCTCACCCTTCCACACATCTGGCCTTTGCACCGGTACTTGTATAAATAAATAAATCTTAAAAAAAAAAAGATTTATTTTATTTATGCATACAAGAGCTGGGGTGTAGGCCAGAGGTGCAGGGGGGTGAGAGGATTCACCAGAGACAGAGTGGGGAACAGAATAGGCAGATCTACTGAAATACACTGCTGAGAGAGCAGTTGGCGGGACAAGAAAGGTCTGCTGCGCCATGTGGGTTAGCTCCCTGGCTGGGGTTTGAACTCGTTGCTGCAGTGGCTGCCTCTTTAAGAAACAGTTTTAGGAAACATGGATAGCCACATGCAAAAAAATGAAACTATATTCATACCTAACTCCACACACAAAATCAATTCAAAATGGATTAAAGACTTGGTTGTAAGAGCTGAAACCATGAAACACTTTAACCATAAAACAAAGGGGATACACTACAGGACATCAACTGCAAAGATGTATTTGGGGATGCAACTCCAACAGCAAGGGAAATGAAAGTAAAAATAAACAAATGAGACCATATCAAACTAAAAAGCTTCAAAGTACCTCAAAAGAATCCATCACAAAGACAAAAAGGCAACTTATAGACTGGGAGAAGAATATTTGTACATCACTCATCTGACAAAAGACTAATTTCCAAAATATATCTAGTACTTACACAATCCAAGAACAACAAAAACCCCAGACAACCCAATGAAAAAATGGGTAAAAGCTGTAAACATTTTTCTAAAGATGATTTTGAGATAGCCCACAGTCACACGAAAAATTGCTCAACATCATTTCTTATTAGGGAAATGTAAATCAAAACCACAATGAGGTATCACCTAATCCCTGCGAGAATAGACCATATCAAAAAAAATTAGAAACAAAAGAGATAAAATGAAGACTAGAACATACACAATAAGAACTGGAAGTCATCTATGCTAAAAACCCCAAATTAAATTTTAATCTATCCAGAATATACACAGGAAATAGTAAAGATCTTACAAAACGATGTTCCTATTTCATAATCATGAATTTGAATGTAAAATAGATTTTTACTTCTCTTAATGAAAACTAGTGTCTTTGACAAAACTTTCTGGTGTTTCCTGTTCAATGTCTTATTTGGGAAGATAGGTGTTGTAACAATCCACCACCACCACCACCTGCCCAAGTAAAAACAGATGAATGGGAAGCTCTTGTAGATATAAACAAATTGAACATATTCAATTTGTTGAATTAATTTAGAATTGAAGGCTACAACAATCAATCTACCTAACTAGCAAATTAAATAAAGATTTCTTCCAGAGGCTCATAAAAGTACATTAACTCTTACTTAAATGAAGGACAACATCATGGCAAATTATGTAGTCACTCTTTAAACTAGAGAAATAAAGTATCATGCTCTTGGTTGGATATTAAACTTATTCCCAGATAAGAGGGCGCAGGATGGAGGAAGTGGGGTAGGGATAGAAAGTTCTCTTATTCTCAAAGCTTGAAGAAAGCGTGAAAACTACTGTTTCACTTAAAGTGAAACTCTGTTTCACCTGAAAAAGGTTTACCTATGAAGCTGCTGTTTTTCATAAAATTTATCCACAGAAGACTAAAACCAAAAACTTGTTAAGTACCAAAAGAGATCATGATGTCTCATCAAGACAATCCAATGTTTATTAAATTATCTAAATATGTAATGAAGCATTATTTGGTAAACTTTAATATCATCATTCATTTTTCATAAACATTTTTCAAAAAGTTAACCAAGAATATAAAAGTCTATAAAAGACCCATCCCTATGTATTCTTGCACAAACACTTCTGACTAAATATTCTCCAGAAAAAAAGTAAAAATATGTAACATTAGAAAAATATTAGAATACAAAGGCAATCCTCTATCCACCCCTGTTCTTTTCCAACCAATGATCAGCTGCTGGGAATATAATTTTAGCATTAAATTCCATTTCTTTTCTGGCTTGTAGTTACAGTTACAAAAATGGAACCAATCAAATAACAAGTGAAGTTCCTACCACACAATTGTGAGTTGAACTGGGTTTTGTTTGTTTGCTTATAACTACTCATGATTTGATTTGAAGTGTACAGGTAAGCAAAGGAAACAATAAATAACTTGTTTCAACTTTGATTCCACATCATAGTAGTTGGCATGATATTGAACATATGAACTCTTAGTGTCTCACTTTCCTTATCTGCAAAATGACGGCAATGTCTTACAAATTTGTGATGGTTAAATGAGAATATAAGTAAACACACCAATATAGCAATTGGTACTTGATAAAACTTTAAAAAAATGGCACTTAGCTATTTATAAGGCAACTCTAATCCTAAAATTCACTGTGACTGCCCAGTAAAAACACCTTTTTACTTCAAAGAATTAGATTAAATTTTGTCAATTATTTTTCTACTTGAACAGAACACTGGTGATAGAGAAATGTCCACTTGTGTAGGAAACAGCAAAGCCTTAACTATAAATATGCAGTTTAGATTGTAGTATGAAACATGAAGAATGGCATGCTTTACTTTTGTTAATTATTAAATATTCTGCATTAGAAATAGTTTCAATTTGTAGGGGGGAATATCTTAATGTTGAGGTTAAGATAGATTTAAAATGTGAGTTAACTTGTATATTTTCCAGAATTCCAATTAAGAGAAATTTGTAAGAGCTCCTCTGACTAGTAGTCAACTAAAATGAATGTCAATTTGAAGCAGTATGACTATTTAAGAAATTTTTCGTTATGCTCATTAATTCACCCAAAGAACCAATCAAATATACACAAGGACTATCTTGAAGGTCATACTATTTAAAAAAGTCATGAGCAAAAAGGAAGTAGGATATTTTCAAAGTAGAAACTAAAGAATAACAGCACCTAACAGTTGCGAAATGTTTCATAATGCAGTTTCTAAGTAAACAGAAAGATTGCTATCAGACTAATCAACGGAAATATTAATCTGCTCTTGTCTTGGGGCCTCTAAAATCTGTCTGATTGAAGTAAAAATATGAACATTCGTAAGTGATAGAAATATTTAAGGAAATCCATTAAATAGTTTCATTAAGCATGCTAACTATGCAGGCAGTAACAGGTGCTATCACACTTCTCTTAATCATAGCTCATGCTTATTCCCTTTAACACTAGCAAAACATGCACTGTAAGACACACTGACACACACAACAATTGGTTTGTCATTATTATAACACAAGCCACTTCTGCAAAGTAGCCTACAGTACTAGGAAGAATTCAAATCAAATTTAAACTCAACCAGACACTGCTACAGACAATAAACTTCCACTGCCATTGTAGTGTGGCATCATTTGGAGGTATGGTATCATTTATGCCATATGAGCTACCATTATTGGCTAACAGAACAAATACTTCAAAAATTAAGTCATAAAGTCAACTGTAGTTATACTTTTGGCTAACTTTTCAACTTATAAAAAATGTTTTATTCATAGAGCAATACATTAAAAAGAAAATATTTAAAATAATCATTGTTTCTATTTTATAAAAAGGAAATAATTAATGTGAAAAAGAAAAGCAATAATTACATACATACAGAGCAGCTAATGTAAGAAGAACTGTTAAATATACTATACAAAGTGATTGCTTACTTTCTGAACACGTAGTTTCACCATTAGTAACAACTTCAGACTCTAATTGCAATCCATCAAGACAAATTGACAAGTCTCCTATTGTTTCTGTTGGTTCTTTGTCACCTACAAGCTGTAAAGTCACAACTACTTCCTCAACTGGAAGAGAATAAAATTACAACAAAATGGTCACTTTTTAAAGTCATCTTAACTGCTGAAACCCTGTCAAAAAATTTACATTTATGTGCATAGAAACTGATCTAACATACTTCATCCAAGGTTTCAGATCATATGACAGCAAAACATGTCAAAATAGAACAAAATTTGCTAATGCTCAATATCCATAAAACACTGGATAGCTTGATCATCTCATTTATTATATTCATCCCATCTTCATATAAAATGAATCAACAGAACCAAGACTATTCAGTAATATATATTAGAGTTACACTGAGCAAAAACATGTAACTTAAGAATTAATTGTAGCTCATAAATTTTAAACAAGAAATAAAATTCCTAGAAGTATGTTTTAGATAGGCATGGGGTAGAAAAGTATATCTTAAAATCATTTATTTAAAAAAGCACATTTCAAGTTTTTATATGTCTGTATTTATACACAAACACACATACTGATAGAGTTCAGGGCATATTCCCTCCATATATGTCACATTGGCATTCTGATTATTTTTTATTAAAATTGCTTGAGAAAGAGCAGGTGCAAAAAGGACACTGACACTCCTCTGTGTACTTGGAAGGAGACATGCCTCATGTTAAAAGTATTCTTCCAGTCAACAAACAACTAGGAACCAGAGACACACTATGGTGGGGGGAGCCGGGAAAGGAGAGATTGGGGTCAAAATAAGGGGGCTGCAATTGTATGGGGAATATAAAAATAAAATTAAAGAAAAAAGCAGTAACAATAATAGCAAAAAAATAAATAAATAAAACCTTTACCCTCTTTCAAAAAAAAGTATTCTTCCAGTAAAAAGAGGATAGAAGTTATATTTATTTCCAAAGATAGGAAACTCAAGGATGAATCAATAAACCATTATTTCTTTACTAATTTACCAGCCTCAACCTTTTTTGTCAATTATCTTTTGTCAAAAAGATATAAAAGTTGGGTACTTTGGTCACTTTGCTGGGTTCCATATATCTCTAGTAAACCTACACATATGAAACTAATTTTTTTCTTATTAATCTTTCTTGAGTCAATTTAACTATTATACCAGCCAAAGAACCTTGAAAGGGAAGAAAGGAAAATTTTTCCCCCCACAGTAAACATATTAGTAAAACAACAGCCATCCAAAATGAGGACATCAAAAGATAATCACTTGAAAAGGAAATCAGTCAATTAACCACATTTGTCTTTCTGAAGTGGTATTATGTTTTTCTTCAACTCTAACCCATATTTTTCAGTTTTTCCATCATTGAGTATACAGGACTTTGATATCTAAACTTAATATTAAAAATACTGGGTCCAAAATGAATGACCAAACCAAGGTAACTCAGAATTTAAATAGTTTAAGATTCTTCTCATTGCTAGTATTATGGCTGAGTGAACTTTAAAAACAGTGAACACAGTCATTTTGCATTTTTACCATATGAATTTCATGGAGCAAAAAACAGCTGAACATAATTTCTAAGACTTTTACATACATACGTTTCATATTATTTGACTTTAATGTTTCATAGATATCTAAGGCAGCAGTTCCCAACAAAGCATCAGATTTCAGTGTCTGGTGACTCCACACACGAAAATGTAATTTACTCACAGGCGTGACAATACTAAAAGTGAAAAAAGATGAAAAAAATTATTTTCACAAAATGTCACAATGGGACTCCAAATAAATTACAGTTGACTTTTTCATGTTTAATGTCATCCCATTGAACCCCTTTATAGTTTTCTGTACAATCAATATTGCCTATATTCTATAACTGTATATAAACCATATCTGAATGTCTTTAATAAAAGTATGCTTATGTTATAAACTGCTGGAAAAATGGCTTCTTTCTGTAGCATAAAAAGTGAATTTACAAATTAAATTCTTATTTTATATGTCAATCTTGAGCTAGAGATTATTTCATCTAATCTTCACAGAAAACCTATAAGATGGGAATTACCATCCCCATACTCAGATATAGAAACTAATATTCAGAAAGGCTAAGCAGGGCCCTCCTTGGTGGTGCAAGGGTTAAAGACACAGTGCTACCAAGCTATCGCCAGCCAATAAGGCACAAGTTCAATCCCCAGCCAGGGAGATGACCCATATGGCACAGCAGACCTCTCCTGGCTCGCCCACTGCTCCCCTAAGCAGTATGTTTCAGTGGATCTGCCTGTTCTGCTCCCCACTCTCTCTGGTTAATCCTCTCACCCCCTGCACCTCTGGCCTACACCCCAGTTCTTGTATGCATAAATAAATAAATCCTTAAAAAAACAAAACAAAAAAAAAAAAAACAGAAAGGTTAAGCAAATTACCCAATGTTATATAGCCAGTCAGTGGCCAATACACTGGAAGAAGAGCTGTAATTAAAATTTACACTGGGCCTCCCCTGGTGGTGCAGCAGTTGAATGCTGGACTGCAAAGCTCCCCACGGCCTCTGCAGCCATGGGCGAGGGTCCCACATGGCGCGACAGACCTCTCCTGCCGCCCGCTGCTCCCCTCAGCAGTGTACTTCGTCTGTCTGCCTGCTCTGCTCGCCCCCCTGGCTCTGGTGAATTCTCTCACCCTCCCGCATTTCTGACTATACCCAGTGCTTGTATAAATAAATAAATCTTTAAAAAAAAATTTACATTAAAAAGTTCCTCAGTTACATAATGATTTGAAAATTACATTAGATACCCCAAGTTTTATAATGATAGAGGACATTTTGCCTGGACAGGTGTCAAACATAGACTCACTCATATCTTGCTAAATGTCAATAAGGAATGCTATCTGTAATGGTAATTTCTAAATCAAAGAACAGGAAATTTGAATGTGCAATTATATAAAAACAATTTTAGAGCCATTAATTAGAAAAATAGGAATAGTTTATCACAGTCCTAAGATTCAATGATATAAAGACAAACTCTAGAAATGTTTGAAATTCTCTGTATCTCAAATCTCTCTAAAACATGATCAAATTTTGGAGAACAAGTTAACACTTTCCTTCTTAGAAGTCTACTGATGTCTAACATATTCATGCTCATATTTACACCATCATTTTATTAAGAGAAATAGGTAGTTAAACTAAAAATATTCACCTTAACATTGCTTTTGGGGGTGGGGCTACAATAAATTCATTCTTTACAAAATTCTCGACTGTAACTTTCAGGAAAACACATAGTATAAAATACATTAAGAAAACATTTCTCTTAGTTATCTGGGAAGTAATAATGGGGATGAAATAAAACAGTTGATAATTTTACTTTATTTGAAAGGATAAAGTATACTGTGAAAGATGATCTTATCCAAATTATTTTGATTAAGTTCTAAAGAGAAGTCTGGAAAGCCTGCTATGTAACAATGGAAGGCTTGTTAAAACTGCACACCAGTCTGCTACAAATTAAAAATTCAGTAGAAGAACTTGAAGCATGTACTCCTCCAAATATCTGGGCTCAACAACAGCACCATCATTTGGGGATACAAGGAGAATTTCTTAAGTCTTAAACCACCAAGGAGTTCGTTCATGTTTGTATCTGCTTAAGAACCTCAAAGTACGTCTCTATTGAGCAGAGATGGCAGTTGGTAGAAAGTAGGTAGCATCAGTATACTAATCTGCTAAACATCTCTAGTCATAATCTTTATGAGGGTTGTGACCGCTTATATATTTTTTAATTCTTATTCACATATTTAGCTTCAATTTCTAATGTGTTATTAATTAAAAACAAAGTCTTAAATGGGCTCTCTCAATTGTTCAGTTGCAATAATACCATCAAATAAAGTGGAGAAGACAGAAAAGGACAGACTGGAAGAACATAGTATCTAAAGGGAAAAAAAAACAAAACAGGACTAGAGAAGGAGTTCTAAGAATGAGGGGTGAGGAATAAGAAATATTTTTAAAGCTGCATTTCTGCTCACCTACTAAACAAAATATACTGTGAAAATACTTCCAAACCTACACTGTAAGGGATTGCTTCCATTTGGGACTGTTCGTATTGTTGCATTTCTCTGTCTTCTTTGACTGTCCATCCACTGTGACTTCTACATAAGGACTTGGTCCAAACCAATTCTTTTTATTTTCTTTAAGTTTTGCTGAAATGACTAGGTAAAAGAAAAGAGAAAATATTTTAATATTTGAGATGTTAGCTCACCCTTCAAATCAACTCAATTTCATGAAGGCTTAAATATTTTTATTCAAAGCAGTTTTGCTCTAAATTACTCACGAATTTTATTCATTCATGACCTTTGTATTTCCTCCCATTCTAGCAAATAAATTACAATCTACCCAAAAGCCTATCAGTAGATCCCAACTGTCAGTATCAGCAGAGCTAGAGCTCTGAAGTCAATTAAAAGTATACTGATAAATTAAATCAACAAATATTTTAATGTCTACCATGTGTCATATATTGCTTTAAACTCTAAATAGATCCATATAAGTAAAGAAGATAAAGGAGATAATATACTAGTTAGAAAAAAATCCTTACAATGAAAAACAAGCTAATGTAGTAGATTATCACTGGGTACTATGGAGGGTCTTGGAAAGTACTTTTAAGGAAACATTCATATAAGGAGCTGGCCATGTGAACACTGATGGTGGGAAGAGGGGAGCATTTCAGCCAGGAAAAAAGCTAAGCATATCTGTGGAAAAGTATGGCAAATAGGGAAGAATGGTAAATAGGGAGCGATAATATTTAGCTTAAAAATTAAGATAAGGGGGGTGGGGGGCGGGAGGGGAAGGATTGGGGTCAGAATGGGGCGTTTGCAATTGTATGGGGGAATATAAAAATAAAATTTAATATTTAAAAAAAAAAATATAAAACAGAAAATAAATATATAAAAAAGGAAAAAAAAAATTAAGATAAGGGATTAGGATTTTATTCTAAGCGTGCTGGAAAGCTAATGAAGGGCAAGTCACAAATGGAAGATTATTTGTGACATCCAATATGTCTTACATTATTTAAATAAGAGTTTTCTACATTGTACACTTTAAAATACTGATTCTTTAGCTTCACCCTAACAATGGTAAATATGGATGCTGCATGACCCAGTGACTCCATTCCTATGTATACACTTGCAAGAAGTGAAAGTATACACCTTCACAAAAACTTTTTTTTTTTTAAAGATTTATTTATACAAGCACTGGGGTACAGGCCAGAGGTGCGGGGAGTGATAGAATTCATCAGAGACAGAGCAGGGAGCAGAATAGGCAGAAGGACCGAAGTACACTGCTGAGGGGAGCAGCAGGCAAGACAGGAGAGTTCTGCCACGCCATGTGGGAATGTCCCTGGCCGGCCGGGAATCGAACTGACACTGCAGAGGCTGCGGACAGCTTCACAGCGCTGCGCTCAACCAGCTGTGCCACCGGGGAGGCCCTTCACAAAAACACACACAAATGTTCATAGTGTTATTCATAACAGCCAAAAAGAGGAAACAACTCAAATCAAATGACAAATGAATAAATAAAAATGTGGTATGTGGGCCTCCCTGGTGGCACAGGCAGTTGACCACAGCGCTGTGAAGCTGTCCGCAGCCTCTGTAGTGCCGGTTGGATCCCCGCCGGCCACGGAGATGCCCACATGGTGAGGCAGACCTCTCCTGTCTTGCCCGCTGCTCCCCTCAGCAGTGTATTTCATCACTCTGCCTGTTCTGTTCTCCGCTCTGTCTCTGGTGAATCCTCTCACTCTCCTGCACATCTGGCCTGTACGCCGGATCTTGTATAAATAAGTAAATCTTTGAAAAACAAAAGTGATATGTGGGCCTCCCTGGTGGCGCAGCGGTTGAACGCTGGGTTGCAAAGCTGCCCGCAGCCTCTGAAGCGCCAGTTCGATCCCCGGCTGCTCCCCGGCCACGGGGCAAGGGTCCCACATGGTGCGCAGACCTCTCCTGCTGCCCGCTGCTCCCCTCAGCAGTGTACTTCGGTCCTTCTGCCTGCTCTGCTCCCGCTCTGGCTCGGTGAATTCTCTCACCCTCCCACGCTTCTGACTGTACCCAGTGCTTTTATAAATAAATAAATAAATCTTTAAAAAAAAAAAAAAAGTGATATGTGCATACAAGGAATAGTATTTGAAAATAAAAAGAAATGAAATACTAATGCATACTACAGCATGCGTGAACCTTGAAAACTATGCTGAGTGAAAGAAGTTAGAGACAACAGGCCATACATTTTATGATTCAGTTTATGAGAGAAACAGAATAGGCAAATCTATAGACAGAAAGTAAATTAGTAGTTGTGGAATATGAGGAGCGACTCCTAATGGATACAACATTTCTGGTGTGAACAAACTATAAATGTTCTGGGGGGCCTCCCTGGTGGCGCAGGCAGTTGAGCACAACGCTGTGAAACTGTTCGCAGCCTCTGCAGTGCAGGTTTGATCCCCACCAGCCACCCCAAATGGTGCAGCAGACCTCTCCTATCTCACCGGCTGCTCCCCTCAGCAGTGTATTTCATCAGTCTGCCTATTCTGTTCCCTGCTCTGTCTCTGGTGAATCCTCTCACCCTCCCGCACATCTGGCCTGTACCCCAGCTCTTGAATAAATAAAAATAAATCTTTTATAAATAAATAATGTTCTGGGAACCCCCCCTCTCAGACCTAGCAAGCAAGAGAACAGTCACCTGTACAGGCTTTTAAGTCAGATCGCTGGGCTTCCTATTCCTGTTCTGTGACGCAGCCATATAGGAGTCTAATGCCTGTGGGTAAACCATCCTTTCAATCACTACCAGATAAAGAAGATTTAAACAATCGGTACCCAGGCTTTGCATCTCCACTGTTCATTCTTTACAAATCAGGACAAGTGATTAGACCCAGGCATTTAGCCTCTTCTACTCATAGATCATCAGCACATCTTTAGTTCAATATAATTTAGGAAATCTATAGCTCTAAGCCTACAATAAACCAAAAGCCCACTTCTATTCTCCATCCCTAACAGTCAAGAATAATTTCTTAAGGGCCTCCCCGGTGGCGCAGCAACTGAGCGCTGGGTTGTGAGGCTGCCAGCGGCCTCTGCAGCGCCAGTTCGATCCCCGGCTGCTCCCCGGCCACTGGAGGAGGGTCCCGCACGGCGCGCGGACCTCTCCTGCCACCCGCTGCTCCCCTCAGCAGTGTACTTCTGTCCTTCTGCCTGCTCTGCTCCCCGCTCTGGCTCTGGTGGGTTCTCTCACCCTCCCGCGCTTCTGACTGTACCCAGTGCTTGTATAAATAAATAAATAAATCTTAAAAAAAAAAAAAAGAATAATTTCTTAACATCAATGACTCAGAGGCCTCCCTGGTGGCACAAGGGGTTAAGCACCGCACTAAGAAGCAATCCGCAGCCTCTGCAGCACCAGTTCGATATCCAGCCGGCCAGGGAGCAATCCAGACTGCTGCTTCCCTCAACAGTGTTATTTCAATCAGTCTGCCTGTTCTATTTCCCAGTCTGTCTCTGGTGAATCCACTCACCCCCCCCAAGCCCCACATCTCTGGCCTGTACCCCAGCTGTTGTATGCATAAATAAATAAATCTTTAAAAAAAAAAAAATCAATGACTCACTGTTCCTATATATAAACTAAACTCAAATTCACAGAGTAAAATTTTGTTAGACAACTTCCTGGATTCAAATACTCATTTGGATTATCTAATAAGCTCTGTCTAATATTATTAAAAATTTTATTTTTGTCAACACTGGAGTGGTAAGTATGTTCTAAATTTTTTTTTTAAATCTTTTTTTTTTTTTTTTAAGATTTATTTTGTTTTATTTATTTATACAAGCACTGGGCACAGTCAGAAGCACGGGAGGGTGAGAGAACTCACCAGAGCCAGAGCGGGGAGCAGAGCAGGCAGAAGGACCGAAGTACACTGCTGAGGGGAGCAGCGGGCGGCAGGAGAGGTCTGCGCGCCATGTGGGACCCTCCTCCGGTGGCTGGGGAGCAGCCGGGAATCAAACCGGCGCCGCAGAGGCTGCGGGCAGCTTCGCAACCCAGCGCTCAACCGCTGCGCCACCGGGGAGGCCCTGTTCTAAAATTGACGATGGTGATGACTGAATAATTCTGTAAATGTACTAATAATCACTGACCTACATAAATGGGTAAACAATATGGTATGGGAATTATCTCTCAATAAAACTTCATACAAACTAAGCAAACAACTGCCCAGGCACCTATGTTTAATGTACCAAAAAAAAAAAGCATAAATAAGTCTTTAAAAAAAAAAAAAGGGGGGGCCTCCCTAGTGGCACAGGCAGTTGAGCGCGGCACTATGAAGCTGTCCACAGCCCCAGCAGCATGGGTTCGATCCTGGCCGGCCGGTGAGAATCCCACATGGTGTGGCAGACCTCTCCTGCCTGCCTCACCTGCTGCTCCCCTCGGCAGTGAATTTCGTCAGTCTGACTGTTCTGTTTCCCACTCTGTTTCTGGTGAATCCTCTCACCCTCCCGCACATCTGGCCTGTACCGTGGTTCTTATATAAATAAATAAATCTTTAAAAAAAAAATCAAAAAACATGCAAAAGACACAAGAACATCCTGAAATTAAAAGGTAATTTCTACATATCTAAAATATTTTGTTCATTCATTCATTTAAGCAAATACTAATTCAGCATCAGACATATGAGTCACTCAAGATTTTCTTAAGATATTTTACCTTAGGAAAAACAAAAAGTAAAGCAGAGGATCTTTTTAAAACTTACCAGTGATCTGAAGTTGTGATTTCATGGTCAAGCTACCCATTGAACCAAGCTGTGAGCCACTGTCAGACATACCACCAATAGAATAGAAAACCTGAACATGGCAAAGGAAAAACTTTTGTAAACATCAAAGCATTCCCATTTAAAAATATGTAAATAGTGCCACCAGACCATTTCCATATCCCACTAAAGGCCACATAATAACTAATGGCCTTTATATTGCTAAATTTTCAATTCTATTATTTATCCTGACTAAACCATCAGCAAAATCCAACACAGTTGATCATTCCTTCCTCCCTTGAGTTCCCTTGTTTTACTTTCTTCCCTTGAGTTCCCAAGAACAGAATAATTCTCTAGGTCTAACTCCTACCTCACAGGTTCCTTTGATGATTCCTTCTAATTGTGATTTATAACCACAGTGGCACAGCAGGTTGAGCGCAGCGCTGTGAAGCTGTCCGTAGCCTCTGCAGCACGGGCTCAATTCCCGGCCGGCCAGGGTGATTCCCACATGGTGCGGCAGACCTCCCCTGTCTCGCCCGCTGCTCCCCTCAGCAGTGCTTTGGTCCGTCTGCCTGTTCTGCTCCCTACTCTGTCTCTGATGAATCCTCTCACCCTCCCGTGCCTCTGACCTGTACCCCAGTTCTTGTATAAAAATAAATATTTAAAAATAATAATTAAAATATATAGTGATTCATATTTTACACTTTCCCCACACACCCCCACCTTTTCACAGTTCCTGGCTCACAGACCCCAAAGTCCTAGGAATTTCCAAAGATAACGGCAATGGGTCCATCCTTTGTAGTAACATTTGGCCTTTTGTCCGAAGTTCCTGAAAACTTAATGACTTTATAAGCTTCAGACCCATAAAGGTAAAATAGGTGTCTTGATATTTATAACAGCTCTTTTACACCCCAACTGGCCTTATGTTAATTAAGTGACTTTTAGAAAGCACCCAAAGATGGGGATCAGGTTATCAGGGAAAGCAACTAAGAATAGAACACTGAAATTTTTCAGTCCTGCCTCCTGATTTCTGGGGAAGGGAAAGAGCTAGAGGTTGAACAATCACAAATGGCCACTGAGTTACTTATTCATGTCCAATTAATGAAGCTCCAAAAAAACCCAAAAGGAGTCTTAGGAGTTTCCAGAAACAAGAGCACTTTCATATGCCTATGAACCAGGTCCCAAACTCCATGAGGACAGAAGTTCCTTTATTCGAAATCTCACCCTATATATCTCCAACTGCTAATTCATATCCTTTAATATTCTTTGTAATCAATCAGTAATCTAGTGAGCAACCAGTGTCCTGAGTTCTATGAGCTGCTCTAGTAAATTAATGGACTTGTGATTTATAATTAGTAATTGAGAGATACTGATAACCTAGACTTGCAACTGATACCCTGAGTTGGCGGGGGTCACTGAAGCCTCCAATTTGTAGCTAGTTGGTCAGAAGCACTAGCTTGCCATCAGAATGTGAAATGGAACACTGTATTGTGGGACTGAGACACTACCTATGGAACCTGATGCTATTTCCAAATAGTTCAGAATTAAGTTGAATTCTTGGATACTCTGCTTGGTATCTGAGAAATGCTTGATGATGCGGAGAAGTTACTCCTACAGCACCCCACACTAAAGCTTGGTCCAGGAACGCACTCAATTCTTACCCCCTCTACCACAAATCTGTTCAGTTTCCCCTGATAGCACCTATTTCCTAGATTATGCCATTCTTTACAAACAGGTTTCCCTGTTTCTTCCCTTTTCTAATCTCAGTACCTTTAATTAACACAACTAAGATAATTCTTTTTTTTTTTTTTAAATTTTTTTTTTTTTAATAGAGGCATGTTTTATTTATTTATTTATTTGTTTGTTTGTTTTGTTTATACATGCACTGGGTACAGTCAGAAGCGCGGGAGGGTGAGAGAATTCACCAGAGCCAGAGCGGGGAGCAGAGCAGGCAGAAGGACCGAAGTACACTGCTGAGGGGAGCAGCGGGCGGCAGGAGAGGTCTGCGCGCCATGTGGGACCCTCCTCTGGTGGCCGGGGAGCAGCCGGGGATCGAACCGGCACCGCAGAGGCCGCGGGCAGCTTCGCAACCCAGCGCTCAACCGCTGCGCCACCGGGGAGGCCCTAAGATAATTCTTTAAAATGTTCCAAACCCTGCAAAATGCTCCCCATTTTACTCAGAGTAAAAGCTGATGAAGTTTTTACAATGACCTGAAAGATCTTATATTATTTGTTATTCCCTGCTCCCAATTTCCTGACATTTCCTTCTTTCCTCTCCCACTCAGGAACCTACCTCCTATTGTAACAGGGTGGTCCCCCCAGGAAAAGGGGAGATTTCAGGTTCCCTGCCCACCCAAGGCAGGGTGGAGGTGAGCAGGGAAGAGAAGAAGCTGAAGAGGAGACTGGAAAAGAAAGGAAGAAGGATGGAGAGCCGGAAGGAGGCACATGGAGCAGAGAGACATGTAAAGAAGTCACACTTGCTTTTTGGTCCTGGGCTGACTGAAATAGATATGGGTGAGAGACCTGTGGGCAGGTTAACAATGGCAGCTTTTATCTTGATTTTGATTTTGCTCTTTTTCTCCCAGACTTGTCTGGCTGTTTCTGACCCTTTTCCATGGGTCCCACAAGGTACAGTAGACTTGTGGCAGGCTTTCAGGCCTTACTTTGGGCCAACCTTGTTTGGCTGGGCATTTACCCATGAGGGGATGGGTAACTTTGGGTGCTTGATTTGGAAACTCTATTCTTCCCCATTCTCTTCCCCTTTCCTATATTGCACACTAATTGTATTCTAGTTCTTAAACAATGGAGTAAGTTTTGTCTTGATGCAGTGGATGGCAGAACCTATTTAGAGTGGGCAGGTTTGGGGTTCAGGGGTGCCCCGCTCCCTGTCCTGTAACACTTACATTCTCAAATATGCCAACACATTCTAGACATGGAGACTTTTGTTCTAACTGTTCTCTTAACAACATTACAATCTGCTCCACCTATCCTGGAAATTTTTTCTTCTACAGAATATATAACCTTCTGATGTACTTGGTAGTTATATTTATTGGCTTAAATCCAGAATATAACTCCACTAAGTAGGATCTCTGTTCACTGATCAAACTCCTAAGTTCAAAACAGTTTGACACTGTTAGTAAATGCTTATATATCTGATGAAATGAATAAAAAAAGAGCTATTAAATTACACTTAATAAACAACTCAACATTATTTTCTTCAGTTCCTAATCACAGAAGAGTTAACCCCAATGTGGAAACAACATGATTCCTCTAACAAAACTATATAAAAGTCAGAAAACCTGGGCTTGATTCCTGGCTACCACAATTAGGTACACCACCTTACACCAGTAAGAATGGCATATATCAAAAAAACTAGTAACAACAAACGTTGGCAAGGATGTGGTGAAAAGGAATTCTCCTACACTGCTAGTGGAAGTGCAAACTGGTCCAACCACTATGGACAGCTGTATGGCGGTTCCTCAGTCTACTAAAAATGGAGGTAACATATGGCTCAGTAATTCCACTCCCAGGGATCTACCTAAAGGATACAAGAACAATGATTCAAAAGAATATCTGTACCCAATGGAATACTATTCAGCAATCAAAAAGATAAACTCATGCCATTTGCGGCAACGTGGATGCAGCTAGGAGGAATTATGCTCAGTGAAGTAAGTCCGAAGGAAAAATATTGGAATGAAAAATATTGGATGGTTTCACTTATAGGAGGAATATGGGGGAACCAAATAAGGCATCAGAGGAAAAAAGATAATAACAATACAAAACGAAACAAAAACAAACAATTATAAACCAGAGACATCCTGCAGGGGAGGGGGAGGGAAAGGGACCAGAAGGAGGGCAGGAAGAACACAGGGGACTGTGGTGATGGTGCATGGGTGAACTGGTGGTGGAAATTCTATGGGGACGACACCTGAGAAAAGAAAGCAAGCGTTGTTTTAAAAATGAACAATGATTAAAAAAAGAAAATGATGTAAAGTATATATAAATAAGTTTTTAAAAAATTTAAATCTAAAACAATTCTGATATCTTCTCAAATCTGCCAAAATGAAATAAAATGGTTCTTACTGAAATGAACTGTGTAAAATCCAATATGCTTTATTCCTTGTGTTACACATGAAAATGATCAAAAGCTAAAATTTTTCAACTATAGCAACTAGCTCATTTCCCTGAGCTGGTACATATTTTTTTCTTTATCTTAATTATTTACTTAAATTGCATCATTTTGGGTGTTTTTTTAACTCCCAATTAACTAAAATGCCTTTTATTTTAAATAGTGGAGGTCATTAGTAGGCATTGAGAGTATAAAGAAATGAGGTATTACAAAAAAGTCTTAACACTGCACTGCACAGGATATTCTTCTGATTCAAAGTGCTTGTTATAGGAAGCCATTAAAGGGACATCATTTCCATACTCTTTATAGTAATCAACTTCTCATCAACACTAGCAGACTACTACAACAGAAGGCAAAGACATCAAGACAAGGCAATTAAGAGGCAGTGAGTCCAATATCAAGACAAGGACATTAAGAGGCAGTGAACCCAATATCTGGATTTTGATCTGCTGCATGATAAAGTACTACTCCAGTTGCTGATCTATAGCAACACTTTGATGTGGAAAAACATTCTTTTAAATATTCTAAATTAGCACTAATAACAAACTGCAAATAAAAAATCTTCAAAGCTCTACAGAAAACATCTTAACTCAAATGAGGGTCTCCCTGGTGGGTGGCGCAGGGGTTAAAGTCTCAGAGCTATCAAGCTACTGCCAGCCACTGTGGTGAGTTCCATCCCACATGGCACATCAGACCTCTCCTGTCTCGCCTGCTGCTCCCCTCAGCAGTGCATTTCAGTAGACCTGCCCCACTCTGTCTCTGGTGAATCCTCTTACCCTGCCACACACACACCTCTGGCCTACACCCCAGTTCTACTATACATAAATAAAATCTTAAAAGAAAAAAAACCTCAAGTGAACTTCATGTAGAAAAGACTAATGGAAGTATAAATTACAGACATTTTTAGGAGGGCCTCCCTGGTGGCGCAGCGGTTGAGCACTGGGTTGCAAAGCAGCCCGCAGCCT